TTACTTTGGGACGTCTTCCCGACGTGAAAGGCGCTCTATAAATGTCATTTTGTTGGTGTCGTTACTGTGCATTTTCGGTGGTGAAAGCCAATTTGCACGCAGCGACATCCCGCAAACAGCCGTGACGTGAATAAACCAATTTTATCTGGGTGGGGGGAGAGAGGAGGGACTGTCAACCAGGACACTGGGAGAGAGAGAAACTTCCTTCTCTTTTCGAACAGTGCCGCTATTCTAGTCCTTGTATTTGACACAGCGCCCTATCGCGTCTCAAAAGAGCTTCGCGGGATGGGTTTTTTTCCGTAAGGTGTAGTGACTGTGCATCTGTCGGTTGAACGCGGCAGCCAGTTTGCGCACGGCGACGTCCCTACAAACAACTGTGACGTTGAGTGACCAAATTACGACCAGCCCACACCTCTCTCGGCTCCTTTGCTCTGGCTTCTCAGGTAACAAGTTGGTGAGAGGGTGATGCAAGCGAGATTAGTCCAGAAGGTCAGTTGGCAATTAATGGGATTGAAAAGATTCGGCCTCTGCTACTGGAAGATACTCTTAAGTGATATTGGATCCAAAACAAAAGAATAAAACTGCCTGAACCCTGGCAGTAATTAGTATTAATACGCCAATCCCAATGAATGGCCTCAAAGACTACAAAGATAAATGGGGCTACAGCGGAGAACCTAAGATATTTGCTAATTGAGGCAAGATATGGAAGCGATGCGACTAGTAATCCACATTGCGATGCAACACAATTTACATTTATTTATATACAGCGCCTTTCACTGCTTGGCTGGGAACCAGAGCGGAATGGTGGGTGGTGGGGAGAGGCGCAAGGGAGTGAGAGCCGAAGAGGAGGGAAGGAAGGAGGAAAAGATGTCCGAAAGTGCGGTCGAAGAGGTAGGACATCAGAAGAAGGGAGGGAGCAAGTCGGAGGGACTCCGGGAACTATCACGAAACAGTGAACCAAAATAATATTGTTACAACGTCGATCACACACACATACACACACAGCATTAGGACACTGAGGTAGAGAAGGAGAATGAAGTGGGAGAAAGGGGCCGTTATAGTGGGAAGAGAATCCATAACAAATGGAATTGAAGGTACCCTGTGCAAATTTGGGGCATCTTTCCACCAAGATACCGTGACGCACTTTCTAGTCTGGAGGTTCTATAATGTCTGTGTAATGTGTGCCCTGAAGCCAAGTACATTACCTCGTGAAAAAAGACAAGAGATTTACAAGCCAAATGCACTAACAAATGTGTCAGCTTCGATACTGGTTAATTTGCACAGCGCTTTGGGAAACAATAAGAGGCTACATTTGGGGATGTTGATAGGAAATTAATGACTCCTCCACCTCTCCCAGCCCCACCACGCACCCCCCCCAGGCTGATCGGAACTAAGTGCAGCCTTTTTTTTTATTCCGCAGAAGCCGTTTGAAATGATTTGTTGAAAAGAACACAAAAGGCAGAGCGTACAGCAGCTAAATTAAAAAAAAGAGAACTCAAGTCTTGGCTGGTATTTCAATACAATGCTGGGGGGAGATCGACTTTGAAGGAGGTGCCGTCCTTTGGGAGAGACGTCAAACCGAGGTCCCGTCTGTGACTGTTCAGGTGGACGTCAAAGATTCCATGGCACTATCTGAAAAGAGAAGGGTGTTTCTCCCGGTGTCCTGGCCAACAGTCCCCCAGATAAAATTGCAGCAGCCAATTTACGCACAACAAAGTCCCACAAGCAGCCATGAAGTGAACGTTCAATTTATCTGTAGGATCGTTAGGCCAGGACAACAGTGTAAAGCTCCCTCCACAGGATCCTTAATGTCCAAACAAACAGGCTCTCGGTTTAAAGCCTCATCTGAAGGACGGTACCTCCGACAACGCAGATCTTTCCTTCCCCTCCTCAACCCAGCATTGCGTTGGGAGTGTCAGCCGAGACTGTGAGCTGAAAGTCCCTGATATGGGGCTTGAACCCGCAACCTTCTTTCTGACTCAGAGGCAAGAGAGAGAGAGAGAGAGTGCTACCGACCGAGCCGCAGGCTGACTGCTTAAGCAGATTCAAAGCTCTAGCTATTTTAATAAGCATGGTGCGGTTCAGCAGTAAGAAAGTCTGATTTGATAGCCTAGGGGATCACATTATGTTTCCTTTCAACGTAATGTGCCATGATGTATAATTTGTAGCAACAGAACTAAATAAATGGTTTGAGTGCATATAGTATTTATTACAAAGGCTTGATGAGATCCTATGCAGAAGCAAAGAGGGAGGGGAAAAAAAAGACCATTTTTTTCAATAAAAAAATTAACTGTGAGACAGAAATAAAAATTGAATGTTTCTGGAACTGATATCAATTAGACAAGATGTCTCCAGGGTGGATTTCGGCCGTTATTGTCAGCAAATCAACCGAGGAAACGTTCTCATCTTGTTAGGTACTATTATTGTTATCGCGGCTCAATTGTGTTCTGAACCCAATTCCTGCTATTTTGGCAGCCCAGATAGTTTTTGGGGGGTCAGCCGGGTGTCTGACATACGGGGAAACCCATCACCGTGCTTAAAGAGTATCCGAACCAAACTGAGATTTCCATGCATCCCACCTACACGTGGAAACTCCAGAGATAGATTGTTGGAATGGAATGTGCACTCTCTCACTGGAGGGACCCTTCCTGCTTATCCAGTTCCAGAAAGTATTAGGTGCAGGTTGGCAAGAGCCCCGGCTTGGGGACCCCAGAGGGTGCGTTCGGGGGTAACTGCTGGAGTCTAACCATCCCAGAGAGGTACAACTGTAGGTGCACGTTTTGAGCAGACACTCGAGTCATATTGTAGCACTCTACACTGGTTGGTGTGTGTGTGTGTGTGGGGGGGGCGGTAGGAAGGGGAGAGAGCGCTGCATTTTCATAGGCACTATGCTTCAGATGACATGTTAAACTGAAGTCCCATCTGTGCCTGTTCAGGTGGACGTTAAAGATCCCGCAGTGCTGATCAAAAAATACCAAAAGAGAAGTGGGGTTTCTTTTCCCTGTGTCCTGGCCGACAATCCCCCAGGTAATATTGGTCGTTCACCTCGCAGCTGTACGTGGGACATCTGTGTCCAAATTGGCTACCGTATTTGCTCCCAAAATACAGTCACACTAAAATCCTGTGAAGCACTTTGAAGCATCCTCTCGACGTGTATCGAATGTGAGAATTATTATGTTGTTATCTCAAAGCACTGAATCACGAAGTACGAGTGTCTGTTAGGGGATTGCCATATCAAGGATATTTAAAAGATATTTATTTTCTGTTCATTATTCATTAACTGGATAGAAAGTCTTTCAGCCACTTTGGCATCTAATTAAAACGATTCTTATTTGATGTAACCGGTAGTGGAATAAATTGGAAATACATTTTCTCGCCGAATGAATTGACCTTTCTAGTAATGACATGCACCGAGAGAGAATACATTTCTGTTCCTTCTTACAATTAGGTCAAGAGAGTGCTGAAACAGTGTCTTGTGTACCAGCCTGGATCTGAGGAAATAAGTTATTTCCCTTAGCTTAAAAATTTGCATCAGACTTACTTTTTTTAAAAAAATAAAATTTACACTGCAAGTCCAGGCCCAATTTCGAGGCACATTTTGCAAATTGTTAATAAGAACTTAAGCTATTTATTAATGTGAATGTTCGGATTTTAGCGAGGAAAAAAAATAACAGGCCGAGATTCCCAATAATAATCATTGCTTTCGAAATTTCTCAAAAGCGCTTCGTAGGGAATTGCTATCAAGTGCAGTGACCGTGTGACAGTGAAAGGACAATTTTTATTGTGGGGGAAGACAGGGAGAGAGAGAGAGAATAGCTGGCCAGCACACTGGCAGTAACTCCCTTCTCTTTTCAAACAATGTCACAGGATCTTTAATGTCCACCTATTCATAAAGCACCTCGGTTTAACGTCTCATCCCACCTCCCAAAAATTGAGCAATCCCCCCCCACCCCAGCAATGCAGCACTTATTCTCCCCTTCACGAGACACCAGGAGAAACTCCCTTTTTTTTTTGAACAGCACCACAGGATCTTTAATGTGTGCCTGAACAGGCAGACGGGAATCTCGGTTTAACGTCTCATCTGAAAGACAGCACTTCCCCAAAGTGAAACACACCCCTAGTGCTGCATTGGAGTGTCAGCGAAGATTATGCGAGTTCAAAGTCCTGACGCGGGGCTTAAACCGGCAACCTTCTGACTCAGAGGCAAGATTGCTACCGCTACTCCAGGCTGACACACAAGGATTATCTATTATTTATAATCTTTCCAGCACTGGGGGAAAAGTGTGAGGAAGTAACCAGCTGAAACCTGTAAACAAGTGGATAGAGGAGCAATAATGCAGCAATCCCGTAGTACCCTCTAGTGGCAACTGCTGTTTTCTGCAAGTCTTGTGGATTTGATATTGAAAAATCTATTCAGAAAGTATTGTAAATCCATTTTTATAGATCCTAAATACCTCGAAACGTCTCAAAGCTCTTCCTGCCAAGAGCAGTGACTTTTTGCAGAGTATAAGTACGCACTAAATACAGGGTAACGCAGTGGCTAGGCTAGAGCGAGAGCTTGTGTTTTACAGTCCTCTGCTGCTTCCTGTGCTAGATAAAAAATGGCTAACTTCTGGGTATCAAACGCAGGGCTAATAATACTAAACAAAATCCTTACATCTGATACAGCGTCTTATCACGTCGTTTAGACGTCTCAAAGCGCTTCACAGAATGTCAAGCGCTTTGAAACTGTAAAGTGAATTAAATTGTGGGCGAACCATGGCGGAAGCTGCGCACAGCATCCCACAAACAGTCGTGGATTGAGGGATCAATTTTTTTTTTTGGCGATTATTAGGGGCAAAAGGGCAGTTAAATGAGAATGAAAGGATTTGCTTTTCAAACAACCGGCACAGACATAATGGGCTGAATGGTCTTCTTCTGTGCTGTACGTTTCAATGGTTCTTTGGTTCATCGGGTCGCTGTTGATGTTATTTTACGTAGAAAGCAAGCTGACAACCTGATAAGGAAACTTTTTTTATTGAGCTTACTTATAGCACCAAGCCTGGGTTTACAGACTCAAACCATTGTGTCATTACGGGAGGGAGGGAGGGGGGTGGGTGTGTAGGGTCACTTGTGTTTGACTTGTGACTATTCTCCAGTGGTGCAGGTTCCGAAACTTGGTTCAGGTCAAAGTGGCCTCGATACTGAGAAACGGATAAATTAAATTACCAAACTATTTTTTTGGGGGAGGGGTGGGGTGCCGTTTAAAGTCCAAATGCTAAACATAAACCACACAGCTGCAGTGGATTCCTTTTATTACAACTCAGAATGGCTGTGTGTTTCAAACCTCGGCATCTCCATGGGTTTCATAAAGATCCCTTCCATCACTTTCCACGAGCTATACTGGTTGGAATATGCCATGCCGTGCACTTCCCGCTGGCCATTGATAGGTCTCCCGTACTGTTCCCCTGTGACTGACAACAGGACCTCTGTGGCTGTGTGCTTGAACTTCACTGGATTCTCTCTTTCCCAGAACGTCCCGCTGCAAACCACCGTCCAGTTATCCAGGTCATCGCCATTTCCGTCTTCTCCGAACGCACTCACCTCCTGTTTCAAAAACACACCCCTTTATTAGCCCTCCCGCAATCAATACACTTGATGTAGCGCCTTGTCACATTGTTGAGACGTTTCCAAGTGCTTCAGGTTTATTTATTTTTTTAAACCGCAAAGACTAGCGACTGTAATGTTTTCCGAGCTCCCAGTTCATTTTCAGCTGCTGCCCTTCACAGCGTTTTAACAGCTTGCAAAGCACGAGGCCAGAACAAAAACACTGGCATGTCTATAAACAGCTTTGCTGCCCTGAGAAGCCAGGACAAAACAACACAGCGAGAACCAGGCAGGCAAATAATGATCAGAGTGCAGCATGCAGTCACCTGATGAAACTCTTGAGGACCAAACAGCTACAAGTTTAACAGCAAAAACCACAATTAACGCATTAGTCTTGCATTAGCCACATGCTGTTACTGAGACCTCTGCAGGTTAGAAACTCTCGCGCATTTGAAGCTCGTTGGCAAAAAAAAAGCCTTCAGCCTTAGGGCGAGAGAACGAGTGTAAAGTGATCGTCTTGGAGGTTTCAGGTGCCTCAGAAATCGTCCCCCGCAATGTCATTCGAACGGCGCCCTTTTGCAAACGCTTTTCTATCTGTACAGCGCCTTGGGACGTCCTCCCAACGTGAAAGGCGCTCTATAAATGGAATCTTGTTGTTGTTGTATCACGCAAATGTGTCCGCGGGGGGGATACGGGGGCCACCAGAAACAAACCCGATGATTTTGGGTCCCATTCTTTGCGAAACCAGCCCGCTCGGCGACATATAGCCCTCAGCAGCTCCCAAACGAGCGCGGGTAGAGAGAGAGAGAAAATAAATCAATTTGATGTCCAGCAGATTTTTTCTCTTACCCTGGCCGACATCAGTAAATCACAAGGGGGTGGGGGAGGGTCGTGGCTTTGCATTTCAGAGCCGTGGACAGAAACTGTAGAAGCTTTTTATTCCTTTTATTATTACCAGGCGCCGGGTGTCTGGCCTGGTAGCTCGATCCACTGACAATACAAATAGCTGTCAATCCGCAACACTCTGGCTTCGAGCTCCAGAGCACAGAAAGCAATACACCTAAGCACATTGCAAATTGTTATTTTGGATGAGCGCTGTTAAGAAGCCCCTTGATGACCGACCGAAGCCTGCCGGCTGTGCAATCGATACCATTCACTGTCTGCAATTTGCTGAGAGAAAGCTTGCAGACTGGAGTGGGTGGGGGGGGGGGGGGTGGGGGTGCTGAAGAGACTCGGGCGTTTTAGGAAATGATACAATTCTGTTTAGAATTAATGGAAGTCTAGATTAACAGCCTGGCCAGACACCTCTGGGCACGGGAATATAATTACTTCGGGAGCTTTTGCAGTCCGATCGCGCCCACGTTCTGGACGGAGGCGAAGCTGATTCCAAAAATAATTGAACTCATCTTGGTCTAAACGGGTGGTAATTCATCACACCTTCCGAAGAGCTGGATGCAAAAGTTCTTCAGGGTTCCGTAGAAACACTTAAGTCTTAAGGTAAACTACTGGGAGTTGGGGAAAGCAATGCCATGCAATCGATGTCTCATAATATCTTCAAGGTCAAGCTACTGACATGGAATTTAAATGAAAGATATTGATTCTTTAGCTCATTGCAAGTGCAACCGTCACTAAATATTTCCAGGTATAATATCTGACTCTCAGGCTAAGACAGAACAAGGGGCAAACTACAAGCATAATTAAAGGTCAGTAATTACATCCTACAATGGTTAGTTCATTGTGGAGCTTAAAAGTACATTTAACTTGTGTTGTAATTTGCTTTGCGTGTTAAGCCAATTATCACGGCACGGATGCAATAAAAATCCCTACAAAATACACATTCACCGCCGATTACGGTACACAATGTAAAGCCCTTTGAGATGTCCTCCCGACATGAAAAACGTTGTGGAGGGATTATTCTGCATTGTTATCGAAGATGTATGTGGTTTATCTTGACCCTTTACAAACAAGTGAAAGAAATCTTGGAACAATACAGCTCTGGTGCAACCGAGGATGATGGCAACGCTTTGCATTTACAGAGAGAGAGCCTTTCGAGCAGGAAGGTGTCGATGGGCTTAACAGCGTGGCTCAAAAAGCCATCAGTAGGGATGTGCGGGGGTGGAAATAGAGAATAAAACCCACTGAGAGAAGCCTCAAAGTTGAGTATGTCAGGCTTTGTCATGTTTACTATCTGCTGTGCGTGAACACTGCTGTGCGCAATTGGCTGCCGCATTTCATCCACAAAATACACAAGTCAATTCACTTTACAGTATATTCTGTGAAGCGCTTTGAGATGTCTTAATGACGTGATAAGGCGCTATATCAAATGCAAGGAATATTACTGTTTATTATTATTGTCATCTCGCGGCTGACATCAGCGCATTCTATTGATACCCGCAAAATCTAAAGATATAATTGAAGAGCTATGTGTAGGGCAGCGATTGCGGGCAGAACAGGAGGCCAGACTACAAAGCAGTGTTGGCCATTGGACTTGGGAGTGGGTGAATTTCTAACTAGCGCGTGAGCTTCCTTCATCTACTTCAATATTAATTCAATTGGGTGGGTGGGGGAGGGATGGGGAAGGGAATAAAATCATCATATCTCAGATCATATGTAATTACCCCACAACGAATAGATTTGCATCCATACGTTTCTAACATCAATGCCACCAACGACTTTAGAGCAAGGACATCTTGTGAGAGCCAGCGGCTATCAAAGTCCCCGCTATACATCGCCAGGGACAACAGGTGTGGAGGTAGCTTCGAGCTTTCTGTAGACCTTAGGCCAGGCACCACAGATTCCCCAAGCACAGCAAGCCACGAGTTTAAACCTTCAGCCTGTATGTTAAATACTTTAAAGCAATGGGTTCAGATATCCACCCAGGAAACAGTAACCTCCAGTCACTGAAACGCAGTCAATTCCCTGCCATCACTGGGCAGAAGAGTGTTGAGTCGTGACCAATTTGTAGTTTTTAATACCCTCTAGGCACAATGTGATTCTTCTACAACACCAACTTGCATTTATCACACCCGACGACGTTCCTCTTCGACCGGTCGTCTCTCCCCTCTTTCCAGCTCGGCATCAAAACCACGCCACCTAGAAGCCGTTCCCCGGGTGAAGGGCGCTGTGTAAATGCACGTCGTGGTATAATTTCATCGGCCAGTCCCCTGTCACAATGCCATTTAGCCGACTCACCTGGTTGCCCGACAGAGGGGACGTGAAGTAGTGGCTGTGCAGGTTGCGGCCGGTGTTGATGTGAGTCATCCGGATGACTTCCCCGCACTTGACCGGGTTTCCTCGCTGGCACGAGTCATCCATTTTCCCACGTATCCTCCAGTAACTGTTGCTGTCGTCTGCGGTGGTCACTCCCGTCACAGACTGCTGGCCGCTCCCTGAACAGCAATCACAGCTGGCCGTTAAAAACATTTCAAAACCCGCTCGCTCGCTCGACGGCTGTTTGCACCGTCGTTGCAAACTCCGCGGTAAACCTGCGAAGCTCTCTGGGACGGGCGGACGGGCTCCCCCCACGTGAAAGGCGCCGCACCGAGCGCGAGGATCGTTATCATTTTGCCCGCGAAATACACAATCAATTCACTTTACAGTGTATCGTGTGAAGCGCTTTCGAGACATCTCAACGATGTGATCAGGCGGTGTATCAAATGCCAGGATTATTATTATTATTATTATTATCACCGCGCTCTCGCTTCACGGCTGTTTGCGGGGACGTTGTGACGCTCTGGGGTTACTTTGTGAAGGGCTCTGGGGCGCTTTTGAGGGTGTGGGAAGGGGAGGGCAGTGTTTGTGTCTGTGTGTGAGTGGGGGTGGGGAGCTGGGGAGGGGGGTAGAGCAGTGTTTGTGTGGGGGGGGTAGGGCAGTGTGTGTGGGGGGGGATGCAGTGTGTGTGTGTGTGGGGGGGTAGGGCAGTGTGTGTGTGTGGGGGGGTAGGGCAGTGTGTGTGTGTGGGGGTAGGGCAGTGTGTGTGTGTGGGGGGGGTAGAGCAGTGTGTGTGTGTGGGGGGGTAGGGCAGTGTGTGTGTGGGGGGGGGTAGGGCAGTGTGTGTGTGGGGGGGGGGTAGGGCAGTGTGTGTGTGGGGGGGGGGTAGGGCAGTGTGTGTGTGTGGGGGGGGTGGGGGGTAGGGCAGTGTGTGTGTGTGGGGGGGGTAGGGCAGTGTGTGTGTGTGGGGGGGGGGTAGGGCAGTGTGTGTGTGTGGGGGTGGGGGGTAGGGCAGTGTGTGTGTGGGGGGGTGGGGGTGGGGGGTAGGGCAGTGTGTGTGTGTGGGGGGGGGGGTAGGTGGGGAGGGGTGGGTGTGCGGCCCCTGGGCCTCGCCCCGGTCGGGGCCTCCTTACCGGAGCCGTACTTCACCTCGTGCGAGTGGAGCCGCACGTTGTGCCGCGTGTTCAGCAGCTTCACCACCGAGCCGCACGTCACGTAGCTGAGCTCCGAGGCCCAGGCCCCGGCCCCGGCCCCGGCCGCCAGCAGCAGCCACAGCCTCAGGAGAGCCACGGCGACCCGACGCCCGCGGCCACACATCGTCCACACCGGCCCCTGTCAACAGCCCACAGCGCCGCCCGTCCGCCCACAGCGCCACCTACCGGGCACCGAGGAGCAGTTCCGACTCGGTCACCGAACGAGGGAGGGAGATGTGTCAGGTTGGGGGAGGGGGGGGGGATCCAGGCCTTGTGGCTGCCCCGGAAACGGAAGTGACCGAACGGTGCCGGGTCACACCGGCGGCCATCTCTCCCTCGATCCAGGCTCTGGGGCTCCAGACTGGGCCCTATTCGCGGAGGAAGAGGAGGAGGAGGAGGAGGATCGTCTCCATCGCCGCGGCTCCGCGCGGTCAGTGCGGCCTTTCGGCTCCTCGTCTTTGCCTTTAAAGAGCTTCAGCCGGTGGCTGCCCCCCCCCCCCCTCCCTCTCTCTCTCTCTCCCCCCCCACAGGCCCAGGCCTCGGCCCCCGCCCGCTTGGCAACCAAGGCCCCGGCTCAGGCCCGTCACTGCAGCCTCACTGCCCGGCCTCGCTGGGTGGGGGGGGGGGGAGAAGAGGGGAGAGAGAGTCTCTAGACCTTCCTCTTCGAACACCTTCCTACCGCCCCCCCCCTCCACACACACACACAGACACATTGCCCCCTCTCCCCCCCCCCTCTCCCCCAGGGACCCCCCCCCCATTCCCAGAGGGATTTTCCCTATCCCGGGGGGGTCCTGAGGAGAGTGTTCCTGGTCCCGGTCCCCGAGAGATTCCCCCCCCCCTCTCGGTCTCACTCTCAGCGATGACTGTCAGACCTCGTAACCTGGTGTATAGGCAAAGAGGTGTGGGGGTTGGGGGGGGTGGGGTGGGTGGGGGGGGTTTAGGGAATATCTTCTAAGAAGAGGACTCCTTAATTTAAATATATTCCCGGTTTCCTCCAGTGAAATAATCTTTTTATTGGGTTTGATTCTCATTAAAATACAACCCGGGCTTTCAATACCACACCACATGGTCTGACCCGAATTGATGAGTTGGCCGTTTGTTTTAAGAGCTGAAATGCTACCGAGGTTTTATTTTCTCTCTCTCTCCTTTAACCCCCCCCCCCCCCTCACGCGCGCACACACGCACCACGCAAATATTATTTGATCAGCCCTTATTTCCTCTGCGACGAACCTGCGTAATAAACTTGACGCCGGGTCGTCTGTCGCAGTTTAACGCACTTTCTTTCCCCCGCACCCGACAAGATGACAGTCGGGCTTCTGCGCGCGATGTGCTATCCAAAGCGATTGTGGCAAGGGAAGTCGACCCCTCCGTGAATCTTTGCATCTTCTGCTTTGCAGGATCTGCTGAGATGTCGGACTTTGTGGAAAGCGAAGCTGAGGAATCTGAGGAAGAGTACAACGAAGAAGGGACCGTAGTTCCAAAGAAACCCAAGAAATTCATAGAAGATGATGATGGTACGTGACAGAGCCCGGGACAATGGGACGATCCTTTTAAGAAACTCTTTGATGCTGTAATGGAAAGCTGGAGCGGCTGTGCGTGTGTCTGTGTGCGCGCGAGTGTGTGTGTGTTTGAAAAAGGGCAGGATTGGCAGAAAAAGGCTGTGATACAAATGCAGTGTATCCCACTAGCCTTTGCTGTCTCGACTTGCACATGAAGAGTTCTCACTCAAGCTTTTAACCTGGCTCTGGCTTCAGACTCTATTTCCAGCCTCTGTGTTCAAGCTGTTTGTTTGTGGTGTGCCCAGTACAGTGGAGTCCTGTAGCTCAGTGGTTAGAGAGCTCGCCTTGCAAGCAAGAGGCCTGGGTTCGATTCCCAGCAGGGTGAAATGTTAGGCAAGTTTCCTTACACCACACACCTCTGATTAACCAGCAGTAAGTAGGAACCCGGTTGTTAGTCAACTAGTGGATCGCTTTTCGGGGGGTAATAATTCTTTTTTTAAAAAAAATTGGTTATTTGATCCACAACTGTTTGCGGGACACTAGTCAACGTACTTTACAATATACCCTGTGAAGCGCTTTGAGACGTCTTGAAGTTGTGATAAGGCGCTATATCAAATGCAAGGATTATTATTGTTACAGAGGAGGAAGAGGAAGATAATGCTGATGACCAGGATGAACAGGGGAATTTGAAGGATTTCATCAATGACGAGTTGGACGAGGATGAGGAAGATGATGACGAGGCAGGGAGCGATGCTTCCGGAACATCCGACAGCATTGCCAAGAAGAGAAAGCGGAAGGGTGAGTCTTCAAAGCTCTCATTCTTTCCTTCAGTGACAGTTCATCTCAGCGGTTGCAAGGCCAGACTTGCTAATTCTTCGTATTTGATGAATTGTTTAAAAACAAACTCATCGTAAGTACTAAATAATGAGATTGCGTTTGCATGACCGGCTTATAAATACGATATAAAATTACATTTGTATAGCACCCTTAACGTTTGGACGACGTTCCAAACTGCTGAACAGTCAGGGGTTTGGACGGGAGCTGGGGCGGGATCTTATAAAGCATCCGGACAATTCAGATATAGACTTTAAATGTGTCTCTAATGACTGTGTCTCTATTAGCAGCTGTTTGTCTTCCATTGCGCATTTACATGTTCATCTCCTTAGGTAAGGCATCCTAACAAGCAGTGTGATTACAGTGCAATGGATTGGGATTGGGTTTAAAACACTGAACAGTGTGGTGGTCAGCCTGTAACCATCAAATTCGATGTACAGAGAGATTCTGTTTTTTGACAAATGATTCATAAATTTGTTTTATGATATAAAATGGAGAAGGAACAGTTTTAAAAGTCCTGTGATGTGTTATGGTGCCAATGATGCTATATACTAAGTTTGCTTACCTCTCCTCAAAGGTAGTTCTATGTTTCTTTTCCCCCTGTAGCTTATGATGACAGACTAGAAGACGATGATTTCGACCTCATTGAGGAAAATCTGGGTGTCAAAGTCAAAAGGGTAAAGCTATTTTTTCTGGATGTCAACTGAAATGATTTTATTGTTTGATAGGAATGTACAGAATCCAAATTATTGCTGTGTTCTCCCAAAGTTTCTTTTATATTAAAAAAAAGCACAAGATTATTTACATCACTGATTCTCCAAATATCCATTTACTGACCCAGTCCTTCTACATGGCCTCTCTGACTAGTATATCCACGCAATCTAAAATGTCTGTCCATCTTCCCTCATCATTAGCTTGAGTCCACGGCCCCCATCCATTATAGATTTCACAACTGGAAGCAGAAAGACAAGTTTCTTGCAAGTGCAGTACTTTGATACAACTTGAATCATTGGCAGCAAATGTATGTTGGAAGAAAGCACGTTGGGGAGGACAAGTTTGCAGAGAGAGAGCGGGGAAGTGGGATTGATTTGGAAGCTCTTTTCAAAGAACCAGCGCAGACACGCTGGACCGAATGGCCCCCTTCTGTGCTGTATGATTCTATGAAAGGATTGAGGAGTATGTGAGACTAGTGTTTTTTTTAACTGTGGGTCGGTTACTTTCCCATCCTGTACATTCCTGCGTTCATAATGAAATGTGTTGTAGCAGTACAATGGTAGTGATTTGGAGAAGCTTACCAAGAGTCTTGCCTTCGGGGCTCTTAACTTGAGGAAAGTCATCATTGTAAGCTGGCATACGGTGGCTTATCGCTGTATTCTGTTCTGTACAGCAAAAGTTCCGGCGTGTGAAAAAAGTCTCTGATGACGAGGACGAGGAGGAGGAAGAACATTCCAAGAAAGGCCACGAGAAGGAAGCCATCGCTGATGAACTCTTCCCAGAGTTTGACGGGGAAGAAAGAGAGCAGGTCGAGGCTCCGGTCATTCCTCCCGAGGAAGAGGAGGAGGAGGAAGAAGAGGAGTCTGGTAAGAATGGGACTGTGTTCCACTGTTGCATCAGGTGTTCGCCTGGCTTAATTGGTTCAAAGTTGGACATATTAGGTATCAACCTGGCTCAGTTGGTAGCAGTCTTGCCTCTGCGGAGTCCTAGGGTTTAGAGCACTCGCCTCGCATGCGAGACCTGGGTTTGTTTCCCGGGCAGGGCGAAACGTTGGGCAAGTTTCCTTACTCCACACGCCTCTTTACCTAGCAGTGAGTAGGAACCCAGTTATTAGTCGATTGGCGGATTGCTTTTCCGGGGGTAATAATTCCTTCAAAATAAAATAATAAATTGGTCACTTCAATCCACGACTGTTTGTGGGACACTGCTGTGTGTAATTGGCTGCCATGTTTCGCCCACAAAACAAAGTCACTTTACAGTATATTCTGTGAAGCGCTTTGAGAAGTCTCAAAGACATGATAAGGAGCTATATCAAATGCAAGGATTATTATTGAGCTCAAAGGTTCTGAGCTCAAACCTACCTTCAGTTCGGACTTTGAACTTGTACAGTCTTAGTCTTGTCTCGCATTCCATTGCAGTGCTGGCTGAGACATTGAACCAACGTTTCTGTCTGTCCCTGTTCAGGTGGATGTTGTCTAGACTGTACACAGGACTTTGTAGACTCCCTACCCTGTACATCACTCGAAACACAATGCTTGTAAGAGGCGAGCGTTAAGCCACACACATTTTGGCTGAGTTTGTGTCGCTGTTTTGCAGATATCGATGACTTTATCGTCGATGATGACGGGCAGCCACTCAAGAAACCAAAGTGGAAGCGAAAGTTTCCAGGGTACACAGATGCGTAAGTAGAAATGTTTTTCGCGCAGACAAGAGAACTAACCGTAAGGCACCCAGGTTACACTAGTGTCATTTTATTGAGAATTTTATTGAAAGCAAAGTCTTATCCTTTTGGAGCCATTTTCAAGGTCAGAATACCCAACACTGCATTACGCCAACCGCTTATTGAAGCAATATATTGTTGCTGGTTAGTGAAACCTTTTTGAAAGATCACAAGAGCTGTTTGGTTGAATTGATCTCACCCTTCCAGAATTCTGTCCTACTGTCCTCCCATGACAGCATCTAACTGGTTCTTAAATGAGTCTCAGAGTCCTGGACTCAACCACCCAACCTTTCCTGAAAATCCCGTTCCTGTTGTTAATTGCCATCTGGCCAAAGAAATACTTTCTGGTGCCTGTCTAACCTTTTCTTTTTGCAACCCTGAATTTGTGTCCCTCGTTCTGTAGCCTTGGCACATCGGAAAGTATCATTGTGGGTTGACTTTCTGAATCCCATTAAATAAAATCTTATACCCTTATAAGCTTTTTTCTCTCCGTTGCTGATATCTTCTTCCTCCCCCCCCCCCCCCCACCTCCTTGAGGCTGAAGAGAACCCTATTAATGAGTAAATAAATATTGCAGGGTTAGTGTAGCACTGTTGGATCTCACCACCTATCCGCAGTGTGCTGCTGTTTCTGTCCCAGTGCCCTTCAGGAAGCTCAGGAGATCTTCGGGGTGGACTTCGATTACGACGAGTTCGACAAGTACAACGAGTACGACGAGGAGCTGGAGGACGATTACGAGTACGAAGACGAGGAGCTCGGTGAAGGGGAGACCAGGGCCCGTCCGAAGAAAACCGCCAAAAAGCGTGTCAGCCGCCGGAGTATCTTCGAGATCTATGAGCCGAGCGAGCTCGAAAGCAGCCACCTCACTGACCAGGACAATGAGATCCGAGTGACCGACATGCCCGAGAGGTTCCAGGTCAGTGCTGCTTTGCTTTGGAGACACACAGCACCAAACAACAACAAATTACGTTTACACTGCGCCTTTTGTATCAGGAGGACGTCCCAAGGCGCTGGATAGTCAGGGATCCGCACCCGAGCTGGTGGTTGGGATCAGGAAGGGTGGAGGGTGGGGAGGATAGGAGTAGGAGGGTGACTGAAGGTTTGGTCGAAGAGGAGGGTCTTGAGACAGGTTTTGAATGAGGCAAGGGAAGGGACAAGGCGGATGGACTGTGGGATGGAGTTCCAGAGGGTGGGGTCAAAGAGGCTGCACGCCCTCCTGCCAATGGTGGGGCAGGCAAGGTGGGGGATGTGAAGCAGGCCAGAGCGTGCTGAGCGGAGGGAGCGGACAGATTTGTAGGGGTTTAGAGGTTCATTGGTTCTAAGACGAGAAGAGTGTGAAAGGGCTTTTTCTGTAATACTCAAATGGCTTCCTTGCTTTCTCTGTTAATAGCTTCGTGGCATTCCAGTCAAGCCAGCTGAGGATGATGAGCTAGAGGAAGAGGCAGAGTGGATCTACAGAAATGCCTTCTCAACGCCAAGTATCTCTTTACAGGTCGGAGTCTGAAAAGCACATTTGCTAAATTCCCGACAGACATCTTGTTGCACTTTTGGCCATTCCAAGCTGCATTTACCTCCAAAAATACAGTCACTGCACTTTGAGACATCTTCTCGACATGACCCTAGATGAAATCCAAGGATGATTGTTATTAGAACACGGGGACATTTTGCCCATTTTATTAGATCATGGCAGCTCTCTCAATACCATTTTTCGACCTGTTCTCAAAATGATTTAATACCCTTCCTTCCCAAGGTTCCCTCCATTCATCTCATCCTCTTATGTCTCCCTTTTAAATATCCAAACCATTATTCATCTGTACTGTGATATCTTTGCATGTGGCTGTTAATTAACTCCACAGTTAGGCAAAGCTGGTTTTCCCTCAGTGTTTATCTAACGCCATCTGGGAATTCATTGAAGGACAGATGAAAACCATCTCTTCAGTCACCAATTTTATACAACCTATACAACTCCAGGAAGCCTCTTAAAAACAGCTGATCACTTCACTCTTTACCATTCAAATCATACTTGCATGTTCACATCAGGTATGATCTAACGCAGAATGCTTTGCATTGCAGAATATGCATGCAAATCAGTACGAGAATAACATATGCAACCGGAGAGTTCGTACAACTCAAATGGAGAGTTCGTACAACTCAAATGGAGAGTTCGTACAACTCAAATGGAGAGTTCGTACAACTCAAATGGAGAGTTCGTACAACTCAAACGGAGAGTTCGTACAACTCAAACGGAGAGTTCGTACAACTCAAATGGAGAGTTCGTACAACTCAAATGGAGAGTTCGTAGCCGGAGGTGCTTTATAATATTGGTTGACGAGATCAGTTCTGTAGCGTGGAGTTAAATTTGTTTTAAGACAACTTTTTGTTTGGGGGAGGGAGAGAAATAGCGTCCTGTCTTAGAATTCTACATAGTCTGCGACTGACCATTTTTCTTATTTGTTTGCTGGTTTATTAACCTTCAAAGTTGTTGCAAAAAAAAAACCAGGCTAATTTTGAAGGGCTGGAGCATTTCTGTGTGGGAGCCCGGTTAATGATGTGTTTACTGTGGCAGGAGAGTTCGGATTACCTGGAGAGGGGCCAAGGTGTTAGCAACTTCAGCAGAAAAGGTCCCAGCACCATCCAGAAGATCAAAGAGGCGCTCAATTTTATGAGGAACCAGCACTTTGAGGTACCTCTGCGGGCTTCTGGCTTGTCTTTTCAAGGTTGATTTACAAACGTTCTACCTCCGTACAGCATAACAGATGCTTCCAAACAGTTGGCAACACGGCGACTGACTAGAACGGAGACCCTTTATAACCCGCTGCTTTTATAGCTCAGATTCGGTTCTAACATGGTTGGCTGCTGTATGGGCCACATTCGCTCTGTGTGCGTGTAACTGGTCTCTTCGCTTCACGGCGCTGGACAGCTTTTGTGCCAAAATGGCCGACTTTCAGGTCATGAGGTGGCCAAAGCAGGAAATGGTGTTGGCAGGACCTGATGACCCGGAAGTTGTACGTTTATTCGCGCGGGGGGGATCCTATGGTAGAGTTGTGTGTTCAGCGCCAGTCCCAGGCCTATAGTATTGAGCCGTTATGAACCCCCTGCGGGTGTTGTCCTGGAGCGTGATTGCTTTAACGCTGTGTGCTGCAAACCAGCTTCACGTGCAGTTTGATTCATTTTGCTCTTTGCCTTTCATACCTTTGTTAGGTACCTTTCATTGCCTTCTACAGAAAGGAATACGTGGAGCCAGAGCTGAACATCAATGACCTGTGGAAGGTCTGGCAGTGGGATGAGAAGGTAGGAGACTGGCAATCGTTAATGAGCAAGTTCATGTTCTCTTATTAATATGCATACAATTACACAGAGTGTTAGAGCCCGGAAACAGGCCATTTGGCACAACTAGTCTTACGTTCTTATGAGCCTGTCTCCTCCCCCCATTCCCCTCTCCGTTCGCTTCTCCCTTCATGTTGCCATAAGGTTCCCTCTTAATTCACTGCTGTTTTCTTTTTCAAGCTCAGTCCACATTATCTTTGTAAAGAAGATCCTTCAAAGTTCCCTTTATCCGTTCCTCGAGGTCTTATATTTATACTTCCTCGTTTTGGATTTGTAGGAAAAAAATGTGGAAATGGGCTATTAATATCCATTTTATCGAATCCTTTCTTAATTTTAAACGCCTCTAACGGGAAATAAGAGTCTTAAGTTTTTTTTTAGCCCGCAAAAAAAATGTACAGTCTATTCTGTGAAGCGCTTTGAGACGTCTCGAAGACGTGATAAGGCACTGTATCAAATGCAAGGATTATTATTATTATTATCTCCAGAGAGGAAAACTACCCTGTTCAGTTTTTCTGTATAACTGTTGCCGAGTGCCTCTAACTAAACCACCAGTTTTGGAACATTTAATTGCACTATAACCATACAGATGAAAGGTTATTTTGAGGTTATGATCGCAGTCAAACAAAATTCCCCGTTCTGAGTTCTGAGAAACAATGGAGGAAACGGCTGTTGAGAGGTACACAAATCAGTTGAATTTGCATCGATTTTCATTATTTCAGGGTTTGGTGCGTTCTGGAAATGTGATGTTTCAGTACTCGCCCACTAGGTGGCGGCAGTCGAGCCTCATCGGGTGCTCTTCAGGCAGCGCTTCTGACCGCTGCGTTGCTCTGTTTGTTCTCCGGTCGCCATTGTTTGCAAACGTTCTGTTTCAGTGGACACAGCTGAAGAATCGGAAAGAGAACCTCACACGCCTGTTCCAGAAGATGCAGGCTTACCAGTACGAGCAAATCTCCGCTGATCCCGACAAGCCGCTGGCAGACGGGGTGAGAGCGCTGGACACAACGGACGTCGAAAGGTACCTAACTCTCTGACGGTGTCGAGCGAGCGCTGGGCTTTCTGCGGGTTACAGTATTGCTGGCGGCCTAGGAGCCCATTGTTGCTCCACTTCCCTTTGCTTTAAGAAGACAGCAGAACCAAAATATTCATGTCACCACAAACGCTGTGATTCACATCATTATTTTGTTTAGTTGCTGTGTGAAGCTCTACCGCGAGAACCGAAAATGATCTTGAAATGTTTTTTGTCCTTTTCCTCTTCTTTTATACTCCACGAGAGTCTCATTATTCCCTCCCTCGTCCCCCTCTATTCCCTTCTCCCTCGTGCGTGTGCATCGAGTTAATAATAATAATAGTTCCCTATTAAATACACAGCTACGATAAACCTCACATAAGAAGTATCAGTTGGGACCCTACGTTTAATATGATTTATGCAAAGCATTAGCTTTGTCAAACTCGCATAGGGTATAAAACTCTTTGGAATGGGACTTGGGCAGCTGTATTTCACCTCCGGGTTCCACACTCCTGATGAAAGGCTCTGCGTCCTCTTTCTCTGTGTTCGGGCAGATTGAAGGACGTGCAGTCCATTGACGAGCTACGAGACGTGTACAATCATTTCCTGCTGTATTACGGCCGCGATATTCCAAAAATGCAGAACGCCTCCAAAGTGACAAAGAAGAAATACAAGAAGAACCAGCAGGGGAGAGAGGACGAGGAGGAAGGTCCGTATTCCTCCATTTGGATCATGATTCCATTGCTATAATAATTCTTTAATTCAGTACCACAGCTTTCACATCGATGGGACATCCCAAAGTGCTTCGCGAAATATACAACAACAACGTGCATGTGTATAGCGCCGCTCACGCAGGGTAGCGTCCCAGAGCGCTTGACAGTGGTGGAGCACGACCCCGAGACGGGGTGACCGTAGGCACGGTCGAAATAGGAAGGTCTTCAGGCGTGACCTGAAGATGGGAAAGGAAGGGACAAGGCAGAGGGATAGAGGGAGAGTGTTCCAGAGTTTTTTGGTGTAGTGGCTGAAAGCTCGGCCACCAATGGAATGGAGGGTGCGAGGGACTTGCAGAAGGCCAGAGCCATTTACTGTAAAGTGCAATGACTGTTTTGTGGGCAAATGCTGCAGCCAGTTTGCACACAGCAATGCCATTCCTACCTTTCGAGGGTTAAGGCTATAATTTTCTCCTCCTCCGAGTACATCAAATCGTTTAAAGACATTGTTTATCTTAGAAATCAGCGTTCCGAACTCTACCCCACGTGAAGGCCGCTGTATAATCGCAAGTTATTGTTATTGTTGAAATGAGCAACTTTATACTTAACGGCTGTGTGTAATGGGGAGTGTTGCAGTGGTGGAAGGGGTGGAGTTACGCATGTAATGTGAGCATTGCTCTGCTCTGTGCCTTTACTTTGTGCTTGTGTTGTGTTTGCAGGGGAGCGAGACGAGGTTGAAGAGGAAGAGCGGCTTCCCACGGAGCTTAAGCAGGCGTCTCGCAGAGACATGTACACCATCTGCCAGAGTGCCGGCCTAGGTACACACCTCATTTACCTCATCTTCCCAGACATAACCCGCTCGTTTGCCCCAGAGGTAGTTTGGTATGGAATAGTGGGTCATAAAATCATAGCCATTTACAGGGTAGAGAAGGAAGCCATTCGGTCCATCTTGTCCAAATCAGGGCGAGCTGTCTGTTCAATTCCATTGCCTCACACCCTATCCCCACACTCCTTCAAGCCTCTATCCTTCCTAAACCTGTTTACTTCCCTCTTGAAGCCCACAGTGGACTCTGCCTCTTATCAACTTACTTGGCAGTGCATTTCACATCCCAACAGCTCAGAGTGGGAAAACGTTTCCTGATCTCTCCTTGTGTTTTTCTCGTGATCACTTTGTGGCTTCTTGTCAATGACTCCCCGATCCAGTTTGTGCAAGGTCGGTTACAGTATTCACCTGGCCTGATTGTGTGTGTGTGCGCGCGCGTGTGTGTTTTAGATGGCCTTGCCAAGAAGTTCGGTCTGACTCCTGAACAGTTTGGTGAGAATCTCCGAGACAGTTACCAACGTCACGAGACTGAGCAGTTTCCCGCTGAGCCCCTGGAACTGGCCAAAGATTACGTTTGCAGGTTAGCAATGGAGCCGAGGCGTGTAATACAGTAAGAGTTGGGACTTGAAACGTGTGCAGTTCTTGGCGGCGGGGGGGATGTGGGCAGGGAATTATTCAGATGCCCTTCAACTCGAGACGTTCAGGTGATTGCTTTACGCGGGTAAAGATGTAAAAAGTGAACGTTGCCGTTGAAATTTTAAAAAGAAATTGAATTTGTAATGTCGTGCGCCTTTTTTGGGCGTGAAATCAGCCTACGTGTTCGACACGCTGACCTCTCTGCGTCTTTCAGTCAGTTTTCATCGCCTGAAAACGTGCTGGAAGGCTCTCGGTACATGGTGGCCATGCAGATTGCCCGCGAACCCTTGGTCAAGCAGGTGGTGAGGCAGACCTTCCAAGAACGAGCCAAGATTAACATCATGCCCACAAAGAAAGGCAAAAAGGTAACCTGAAGACGTGATGAGGCGCTGTATCAAATGAAAGGATTATTAACAATAATAATTTCTATTAATAATAATAATTAATATTTTCAATCCACGACTGTTTGTGGGGACGCCGCTGTGCGCAATTGGCTGCAGCGTTTCGCCCACAAACATACAATCAATTCACTTTACAGCATATTCTGTGAAGTGCTTTGAGACGTCGAGAAGACGTGAAAAGCACCATATCAAATGCAAGGATTATTATTATTATATTGCTGTTATTTCAAACGTTGAGGATGGATCCTGTGAGAAGGTGCCTGACATATTCTTGTCGCTGCAGGATATCGATGAGGCGCACTACGCCTACTCCTTCAAATACATAAAGAACAAGCCCGTTAAAGAGCTCAGAGATGATCAGTTTCTGAAGATGTGCCTTGCCGAGGATGAGGGTCTGTTCACCCTAGATATCTGCATTGACATGAAAGGACTCGAAGGGTAAGTTAGAAACGCAATAATGTGTACTTTTAGACAGCGCCTCTCGCGTCGGGAGGACGTCCCAAAGTGTTCGCTCGGCTGACTGGGAGCTCGAGATGATGGGGGAGGAGGGAAGAGGGAATGACCAAAAGTGCAGTCTGGAGGTAGGGGTAGGTTTTAAAGCAAGCTTTAAAAGTGGGGGGTGGAGCAAGAAAGGATGGAGCCAGTGGGGGTAGAATGGCTGAAAGCTTGCCCACCGACACTAGGGCAGATCAGGTGGGGGATATGAAGCAGGCCGGTGCACTCTGAGCGAAAGGAAGAAGGAACTTGGCAATAACTTGGCAAATGTTGTGCCTTTAGCCTCTCTGTCCCCGCCTTTGGAACTCCATCCCACGGTCCCTTCGCCTTGTTCCTTCCCTTGCCCCCTTCAAGATCCATCTCAAGACCCTCCTCTTCGACCGGGGCTTTGGCCACCCTCCTACCCCTACCCTGCCTGCCCTCCACCCCTCTTGATCTCAACCCCCAGCTCGGGTCCAAATCCCTGACTGTCCAGTGGCAGCAATCCACCCCAGCTGACCGCTGATAAAAATAGTCTGCACAGCGGCTGAGTTTGCTTTATCATCCCTTTTCCTTCTTTGTTTTCAGTTACGGCAGTGACCAGACTTACTTTGAGGAAATCAAGCAATTTTACTACCGCGACGAGTTCAGCCACCAAGTGCAGGAGTGGAACAAACAGCGGAGCATGGCCATCGAAAGGGCACTAAACCAGTTCCTCTACCCGCAGATGGCTAAGGAACTTAAAAACAAGCTGCTCATTGAGGCGAGGGACTACCTGTGCAAGGTGTGTACCTATTTTAAGGCCCTGAGCGGGTCCTGCGTTTGATCCTTTTGTAATGGCTCGAGTTATCACTTTACCTCACCTTTTATGGCTTCCGCTTTGATGAGTGAGTTACGAAACCAACTCGTGGAAGCCCTGACTCGCAGCTTTGAACTTTGTAAAGTTGCAGTTTGATGGAACTGAGTCGCGACCGGGGCAGGAAGAGAATCTTGTCTATAATGCAAGTGTTTTATTATCTCAGTTTGGGATGTATTTATGAACGGACTTTGTACAATTTCAGAACTGTGTGTTGTACCTTTCTCTAACGCTTGTTGTCAGGCTATTGTTTCTGACATGGACCAGTATTTGATTGGGATCGCGGATCATCCAGCCACTTCACGGTAACTAACTGTGAACTGTGAAATTGTCCCCGCTTTAGGCATGCAGCCGCAAGCTTTACAATTGGCTAAAGGTCGCACCGTACCGGCCCGACCAGCAGAACGAAGAGGACGACGACGACTTCATGGAGGAGAATCAAAGCAAAGGAGTCCGAGTCCTGGGGCTGGCATTTTCGGGAGAGAGGTACGTTTCTGGGCAAGGAGTTTCTTTGAATGGTAATCTTTAAGTCGGTGCGGTACGGGCCGCACTAAGTTAGAAGCACCAACCGTGTTTTTATGCTGGTAAATCGTCAGTCGGCTGTCCTACAGCCTGCGTTAGTAGCTTCATTGATGTCTCGTCCTCGTGTTCTCCCCTTTCAGGGACACGCCAGTCTTCTGCTCTCTTGTTAATGGAGATGGTGAAGTGACCGATTTCCTTCGCCTACCCTACTTCCTGAAGCGAAGGAATGCCTGGCGAGAGGAGGAGAGGGAGAGGAAGGTAATAAAATGCACGACCAGCAAACCGACCGACTGTTTGGCTTTTGATTTGTCCCTTTCTCTCTTAAACCTTTCGAGCGTCGATTTTCAGTTCGGACTAAATCGTCTCCGCTCCCCCTTCCCTCACCCAACCAGATCTGATTTTTTTGCGTCTGTGTTAACAAGGCTCAAGTGTCTTTAATGTATACAGAGAAGATAACATTTTTTGTTAGATATTTACCGATTTTAAATGAAATAGTATCTTGATTCGCTCTGCAGAAGTTTATTTCACGACACTTCAGTTTTCAAGGATTACATCTATTTGTGGAAACTCCTTGGTAACTCGTCACTCCGAGGGAAAAGAGTTATCAGCAGCGGCAAGTTGGGCAAATTCATAAATACATAAATAAATAAATGCGGCAGGGAAATTGACAGCACGATGTCGTCTTAAATGGTAGTGACAAGTTCAGCCAGAGGGTTGCGTTATTAGGAGTTTTAACTGTTATTATTATATCAATGTAATGTAATCAATCACTTCTGTTCATTTTCTCTGCAGGCTCATGATATTGAAACATTGAAAAAATTTCTGCTGAACAAGAAGCCTCACGTCGTGGCTGTTGGTGGAGAAAACAGGTGGGGAAGGAACTCCGCTCCTGTGTTTCTGGGGCGTTGCCGTACACAAATTAGCTGCCACGTTTATCTACAAAAGACACAGTCACTACACTTTGCAGTAATTCTTGTGCAGCTCTTTGAAAGTTCCTCCCGACATGAAAGACACTATCTCAAATGCAAGGATTAGTATTACATGGAAAGCACATTTTTTTTTTATGGCAGTCGAAAGAGAAAGGGAAAAGTTCTGCTCACAAAATATACAGTCAATTCACCTTACAATATATTCTATGAATCGCTTTGAGATGTCTCAAAGACGTGACAAGGCTCTACATCAAATGCAAGGTTTATTATTCTGAATTGCTCCCATCACTGCAAGCTAAGCTCAGTGTCCGGGGAGCAAAATCCTGACTGATTGTTATTTACCGCTTTCCTTTCTCCCGGCGCAGGGATGCACTGATGGTCATCGAAGACATCAAGCGGGTGGTGAACGAACTGGAACAGGAGCACCAGATGTCACCCATCGGAGTACAGATGGTGGATAATGAGCTCGCCATGCTCTACATGAACAGCAAAAAGTCTGAAGTAAGCAACGACAACAACTTGTATTTATATAGCGCCCTTCACGGCAGAGATTTGTAGATTTTTGTTAAGTCGCTTATTTTTAAAGAAAAAAAGTAACCAGAATATCACTGACCTCGCGAGTCTTAACACACGCTTTGGGCACTTTCTACAGAAGGACCAAAAAGTCGTGATATCTACCGTATTTAAAATAAATATATAACGCCCTCCACGCAGGGCAGAGTCTCAGAGCGCTTAACAGTGACTGAGCCGGACGCCGGTGAGAGTGGCCGTAAGCGCTGTCGAAGAGGAAGGTCTTCAAGGCGGGACTTGAAAAAGGGGAGAGAGCGGGGGTTGAGGGAGAGTGTTCCTGAGTTTCGGGGCATAGTGGCCGAAAGACTTACTAGACATTGTAATGGTATCATGACTTCTTGATCACCCTGTACAGTCAACGGATGAGAGTTAGCTGAAGGCATGTGATCGTCATGCCCTTCTCACTCTCCCCTCTTCTCANCCCACCCCACCACCACCGAACTCAGTTGTCATTTGAAAGTGACTTGAATTTTGGTTGTCAGCTGGTGCGTAAAATACCATGTAAAACAACGTCCCGGACCGTGCTTCTCGACAGTGCACATCACAAACCCTTCACGAAAAGAAAATCGTGTTCGCTTGTTTAGAAACTTCCTGTTTTTCCCTAGAATGACTTCCGCGATTACCCTCCGCTATTGCGGCAAGCTGTGTCATTGGCTCGCCGGGTACAGGACCCGCTTGTTGAGTTTGCTCAAGTCTGCAGCTCGGACGAAGACATCATGTGCCTCAAATTCCACCCGTTACAGGTGATGTCTTATTATTCTGCACGTCTCCCATTCTGTACGTATTTTATGTGCAGCGATGTCTGTATTAAGGTTCTCGGTTTTGTGCTTTGACGCCTCCCATTTGTGGAATTTAGGGAGTAACGTTTCTGTCTCAAAGGCGTAAATACAACAATGATAACAAATGACATTTGTATAGCGCCTTTCACGTTAGGAGGACATTCCAAGGCGCTGGACAGTCAAGGATTTGGACCCGAGCTGGGGGTTGGGATCAGGAGCAGGTAGAGGGCAGGGAGGATGTGGGTAGAAGGGTAACCGAAGACGAGGTCGAAGAGGGGGGTGTTGAGACGGCAAAAAAAAAGTGCACGTTGTTGTCTGGGTTTTTAAATGATCCAGGTGAGCTCCTAAAACTCATTCAATACGATTCTTATACTTCAAAGCATCTAGTTGGTTTCAAATTGTGACTGCGGCTTTTGATCTGTCAGTTTGTGGCTGTCAGTTTCACAGACGAGTTGGTCTGGGTAGAGATGACGCTCTCTTGGCTCCAGGTGTGAAATCAAAGGAAATGAGCGAAAATTAATGTAGTGGAGGGTTTGGAGCCAGTTGCCTGAATTCTCCCATGGAAGTAAAATTGGGGAGAAGAAGAGAAAGTTGCCCCTTTTTCACGTTTACTTTTTCCCTTGAAATCTTTCCAGGATCAAGTAATAAAGGAAGAGTTATTCAATGCACTTTACTGCGAGTTTATCAACCGGGTGAACGAAGTGGGCGTGGATGTCAACAGAGCGATCACCCACCCGCACACTCAGGCGCTGGTTCAGTACGTCTGTGGGTTAGGACCTCGCAAAGGATCACATTTGCAAAAGGTCGGTCAGTCCGCCGGGTTCCTACATGGCGGTGGAACACTCACAATGGTTTTGTCTCGAAATAATATTGTAGTGACTCTTAACTTTTAAAGAACTATAAGTTTACAGTAGAGTATATGTTTTTTTAAGGGTGTCAAGGGATACGGGGCAAGGGCGGGTAATTGGACTTGAGGTATAGATCAGCCACGATCGAATAGAAAGGCTCGATCGAGGGGCTGAATGGCCTGCTCCTGTTTTCTATGTGTTTTCTCTCTTTTTTCCAAAAAAAAGTTGATCGGTGAAATAATTATCTTGTTCTTATTTAGCCATTTATCAATTTTGGTTTACAAGTCGTATTTTTCACAACTTCAGGGGAAAAGTCATTCACTTTTGTTTGGCTTTGAATGTTGGAAGGAAATTATTCTGTGTCGACGACGGTAACAATTCTGATATTGTGCAATTTGGTACTTTCCTACACAGATCCTGAAACAGAATAACACCCGTCTGGAAAACAGGACCCAGCTAGTCACCATGTGCCACATGGGACCAAAAGTCTTCATCAACTGCGCGGGATTTATTAAGATCGACACTGCCTCGCTAGGGGACAGGTTTGTCTTATATAATAATAATATTACATTTGAAATAGCGCTTTTCACGTCTTCTCGACGTCTCAAAGCACTTCACAGAATAGACTGTAAAGTGAAGTGACCGTATATTTGTGGGCGAAACGCGTCCCAAGGGCTAAGGATTGGCAGGCGCAATGCGTCTTTTTCTTCAAGATAGTCTTCCGGCAAAGTTGACCGGTTGTGATTGATCCTGGCGTTCGAGACTCGTAGAGAGGCACCGAGAGGGTTGTGTAGAGTCGTTGCATTTGCACCGCTGACGCTTTCTCGTGTGGTTTCTGCAGCACCGATTCCTATATCGAGGTCCTGGACGGTTCCCGAGTCCATCCTGAAACGTACGAGTGGGCCAGGAAAATGGCCGTCGATGCGCTGGAGTACGATGAGTCGGCAGAGGATGCTAACCCTGCCGGAGCTTTGGAAGAAATTCTGGAAAATCCCGAACGGCTTAAGGATCTCGACCTGGATGCATTTGCGGAAGAGTTGGAGAGGCAGGTCAGTGCTTCAAGATCCTCACGGAATTACTTTGGAGAAAGTGCTAAGGAGCTCGGGGTCAAAGTGGTCCACGTTTTGCTCGGTTTGGCACGGTGGTCCTGATGTCAAGCTTGTTGCTTTGTTTGAGCGCGGGATGGACTTCGGTTTACGAGAGGGAGTCTCTGTTTGTGAGACACTTGATTCCTTATTAAAGAATCTCATTAAGAAATACCACAAATTAGACCCCGCTAATTCAATTTTTAAAGCAATCTTGCACTGAATTAAGTGTGTGTGTGTGTCTGTGTAGTGAGTGTGTGTGTCACAGCTGAAATTCATCAGCTTTCTAACCTGTCTCTTAACAGGGTTATGGCAACAAAGGTATCACTCTGTATGACATTCGAGCTGAGCTGAGTTGTAGGTATAAGGACTTGCGTGTGCCTTGCCGATCACCAAACCCAGAGGAGATCTTCAACATGCTAACAAAGGAAACTCCAGAGACCTTCTACATCGGTAAGATTTGACTCGCTGGCCCTCTAATCCAAGTTAATTCTTCAAAGTCGCAATGGTCCTTTTTTTAGTCGTTTGATTTGGGGACTGTTAAATGGCGCGATGGGTTCAGTGCGCCTCAGTCACCTCAGCTGACCAGGCAAAGAAAAAAAATACTTTTGTTCGTCCTTTTTAACGTGTACTTTTGTTTTGTTGAAATGTAGGTAAGTTGATTACCTGCAACGTGACTGGGATTGCTCACAGAAGACCTCAGGGTGAAAGTTATGACCAGGCTATAAGGAATGATGAAACTGGCCTCTGGCAGTGTCCGTTCTGCCAACAGGACAACTTTCCAGAACTCAGTGAGGTAAGTTACTGCAGCCGTTTCAAGATCCTCACGCGCCCTGGCACCTCCCTACCTCTCCGACCTGCTTACTCCCCAACCCACGACCCGGTTACCTCCACTTGACTGGCTCCAGCCTCCTGCATATCTCTTGTGCCTTCCTTTCTGCCATCAGTGGCCGTGCTTTCAGCCACGTTCTCCCAAACTCTGGAACACTCTTCCCTCAATCCCTCCGCAATGCCCCCTCCTTCCCCATCTTCAGGTTGCGCCTGAATACCTTCCTCTTTGACCGTCCTTACGGTCACCACCGCCCCCAGCTTGGCGTGATGCTCCACCACTGCCAAGCGCTCTGGGACGCTAACGTGCATGAGGGCGCTACTTAAATGAAAGTTGTTATAACCGTATTCAACCCATGTGTTTCACAATTACTAGAATAGAACCTGTATCAACCTCCTTCAATGTTTTTCTGTTCTTCATTGAAATACTGCGCAGTGCAGACAGCCAATGGCGTGTGGTGTATATTAAGCTTCACCACATCTTTTTGAACGCGAACAAACCCAAGATGGGGTTTCAGGGTGAGAAATAATAGTTATCAATAAAAGGATTGTGTGTACTTTTTTTTCTTCGCTTTAGGTCTGGAACCATTTCGACAGCGGTGCCTGCCCTGGCCAGGCTATTGGAGTGAAAACCAGGCTGGACAATAACGTAGCGGGTTTCATTCCAACCAAATTCCTCAGCGACAAGAACGTTAAACACCCGGAGGAGAGGGTCAAGGTAGAGAGAAAGCGCGTCTCGTTACGAGCCCTTTTAGTGGTGGCGGCCGGGGCCTTCAGCCTCTCTGCCCTCTGTCTGGGGAACTCCACCCCAGAGTCCGTCCGCCTCGCCCCCCCTCCCTCGCCTCCTTCAAGACCCGTCTCAAGACCCTCCTTCCACCGCGCCTCGGTCACCCTACTTCTATCCTCCCAACCCTCCTGATCCCAACCACCGGCTCAGGTGCTGATCCCTGACTGTCCAGCGCCTTGGGACGTCCTCGTGACGTGAAAGGCGCCGTGTAAATATCATTTGTTGTTGTTGGTCGATATCTGACTGGGGGCTGAGCTGACGGCCACTGTTTCCTTTCAGATCGGCATGACCGTCCACTGCCGAATCATGAAGATCGACATTGAGAAGTTCAGTGTGGACCTCACGTGTAGGACCTCGGACCTGATGGACAAGAACAACGAATGGAAGTTGGTCAAGGACACGTACTATGACTTCGACGCTGAATCGGCAGATCAGAAGGTCGAGGACGAAGCCAAGAAGAAACAACAACGCACGAGTAAGTGTCTGTTCCTGGCAGCTAGAGGCACAGAGGTGCGATGGGCCGACCTGAGTTACGCTTAAATCGAAGGATAGCAAAGAACGTATCAGATTCTTAGTTTCCTTATTCTCCAATTGAATCCAGTTTTCAGTCGATCAGTTGTCGATTCCCAGCAAGTTCCAATAGTCTTTAAGACTCTCGGCGCCCGTGATAATTTAACATTGTTCGTAAAATAATCTTTTCCTTGCTGGGACAAGAAAAAGCCGTGAGAGAACAGTATTCTCTCTTCTGAATGTGCAGTTGTTGCACACAAAGTGTTATTGGAGATGACGATGATATGTGTTTGGAGACGGTCATATAACGAGGTAAATGTGGAGCGTTTGGTTTACGATTTACTCTACAACTTTTTCATCCCCCCCACCACCACCATCACCAGTGTACATCAAGAGGGTAATAGTGCACCCGTCGTTCCACAACATCAACTTCAAGCAGGCTGAGAAAATGATGGAAACCATGGATCAAGGAGATGTCATCATTAGGCCCAGCAGCAAAGGAGCGAATCACTTAACCGTGACCTGGAAAGTGGCAGAAGGGATTTACCAGCACATTGACGTGCGAGAGGAAGGCAAAGAGAACGCCTTCAGTCTGGGACAGTCTCTCTGGATCAACAATGAAGTGGGTAAAACGCACTTCAATCAGACACTGCACCCTAAACTCTGGAACGCTCTCGCTCAATCTTATCTCTCCGTCTCGCCCGCTCTCTCCCCTTTTTCAAGTCCCGCCTGAAAACCTTGCTTTTCGACCGTGCTTATGGTCACCTCCCGCACCCCTCCCGGCTCGGAGTCAGGCTCCGCCACTGTTATGCGCTCTGAAACGCTACCCTGGGTGGAGGGCGCGATGCAAGTGCAAGTTGCTGATGTTGGTTGCGCTCTGTAAATGGTGAATTTTTTTTATTATGATAATTATAATCCTTGCCTTGTTTCGAGACGTGAAGTGTTTGTGCTGCTTGACTTTGGACGTCTTGTGTTCGAAGCGCTTTACAGTCCTGGCTTTGGCTTTTCAGGAATTTGAAGACCTGGATGAAATTACTGCTCGCTACGTACAGCCCATGGCGATTTTTGCCCGCGACCTGTTGGACCATAAATACTACCAGGATTGCAACGGTGGAGACCGCAAGGTACCTACCTGCACAGGATGTTAGAGCAGTCAGCCCAGTCCTAGCTTTACTCTGATCAATTTCGATGAGGTTACTTGAGAGGCTGTTTGGTGATTCATTATGAACATAGATACATAGTCGTAGAAACAGGAGTGGGCTATTTAGCCCCTCGAGTCTGGTCCACCATTTTATAACTCAAGTCCAGTTACCCGCCTTTGCCCCATATCCCTTAATACCCTGACCTAACAAATATCTATCTACATGTAGGTTTGAATTTTTACATTTAATTCTTAATCAACAAATGACTCGAGTATTGCTTTTAACAACACTAATGATAGTACTGACTGCACAACGTTAGATAAATGCAAGTTGTCATTGTTTAATGTGCCGATTTAATCATGGATCGGGGCTCAAGGACTTTGCCTGTCTCAAACATTTTAGAAAGTTAACGTGGAGAGAATCCACCCGATTTACTCTCTACGCAGCATAGAGTCTAGTATTTGGCAAATCTTTTCATTTTGTAGTAAGCTTTCCACAAGAGTTTTCTTTCTCTCTACGTGACTTGTACAAGTCTATTCTTTTTTCTCCCCTCTCCCCTTCTAGAAAATGGAAGAACTTCTAGCAAAAACCAAAAGGGAAAAACCCTCTTTTATTCCCTATTTCGTTTCCGCCTCAAAGGAATTGCCAGGAAAGTTTTTGTTGGGCTACCAACCTCGTGCTAAATCAAGGTCAGTGGCTCCGTCAGCGAAAGAGAACGGATCGAAGCTGCACACACGCCTGTTAGTGAAGCCGGAAATTGGAAATGTGTATTCTCAATCCTTCCCCCTGCCCCCAGCCCTCCCTTCAGCAGTTAGTCAATTGGCCGATAGTTTAACAGGGTTAATAATCCTTCCCAAAAAAAAATTGGTCCCAGAATCCACAACTGTTTGTGGGACACTGCTGTGAGTAATTGGCTAACTCGTTTCGCCCACAGAATACACAGTCAATTCACTTGACAATATATTCTGCGAGTCACCTTGAGGCATCTCAGTGACGTGATAAGGCTCTATATCAGATGCATAGGATTATTATTCTTATTCTCCTCCTGTGGCACCTGAAGACTGTCCTGTGCCTCGCGCCTCAACCAGTCGTGTTTCTTTGACGTGGTAACGGCAGTGCCCTCTGTGTGCATTCTGACCACTGTGTTTGTTTTGCAGGGTTGAGTTTGTAACAGTGACCCCGGAAGGTTATCGCTATCGAGGGCAGATGTTCCCATCCATAAACGGACTGTTTCGATGGTTTAAAGATCATTTCCAGGATCCCGTACCAGGTGAGAACAAGTCAAACCTCTGGCACCTTACTGTGGCCGAGGAAAGCTGGCACAGACACTTACTTCTCTGCCTCTGTTTACCCAGCAGTAAGTAGGAACCTGGTTGTTAGTCGATTGGCGGATCACTTTCCAAGGGTAATAATCCCTCCCAATCCACAACTGTTTGTGGGACACTGCTGTGCGCAATCGACTGCTGCGGTTCGCCCACAAAATATACAGTCACTACACTTTACAATATATTTGCGGTGCGCTTTATTATTACTATTATTCACCGTTCCCTGCAATAGATTGAAATGAATTGGTGAATGCTCCACCTACTCATTTGAAGATGTAATGTACCTTTTGGACCAATTTAAACTTAATTTGAGACTAACTCTGATTTGTAACGATTCGATTGCGCGTGTGTGTGTATATGTATGTGTGTATGTGCGCGCATACGCAGTTTTAACGCTTGTCAGAACGAGTACAGACCAACCCGTCCTGTTTGTCCTTCCAGGCATTACACCTTCCAGCACGAGCCGATCCAGCAGGACCCCAGCCTCTATCGATGCGACGCCGGCTAATATCAATCTGGCGGGTAGGTGGAGCACTCAGCACATCCCGGCTTGTGTTTCGTTCCAGCCATAAGGTCCCCGGCTTTGGGAGGGGTGCTGTTTTGCCAGACTGGGCCATTATGTCTGTTTGTGAAGCTGGCCAGAGACTCACAGCGACCCTGGTAGTGCAAAGAGAACCCAGGCTCGTGCAAAAATACCTCCGAAGGCTGGCTTTTGTTTTCTTGCTCTGCTTTGTCATTTCGTTCACGCCGTTTGCAGAAATTGTTCCCCGATCCTTGAGGAATCTCTCTAGTTTGCAGACTTTATTCTAGGTTTCATTGAACTGCCTCCTGCCCCGTTTGTGTTTGGAGTTCCACTGCTTTATGAAACGGGAATTCTCTCTTTAAAAAAACACACACACACACAGTGTAACCCACAGTGATTCTTTGCTAACTGAGTATCTTTTCTTCCCTCCCTCCACGGCAGATCTCACACGAGCTGTCAACGCTCTCCCGCAGAACATGACGACGCAGATGTTCAATGCCATCGCGGCCGTGACTGGGCAGGGTCAGAATCCAAATGCTACGCCAGCCCAGTGGAGCTCCAGTCAGTACGGCTATGGCGGAAGCAGTGCCTATCACGTACGTTTCGTTCCGTTGCGGTTCCGCCTGACCGTGCCTTTCCTTGTCTCGGGCTACTGTGTCCCAACAAACCTGCAGGCCGGCAGTCGAGACTTGAAAGGTTCGAGTATCGGCCGGTTTGGGCGTTATTATTCATACAGTGTTTGGAGACCAGCCTCTCGTCATTCTGACCTTCTGGGGTAAATTTTGCGGCGTTCCCTTAACACGTTCCTTGTGTTGATTTACGCCGTTTCATTGTGTCATTTGTGAAATGCCGCATACCTGCTCTCCTTCCCCCACCCCGCCCGCCTCACAATTTATATCCAAGAAATATATAATAATGATACCAAAAATAATAATCCTTACATTTGGTACAACCCACCTTTCACATGGGAGGTCGTCCTGTCCCAAAGGGCTTCACAGGATGTATTTTGTGGGCGAACATTGCAGAGTGTGGAAAGATAATCTTTGAATCATTCCCGACTTTTCCCTTCAAACATTCCTTAAGCAATTTTTTTCCCTCTCCCCCAAGCCTGGTCCCGTGTGCAACAATTTATGTTATGATCACCCCCCCCCCACCCCAATAACGTCTCCTTCGCCCTCCGCCGTTCGATTATAAAGGGACATTATTAAAACATGCCGACGGCCCTTCAAACGCCAAATACTTTTCCGCATTTTCTCCAGATTAGCTCTCGTGCCTCTGGGGTCTGCCGGCTGTCCGTCTGTTTTTTTGATGCCTTTCGACTCGCCAAATGCCTGAAGAGACTTAAGGGAAATTAACGAGCAGAGTAATCCTCCGCAATCCGTTTTAAATGAACCGTTCCGGGTTTCAGTGGCCGCACGCCAGCAGTCGGAGGTGTTTTGTCAGCTCCTCTTTTGTTCTGGTGTTTCAGGTGTTTGCCACTCCGCAACAGCCGGTAGCAACCCCGCTATTGACCCCGAGCTATTCCTACACGACGCCCAGCCAGCAACCCATCACCACCCCACAGTACCACGGGAACGCCACGCCGCAAAGCTCTCACGCTCCTCCCTCTACTTCCCGGCAAAGATCCCAGCCAAAGTGAGTATCTTCGAGGAAGGCGCCCCCGTTTCGCACCTTCCTTAAGGTCGTCGCGATTTCCCCGGTTTCTGCGGCATATCCTTAATATGTTCCTCGTGTTTGTTTCATGTCGTTTGATTGAATGTCAATTGCGAAACGTCGCAAACGGGGTGGGTGGGGGGGGGGAGAGAGTGCATTCCAATCTGGGCGCGGGGAAATTTCCGTGTGTACGTGGCATACATATGTGGAACTCGCAATCTGCTATGGATGAATCTTGAGTGCGGGCAATTGGTTTCCACCCGTGTGGCAGACATCCAACATCCACAATTTGCACCCCTTCAGTCGTGGGAACAAAAGGAAGACTTGTCTCCAACTAAAGGGTGTTCAGCGTGTTTGATCTGATGTACAGGAGCTGTATGTGAGGAGCAGGCTATTAAGCTGTTCGAGTTTCTGTCTGAAAGAGAGCGTTGTTAAAACTGGGGGGTGGGGGGGTGAGAGTTGGGTGGTTAGAAGCAGTTAAAGCACTGAAAAAAGAGGTGGTTTGAAACACTGACGTTTGTCCACTATTTGCATTGCTCCAGGTCTTCGACTGCTCACACCGCGGTTGATTGGGGTAAGATAGCCGAACAGTGGCTGCAGGAGAAGGAACAGGAGCGGCGGAAACAGAAGGCCAAGATGACTCCCCGTCCATCCCCCAGCCCCATGATCGAAGGCACCCCCATGTCCATCGCTGGCGACGCCACCCCACTGCTGGACGAAATGGATCGGTAGAGGAGGAGGAGGAGGAGGAGAAAACAAACGGCATTTGAACTTCAATCCCAGTTTGCCTGGACCTGCTAATTTCAGTGTTTCCCTTATACCAAAAAAAAAGCTGCAGTTTTTTGCCTGGGAAATTTTTATTTTCTACGCTATGTATTGGCTGTTTTTCCGAATGTCTGTGACACTCAGTATTGCTTATACAAAGGGGAAGTTTGACACTTTCAGAAGGACTGAGGGAAAATCACTGGATTGTTAGAAGGAATGAATGAATGAAGGAATGAATGGATGGATGGATGGATGGGCCGAAGGGCGTGACTACTCTGCCAAAGGCTGAAACTCGGAGAGTGCATCTCTCTGCCCTATTAAGACTTGCACACGTGCAAAAAGAAAGCCTGTTTACAGCCTAATTTTAATCTCCAAGGAGCTAGTGTTTCATATCTGTTAAGTCATTGACAGCCCCACATTTGGGTTCTCAACTCCTTAACAAATGCGACCTTTTTTTTTCATATGCTATGATGATGTACATAAGTAGATCTACTCGAAAACTTTTTTTTTGTTTTAAAACTGTGTTCTTGTCAACGATTGCCACAGGTATGCGATACATATTTCTTTTTGGGTGGGAAAAAGGCGATTCAAATTGTACTTGGTTTAATAAGCTTCATTTTTTCTCTTGTCCCCCACCAACCCCCCCCCCCCCCACCCCACACCCCCTCCCCTCCCTTTAAATAAAAGAACATTTACTTTTGAAGATACCTTCTCATTATCTGATTATTTTGTAACTTGGAACTAGGACGGAATAGTTTTCAGTCGCCTATTAAATTATTCTAATTTTACCACTGAGCTCGTGCATAGACAGTGATGAGGGGGTGAGTTTATGGCTCAGTGTGGCAACACAGCAAGTAGCTCGTGTGTCGGCCAATAGCCGAGTGAAACTGGGCCGATTTTATTCCCTTTGGGGTTTCTCTTTTAAAATAAAACTCCGAATTGGGTGTCGTGGCAGATGGAGGCAGCTTCTGTGTAATCTGAGTTCCAACCTGCTCCTCTCCTGTGTCACCTGAGCTCACTGTGATCTAGGAATTAGTTGTTTGTGGGTTTTGCTATTTGTTTTTCTTCCCCTTCCCCATAAACGATAGAAGATTCAGATAAAGCATTGTCACTGCAGTTCAAGTCAAATGTTCATTTCAAGCTCACTTGACTTAACTGAACATATCCATCTACCCACCGAATAAACTCTCTGTCCTCTGTCGCCAATTCCTCCCTCACCCTCCCACAAACTCCCAGAGGTTTATGTTCCAAGCCGTAACTTTGATGGGAGTTGCATTTCAACAGTGCCATGTCTCTCAGGGTTCAGATAACTTCAGATGCTATCTGAGTCCCCTTCGACACTCACCAATGCAATGGAAAGTCCCTTTCAGAAAGTACGGTTCGGGAATATTGTCGCAGTCCTTCAAAAATGAGCTGAATGTTATTGAAAGTACCTTTCAGCCCATCTTAACCAAACTAAGACTAAGCCAGCTTGTGTCAAATGTTTGTGAGCAAAGTAAGAGCGAGTGGGGAACAGTCAGTGAGGATCGTACTTTTGTACCTTTCCCCCCACCCCTCCCTTCCCCCTCACAATCCTGGAATCCTCACACAACTTTGGTGGCAAAACCCAACACTTACCAAATTCGAAAAAGCAAAAACAGGCGTTGGAGAAAAGTTCGTTCTGGCCAGATTCTGTCGTCGCTAAATAAATATAACAAATGCTTATTAAGTTACTTCTTCGGCTACAAATTATGATGCGAATTTTGAAAGTTTCATTGAACGGGTTTGTTTGTGCGGTGGTGCTTGCGATTCGCTTCTCTCCCCCAAATCCCCCCCCCCTCCCCGTTTGATATCGTGCAAAGCACTAAATGTATTCAATATTTGCCTATATTTCCACTTTGCAACAACGCATTTAATTCTCAGAATTGACAGGAGCAAACACTAAGGTAGATTAGTTGTTGCATTGGGTTATTATACATTGGGGAGCTAAGCCTTGCATGTAAAGTGTTGGGGGTCAAATAGGTTAACTGAGGAGAAAATGGGAATACAAACATCTGGATCTTTAGTTAATATTTTGGGGGGCCGGAATTACTTTTTTTGTACAATTGTGAGTTACTCTTGTTAACTATTTTCAATACCTTTCAAAAAAAAAAAAAAAAGTTTGTAATAAGTGTAGATATAATGCGATTTAAAAACTGGGTTGAATTTTTTCACACAAACAATTGCGGCTGCACAATAGGCACTAACGTAGCGATGTATTTTATTTAAAATAATACAGCCTATATACGGTTTGAGTAAATCTACCGGGCTATTGTTTACTTACATGGAAATACATTTTGAGTTTTCGCTGGTTTGAATGTGTTCTTGACTTTGACTGATCCAGTGTGTGTAAAAAAAGGGGCCCCACTTGCTCAGAACAATGCTGTGACATCTGACGTGTTATGTTCCAGTTGTGTAACGTTTTACACTGAAGTTAAAACAAAAAAAAAGGCTGCTTTTATCACTTGCATCTTCTCTTGCTAAGCCTGCCTCTCCCCCCTTTCCCCCCTCCCAACCCACCCACGGACTGAATTGGTGGCAAACCCTTGCCGGCCTGAAAAAAAATTATTGTTCTCATCCACTCGGTTGTTTGTTTCGATAAGTTTATATGGCTTCAGAAAATGTACATTATTTGTGTTCGGGACGCAAAAAGAACTTGAACTGTATTCTTTATCATGCTTGCCATTCTTGAAGTGTACTGTATCTATCTCTCTCCATGAATAAACTAATACACCAAGCTAGCTGGGTGTCTTGATGTTTCTTGATTACACTTATTCTTGATGTTGCGAGTTGCCGTGAGCTGTACAAGTTGGCTTCGACTCGGGAAGCGTCAGGACAAAGAGGGAAAGGTAGCAGCTGGGTATTTTGTGGGCGAATGTTTCGATCGTAACTCTCGTAAAAAGATGCAGCTTTAATAATATTATTAGTAACAATAATCCTTGCATTTGATATAGCGCCTTATCATGTCATTGAGGCGCTTCGCAGAATAAGAATAATCCTACAGAATATACTGTAAAGTGAATTTGACTGTATTTGTGGGCGAAACGGGATAGCCAACTGCGCACAGCAGTGTCCCCACGAATAGGCGTGGATTACGTGACCAAATTCTTATTTTTTGAATGAATTATTATCCCCAGAAAAGTTGATCCGCCAATCGACTAATAATCGATTTCCTACTTACTGCTAGGTGAACAGGCGTGTGGAGTCACCCTGGCCGGGAATCAAACCCAGATCCTCTCGCTCGCGAGGCGAGTGCTCTAACCACTGAGCCACAGGACTCCCACGAATATACTGCAAAGTGAATTGACTGCATATCTGTGGGCGGAACGCATGGAAACAAATGGAAGCATGTGAGGATCAGGCGATGTGGGTTTAATGATGGTTCGAGCAGATTTGATTTCTGTTGGGATTTAGCTTGCAGAAAATAGTAGACTTTCCTGCATCACATAGTTTACAGAGATTAGCCTTTATACTGGAATGCTAAGGCATTAATCTTCTTTCAGCTCTAAGACTCCACAGCCTTTATTACCAATGCTGTAATAGTAAATTGCCATAGAGCAATGCGGTGATTTCTCCATCAGCGGAAACCCTTTACACTGATTATTAACGTCATGAATGGCAGTGTAAGGCCTCATCATGTTGGGTTCAATTAATAGCGGTTTGCAAACTTTAGCATTGGTTTAATCACATTAATCGGTGTTTTGCACACCAGCAGCTTCGAAACATCAGTTCAGCTAATGTCACAGCACCGACCCAATTAGCTATGCAACATTGAGTCAAGTTGAACTCACAATGGGACTTGAATTCTAAAGTCAATACAAGAAAAGGTATTTTTTCTCAGTGAGAATACTTCAGTTTTAGTGAATGGGAACCCATTAATAATAATCCTTGCATTTGATGTAGCGCCTTATCACGTCGTTGAGACGTCTCAAAGCGCTTCACAGAATATACTGTAAAGTGAATTGACAGAGTAATTTGTGGGTGAAAGGCGGCAGCCAATTGCACACAGCAGCGTCCCACAAACCGTTGCGGATTGAGTGGCCACATTATGATTATTATTTTTTGAAGAGGTTATTACCCCCGGAAAAGCGATCCGCCAATCGACTAACAACCACTCTAATCTATAAGGATGTCATGACTGATCTGTACCAACTGTGATGGATGCTGTTGTGGTTACAATGAAGGTTATTTGGATTGCATTATGTTTATTACCACATAAGCCCTGCTGCAAAGTGCAAATGTGCAGATGTCATTCCTTGGAAGCTGGGTGAGCTTCCCAGATAATTGCTATCAAGTGTAGTGACTGTGTATTTGTATTTATAGGGTTGTAATGATAGGAATCCTTGCATTTGTAATTTACTGTGAAGTGCAGTAACCATGTACTTGTGGGCAAAATCAGCACCTCAATTTGTGCACAGCGAACAGCCATGGGGGAATTCATGGCCAGGACACCGGGAGAGAGAAACTCTCTTCATTTTTCAAACAGGGCAGTGAGATCTTTGCTATTCATCTGACTAGGCAGAAGGGGCATTGGTTTTAATGTCTCATATGAAGGACTGCATCTCTGACAACACAGCATACCCCAGAACCGCACTGAACTGACTCAATGCACAGCTTTGAAAATTTTCCATCATAGACAGACTTCCTGGGCTGTGTATGTTAGAATCTATCTTGTCCCATGGATTTGCTGCAATATATTTGGTGGCGATGGTGGTGGAGGTGGGTGGGGGTGTAAGGATAAGGTTGGAATCAAAGTAGGAAAGGATTTTGCTCTGTTTTGGTTTGATAGACACATGGAGAAACCCATCAAAATGCTTCGAATATCCAAACCAGACTAAGAGTTACACGCACACACACACACACACATATTATAGATATATGTATGTGTATATCCATTAGGATGCAGCTATTTTAATGAAACGTTCTTAAAAAGAATATACTTCAAGTTTGTATCGATTACCATCAATTAATGTTGTAAAGAGTTTTACGAGGAGAAACATATGTACAGTGTTAATATTCGCACAAGTTGGGGTTTTAGCAAGTTTAGCAAGTCTGCCTCTTACAAATCGTGAACCCATACGCTAAAGGTTCAAAAACCAACAAGAAAACTTCAGTAAATCACAGAGTATATATTTACGTGCTTCCAAGTGCTCTGTGGAGCACTTTCGTGGGTGGGGGGCAGGGGGCAGGGGTTTGATATATATAAATGTAAGTTGTTGTTATACTTGAAGGGCTTAATTTGTTTTTTGTTTAAAGGAAGGGGAGTTCTCTGCTTCCTGTACTTGTGACAATACATCTAAACCCAATTTCGTGATGGTTAAGAGAATTTTAGTATGATTCCCAATGCTGTGTTTTTTGGGCTCGTTTCAAGTACGGATTATGAAACTTTAAACGCTAGTTAGCGAGTTCGCTGCGAGCGGTCTTGCCCCGGGAGACGGAGGTGTGCTCAGTAAAACCAAGTCCTTTTTTCTGCTGTGATTTCTGACGGTGCTTTTTCCTTCCCTTGCCCTTGCGACGCTGTTTCCGATTCTTGCCTCTGCTTTGCTGCGAGGCGTGGGCGGGATGGTTGGCTTCGAGTTTCGATCCGCCTTCCACCAGCTTAAGATTCCGACGAACATCCAACGGGGCGAGAGGCTCCTCTTTGTGGGCTGTGGCCTTGAGAAGCGTTTTGGCAGAAGTCCCTTTCTGGACGGCCTTGGAGTTGGGACCTTCCTCAACGAGTGACAGTATCTCATCACTGACGAATCCACCCAGATGACCTCGCTTTTGGACTGACTCGGTGGGGACCTGGTGGTAAAGCTTAGGGTTCGTTGTCGTCTCTCTAGGTGCGGGATTTTCCACCGTGCGAAGGTGAAAGTTGGTGTCTGGTTTCAAGACCGCTTGAGTGAACGTCTGGGAAGTTGGAGTCATGGGTTGAGCCCTGTAGGGGTCGTCGTTCATCACATGGTTGAATATATCTTCGCTTCTCTCCAATTGCAAGGAATTGTCCAGTACATTTTGCTTGAGGTGCTTGTCACTTCCAATCTTCTCCACCTCACCCAGGAAGTTCTTGCTCTGCATTCCCTGGTCTTCCAGGCCCGGGAAGCGATTGGTAGACGTGCTGCATTTGGCTTTGCGATGCTTCTTCCTCCCTTTGCCCTTCCTCCTCTTCTTGCCTTTCTTCCCTTTCCTCTCCTTCTTCCTGCCCTTCTCGGACGCTTTGCGCTCGTCAGTCCCCGTGGCGCCGCCCGGATCGTTGCAATGGGCCGAGCTCTGGGTGACGGTGGCCATGACTTTGAGGACATCCTCGGCCACATTCAGCATCTGACCCAGAGTCGACTGCTCTGCCTTGGCAGATCCTGGAGCCGCTGTAAATGCCGGGGGAATGCTGGCCGGGGGCAAGGTCATGGGCTCCTCCGAACCAGGCTCTGGCCTCAGAATTAGGTCATCAATCAAGTCTCCCCCGTAGTCATAGAGAACAGAATCTCTGGGGACAGCGATGGGCACCCGATCGTACTTCCTGCACCTTTAAAAAGCAACAGGAAAGCCAATGAGAAACCAGATCTTGCTCTTTTTGGGGGGAATCCCAGAGATAGATTGTTGGAATGGAATGCGCACTCTCTCCCTGGAAGGACGCATCTTGCTTACCTAACTCTGGAAAGTATTAGGTGCAGGTCGGCAAGAGCCAAGGCTTGGGGAACCCAGAGTGTGTGTTGGGGTAACTGCTTGAGTCTAACCAGCTAAAACCACACAGCTAGCCATTGATAGCAATGTCTGGCAAAGTTTCCTGCTTCTTGTACAGCTAGGACCACCTTACCCATTAAAGGCCATTGCAGAGTTAACAGGAGCCGATTGGGATGACTCCCACTCACGTAGGCACAAATGAGCAAAAACTTCTTTTCAGATGTAACCAGGAATTCCTCATCAATAACCAATATTTAACTAAATTTTACTCAGACCCCCTTCCCCACCAAAGATTATTTTCACCCAATGTCTAGGATCGATCCATTAGATTAAGGAGTCAACTCACCATCCGTACCAGTACCTCTCCACACACTGTTCTTCATAGACAAAGTCAAAGCATGGCACCCCCAACACGTTGAAGAAGGCTTGTCCAACCACTCTGGAGGCTGTATTATTCACATCTCTTAAGCATTGTTTTAATCTGCCGGGAGTGGGGGGTGGGGGTAGGGAGGGGAGGGGGAGGGGAATCATTCCAAATGTTAGAATTTCCAAAATTCAATATTCCTCCCATTTCTCTTTCCTTCATATCCTGGCCTTTATAATGAATAATAATCCTGGCATTTGATATAACGCCTTATCACATCTTCAAGACGTCTCAAAGCGCTTCACACGATATACTGCAAAGTGTAGTGACTGTGTATTTTGTGGCCGAAACGCGGCATCCAATTGCACACAACAGTGCCCCACAAACAGTAGTGGATTAAGTGACCGAATATAGTTATCGTGTACCTATAATTCCTGCGTGGTCAAACTCAAACCATTCATTGTATGTATAATTGAGTAGAAATATAAATACAGCATCAGTTACAGATGGTAACGACACATTTATTCTCAGCAAGCAGAAGTGTGTGCGGACTCGCTGACTACGGACCTTTAATTTTTTTGCCCACTCGCAAAAAAAATGTATTGCCTCATTAGGAAAACAGGAAGAGGAGGGAGATCATTCCACGTGAGCGGCGCTTTATCAATGCAAGTTGCAGTTGTTGCTCTCAACCACTATTCCCCGAAGCTTTGGAACTCTCATCCCCCAATCCCTCCTCCTTCCCTGGTTTTCCGACCAAAGATCTTCCTGTTTGACCGTGCGTACGGTCACCTCCTCTCTCCCCCGGGCTCGGCTTCAGGCTCCGCCACTGTTAGGCACTCTGAGACGCTGCCCCACATGAAGGGCACTATATAAATGCAAGTTGTCGCTGCTGTTGCTGTTGACTTTCTTACACCTCAGAAAGGTGAGAGACAATAATAATAACTCTTGCATTTGACGTAGCGCCATATCGCGTCTTCGAGACGTCTCAAAGCGCTTCGCAGCACGTACCGTAAAGTGAATTGACTGCGTATTTTGTGGGCGAAACGCGGCAGCCAATTGCACAACGTGACTGCGGGCGCCAGCCTCAAACTGCGGACCGCATTCTAAATCATTTTCCGTGGCATCTACCCCGAGACTACCACCAACCCGGACGTGGTTACTTGGTCGTTTTTAATCACCTTTCGTTTGCTACATAAAGCAATAAGACTTACCGATTGTCGCAGTCACAGTGGCTCAGAGTGTGCCATCTGAAATTCCGGTGGCCATAGTTGGACATCAGGGGATGGATGACATGAGCACAATGGTCATGTTCTCTACAGCACTTGTCCGTTTCTGAGAATTCTCCTTTTTTTTGGGGGGGGAGAAGCGGGTGGGAGAGGAAGCAACATTATACAGCAGTCACAACAGATTAACAAAATCCTTCTAGAGGGAAGGGGGAGAGAGAAAGAGACGGTGGGGTTGGTTTGGGGGGGGGGGGAAATGGGGAGGGAGAGGATGGGGGAGAGAAGGAGAGGGGGAAGGAGACAAGGTGGGGGGGGGGGGGGGGTGAGAAAAAGGGGAGAGGAGTAAGACTCTCTGAAAAATCAGTTCCAATCACCTTTCTCCTCCCCTCACCCAAGAATAATTTCCCCAATAACTCAAACTTGACAAAAGTTCAAAACTTTTTTTTACCCCCCCCCCACACCCCCAAACATTTTTTTAAATAGATTAAAAATAAACTGGGCTCCAAGTCTGATTAGGAATAAGCATTGTGTTGGCTCTCAAACTGCTTAGGTCTGTGGATTTTTTTTTTGGTATAATATCATATATATTACATTATAATTTACACAGCAATTGAGACTTATTCATAATAAATTATGAAAAAGGTTCCACAGCAATTTGAGATGTTTTTTTAATCTTAATTATGATTTAAACATAAGTTAGACCTCAATTGAGATGTTTTCAAGTGATCATGAAACAATTCTCATGACAAGTTACCCGGCGATTCGAGATTTTTAATATAAATTGTAATTAAAAAAAAAAATTTCACATGACCTTTTTTTCTTTGGTACGATGATCACGAAAGAATTATCCCTAAAAGTTACCCAGTGATTTGAAATGTTTTAGGGGGAGGGAAATGGTCATAAAAGAATGATGGCAAAACGTTACGTGACGATTTGCGGATTTTTTAAAAAATATATATATAAATTATAATTTAAAACAGCAAATTTGGGACATTTTTTTTAATAAAGCATATTAATTGATGCAGGTTCTTACCCAGGTGCTGGTAAGTGTCAGCGTTGTTCCCCATTCCGCACCAGAGTGTTCCTGGATAAGTCAAACCCCTCTTAGCCCTGTGGGGAACAGGGCTTTCCGCAGAATCTTCTGCAGAATTTTCCGCAAAATTTTCTGCAGAATTTTCCGCAAAACTTCTCGGTTGCGGGGGCCAGGTCCGGGTAGTGGCCAGAGCCGCTCTCTCACGCTGGAAGGACCTACAGCGCCCGATCTCCCCCTCCATCTCCATGTGTAGCCTCCAGCCCTGCTCCCCCAGGGCAGAGAGAACCCCCTCCCGCCCCCTTTCATCCTCCTTGGCCTTGCAGGACCTCGTGAAAGTCCCCACCGCCTCTGGGTGCCGGGTGAGCGAGCACCCAACCATCCTCCCAACCCCCACCCCCGCCACCGGGTCCAGCTCCATCGTGGACCTGACCATCTCCAGGCCGTCTGAGATCTCCACCAGGACCCGCCGGTGGCCGGAGAGAGTCAACTGGGCGCAGCGAGAGCCGTTGACCAGGACCCTGACCATGTGCGGGTTGTCCTCTCTGCCCCCCACTCTCGCTGTCTCTCTCCCTTGCCCTGAGCCTGGTAGGAGCGAGCACTGGCCAAATCCTCGCCCGTGGAAAGGCAGGAAGACCATTGCCACCCACACCCACATCTCCAGCTGGGTTCGCCACCAGTTTTCAGCACCACAACCCGAGGGACAGCGCCTACTATTTGCCTCCCTTTCCCTTCTCTCCCCCCCCCCCCCACCCCACCACCCCCCTGGAGCTCAGCTCCAAACACTCGCCTCGTTAAGAAGGTACCTCTCCCTCTCGTAACCCCCCACCCCTGACAATTACCCTCAACTCTGACCGCAAGTTACCCCTGGAGGAACTTCTTTCTTTTCTTTCTTTCTTTCTTTCTTTCTTTCTTTCTTTTCTTTCTTTCTTTTCTTTCTTTCTTTCTTTCTTTCTTTCTTTCTTTCTTTCTTTCTTTCTTTCTTTCTTTCTTTCTTTCTTTCTTTCTTTCTTTTTTTCTATCTATCTATCCATCTATCTCTATCTCTCACTCTATCTCTCTCTCTCTCTCTCCCCCCACCACCTCCTCTTTCTTCCACCACTGTGAATCCAGCAGAGTGACAGGAGACTTGTGTGTGTGTGTGTGTGTGTGTGTGTTTTCTCTCTCGAAAAGGGGGAGGGAGGAGTGTTAATGAAGTGGTTTCCTTGGCGATCCCACATCGGATGATGTTTAAGGACCGATCAGCGTTAAGTTCTTGTTTCTTAGATTTATCCCAAACTTCTGAGGGCTGCATTGTGGTGTGGGTTTTCTGTCTGTCCTGTCCGTCTTTCTCTCTCTCCTCCTCCAATCCTCCCTCCCTCCCTCCCTCTCTCTGGGAATAAATGTAAGCGTGAGAACATTGAACATTCAGACAAACTGTACTTCAACGCTCCATGTGTTCATAAACAAAACCTGTTGAAATAGTTGAACGTGTTAAAACGTGTCCTCCATATAGTTTCCCACATGAAAGTGTGTGTGTGTGTGTGGGGGGTGGGGGGTTCTGTCTGTGTGTGTGTATATATATATTCACATATATATATATATATCAAATCCTCAATTCAAAAAATGCTTCTGTTTGAGGAGAGCTCAGATAACTTTATTTGCTTTCATGCAATATTCTGAAAGGCTATGTTTAAAAAGTTTTCAAACATAGCCAGGGCTCTCCTCGGAATTTTATTTGCTGGTTTATTTGCAGTTGCTAACCTTTGCATTTGTTTTACAGCGCCTTTGTTACAGCCCGGACCACCTTGTTGAGCTTTGCGATGCCCTATCGCCTCCGCCCCACCATGCTTTCAGCCGCTACGTCCCGAAACTCTGGAACGCTCTCCCTCAATGCGTACACCTTGCCCCCACTTTCCCCTTTTTCAGATAGCGCCTGAAGACCTTCCTTTTCAACCGTGCTTATGGTCACCTTATATTGCATGGATATTATATTGCATGCGACCACCAAGAAGGTGGAAGGCAAACTAGATAGACCTTGGTCTTTTTTCGTCCAGGATTTCGTATGTTCTTATATGTTCTTAAATGCACGGCCAGTCCACTCTACAGTATATTCTGTAAAGCCCTTTGAGACGTCTCACCGACGTGATAAAGCGTTATATCAAATGCAAGGGTTATTATTATTCATTATTATTTTTATTTTAGGAGAGAATTGTTCTCCCTCTTTCTCTCCCTCCGCAATTACAGGACACACACAAAGGGCACACACCTAACTTCAACCAATTAATCATTCGCACGTTTCCCCTTTCCTCCCTCCTCCCTCCCTCCTTCCTCCTCTTCTCCGAAGACGTTCGCAAACAGAATTATCAAAGTGCTCGTAGCAAGTCTATCTGAGAGTCATTGTTCAGGATGGTTTAGCCATTCCCAGTGACTTTACCCCAGATCTCTTTGTCCTGCTCACAGCCTATAAAAACGTTAACTACATCAGTGGTGAATGGAGAAAGTCGACTGATGTAAAATCATCCGAGTTAACAGGCGATGTTCTACTCTTCCCCCCCCACCCCCAGGGGATGGGGAGGGGGAAGAGAGGGGGGGAGGAGATTGCATCAATCAAATTGTTCTTGGCAAGTTCGACCTTCTAATCCCAGAGCTTTCTCTCCCATCACCTGATGGATGGATGGATGGATGTAAATTCAGCTCCACCAACTCTGCATGAAAAGTGGGGTTGGAATGCCCTCAAGGGAGAGAGAGAGGGGGGGGGAGGGAGGGAGTGTGTGAGAACAACTGTGAGAAAGAGAGTGAATGAAAGAGAGGGATATGTATGTGTGAGAGAGAGAGAGAAGGAAATAAAGGACTGTAAGAGAGTGTATGTGAAAGAGAGGGATGAAAGAGAAAGAGAGAGCTTGTGAAAGATGGGGTGTGTGTAAGAGAGAGAGGGGGAAGGAAATAAAAGAATGAGAGAATAAGTTTGTGTGTGTGTGTGAGAGAGTGAGAGAGAGGGAGGGAGTGAGTGTGAAAAATAGGGAGTAAGAGAGAGAAAGAGAGAGGGAAGGAAATAAAGACTTAATCGATCCTTTTAACTCACTCCCAGAAACAAAAAAACAGAAGAGAGAGAGAGAGAGCAATGAGGCATTTAACACTTCTGTTTAAAGGAACAAAAACACACAAATGAACCTTTAGATCTTTCTAAACTTGTGATTAAAAAACACACACTTTATCCTGTTGTTTTGTCTGTGTCTGTGTGTGAGAGTCTTCATGGGTTAACCTAAAATTTCAATACTCAATGCTCAACTCACTCTAGGTTTAGAATTAAGTTAAATCTAAAATTAAAATTAGATGTAAAATGAAATTAAATCTAGATTAAAATGCATGCATTCGCCTTAAAATGCTCAATACTCAGCCCATTCTAGATTGCATTTCACGTTCGACACGTGTTTCAGATTATTCATGCCCACATTTCTCCCTATCCCCCCACAATCCCCCCACAATCCCCCCACCTTGTAACAGCCACCAAAAAAAAAATCCCCTTTGATCGTGAAATCGACACTCCACAAACTTTCTTGCAGGAAGAAAGTTGGCGAAAACTTTTAACGTTTTCTAAAACTCCCTGTATGCCTGAAGCACATACACACAGCTATCTATACATACACGGTATAGATAGATATACATACACGTATATAAACATTATACATTACATACACATATATGTGTTATAAAACATATATTACACATACACATAAATACACACAGAAACACACACACACAAACACACGCATACACGCTGTAAATAACAATAATAACCCTTATGTTTGATCCAGCGTCTTGTCACGTCTTCGAGACGTCTCAAAGCGCTTCGCAGAATGTACTGTAAAGCGAATTGAATGTATGTGTTGTGGGTGAAACGCGGCGGCCGATTGCGCACAGCGGTGAGTGTCCCACACACAGTCGTGGATTGAGTGACCGCATTATTATTATTATTATTATTATTTTTTTACATGCGTTTATTTTACGCGTGTGCATGTGTACATACACGCGTACAAATGCACGTAGATATGTATGTGTATGTGAATGTGAATGCAATCCCATCGGGAGAGGTTTGCTGGTGCTCTCTCTCCAGCCTTGCTCTGTGCTGTGGAATGCAGGGTAACTTGCGGTCACAGAGCTCCAGACTCCTTTCTCTACTGTTCACAAAGCAGGTCTCAGGCGGGAGAGAGGGGTTACTTGCGGTTAACGCCCTGCTAATAGCAGCTGTGACCATGATTCCAGCACCTCGCAGCTGTGCTCCTGGCGTCTGCAAGAGCCGAGGAGCATCTCACAGCAAGTGGGGCTCGTTCACGGCTGAACCAGCCAGCACTGAGCGAGTCGTTGCTGCTTCACTTGCATTGAATGTGGGAGGAAAGAGAGGGAGTCTGGCTGTATCAAACCCACTTTGCGTTGAGTGCTAAGGAGCGGTTTCATCGAGGGGGTGGGGGGGGGCGCGCGCTGCAGGAAGGGGAGAAATGTGGAGTCCTGTAGCGCAGTGGTTAGAGCCCTCACCTCGCAAGCGAGAGCACCCGGGTTTGATTCCAGGGCAGGGCGAAACCTCCGGCAAGTTTCCTTACTGCTCACGTCTCGGTTTTCCTAGCAGTAAGTAGGAACCCGGTTGTTAATCGATTGTTAACTCAATCCACGGACTGTTTGTGGTGACACTGCCAGGCGCAGTTGGCTGCCGCGTTTCACCCACAAAATACACAGTCACTCCACTTTACAGTGTATCCTGTGAAGCGCTTTGAGACGTCGCAACAACATGGTAAGGCGCTGTATCAAATGCAAGGAATAATTTTATTCGGGGGATTGTTGGCCAGGACATAGAGAGAGAGAAATTCCCTTCTCCTTTCGAACAGTGTAACGTTTAACGAACAGTGTCATCTTTAACGTCCACATGAACAGGCAGACGAGACCCCCAGCACTGCACTGGAGCGTCAGCTTAGTCCTTAAGTGGGGCTTGAACCCACAACCATCTGACTCAGAGGAGAGAGTGCTGATACTCTGAAGGAGGGAGGGTCGGAGGGAGTGAAGGGCGCAAGGGATATAAAGAGAGCTTTTAGACATAGAACGCATTGTTCTGCCTCCAGAGTGCAGTGTCGGAGCTTTGATTTAATGCCATAACGATACGGGGAAGAGGTTCTTACATTTTAACCTGAGCGAAGTGGTCGAGGTTTGCATTTAGGAGTCAATGCCCTGTGAATTCTGGGGGTGGGGAAAGAGGGGGTGGGGGGGGGGAGAGGGGAGGGTGGGGGGAAGAGGGGAGGGTTGTAAGGCAGGTCCGATCAGCCACTTAATTAGAAAAGAAAAAAAAACTCTTGCACGCCTGAAGAAATGATCCTATTTATGAAGCGAGAGGAGGGGAAAGAAAAAATCCCCACGGATCCGTTACTTTAATCGCCGCTGTCTCTTAGCCTTTTCGGTGCAAAACCAAAGCGCTTCACAGAATTTACTGTAAAGTGAATTGACTCTATAGTTTGTGTTTCGCCCACAAGATACAGTCAAACCACCTTGACAGTGAATTCTATCAAGTGTAGTGACTGTGTATTTGTATTTATAGGGTTGTAATGATAGGAATCCTTGCATTTGTAATTTACTGTGAAGTGCAGTAACCATGTACTTGTGGGCAAAATCAGCACCTCAATTTGTGCACAGCGAACAGCCATGGGGGAATTCATGGCCAGGACACCGGGAGAGAGAAACTCTCTTCATTTTTCAAACAGGGCAGTGAGATCTTTGCTATTCATCTGACTAGGCAGAACGGGCATTGGTTTTAATGTCTCATATGAAGGACTGCATCTCTGACAACACAGCATACCCCAGAACCGCACTGAATGACTCAATGCACAGCTTTGAAAATTTTCCATCATAGACAGACTTCCTGGGCTGTGTATGTTAGAATCTATCTTGTCCCATGGATTTGCTACAATATATTTGGTGGCGATGGTGGTGGAGGTGGGTGGGGGTGTAAGGATAAGGTTGGAATCAAAGTAGGAAAGGATTTTGCTCTGTTTTGGTTTGATAGACACATGGAGAAACCCATCAAAATGCTTCGAATATCCAAACCAGACTAAGAGTTACACGCACACACACACACATTATAGATATATGTATGTGTATATCCATTAGGATGCAGCTATTTTAATGAAACGTTCTTAAAAAGAATATACTTCAAGTTTGTATCGATTACCATCAATTAATGTTGTAAAGAGTTTTACGAGGAGAAACATATGTACAGTGTTAATATTCGCACAAGTTGGGGTTTTAGCAAGTTTAGCAAGTCTGCCTCTTACAAATCGTGAACCCATACGCTAAAGGTTCAAAAACCAACAAGAAAACTTCAGTAAATCACAGAGTATATATTTACGTGCTTCCAAGTGCTCTGTGGAGCACTTTCGTGGGTGGGGGGCAGGGGGCAGGGGTTTGATATATATAAATGTAAGTTGTTGTTATACTTGAAGGGCTTAATTTGTTTTTTGTTTAAAGGAAGGGGAGTTCTCTGTTTCCTGTACTTGTGACAATACATCTAAACCCAATTTCGTGATGGTTAAGAGAATTATAGTATGATTCCCAATGCTGTGTTTTTTGGGCTCGTTTCAAGTACGGATTATGAAACTTTAAACGCTAGTTAGCGAGTTCGCTGCGAGCGGTCTTGCCCCGGGAGACGGAGGTGTGCTCAGTAAAACCAAGTCCTTTTTTCTGCTGTGATTTCTGACGGTGCTTTTTCCTTCCCTTGCCCTTGCGACGCTGTTTCCGATTCTTGCCTCTGCTTTGCTGCGAGGCGTGGGCGGGATGGTTGGCTTCGAGTTTCGATCCGCCTTCCACCAGCTTAAGATTCCGACGAACATCCAACGGGGCGAGAGGCTCCTCTTTGTGGGCTGTGGCCTTGAGAAGCGTTTTGGCAGAAGTCCCTTTCTGGACGGCCTTGGAGTTGGGACCTTCCTCAACGAGTGACAGTATCTCATCACTGATGAATCCACCCAGATGACCTCGCTTTTGGACTGACTCGGTGGGGACCTGGTGGTAAAGCTTAGGGTTCGTTGTCGTCTCTCTAGGTGCGGGATTTTCCACCGTGCGAAGGTGAAAGTTGGTGTCTGGTTTCAAGACCGCTTGAGTGAACGTCTGGGAAGTTGGAGTCATGGGTTGAGCCCTGTAGGGGTCGTCGTTCATCCACATGGTTGAATATATCTTCGCTTCTCTCCAATTGTAAGGAATTGTCCAGTACATTTTGCTTGAGGTGCTGTCACTTCCATCTTCTCCACCTCACCCAGGAAGTTCTTGCTCCTGCATTCCCTGGTCTTCCAGGCCCGGGAAGCGATTGGTAGACGTGCTGCATTTGGCTTTGCGATGCTTCTTCCTCCCTTTGCCCTTCCTCCTCTTCTTGCCTTTCTTCCCTTTCCTCTCCTTCTTCCTGCCCTTCTGGACGCTTTGCGCTCGTCAGTCCCCGCCGCCGGCCCGGGATCGTTGCAATGGGCCGAGCTCTGGGTGACGGGTGGCCATGACTTTGAGGACATCCTCCGCCACATTCAGCATCTGACCCAGAGTCGACTGCTCTGCCTTGGCAGATCCTGGAGCCGCTGTAAATGCCGGGGGAATGCTGGCCGGGGGCAAGGTCATGGGCTCCTCCGAACCAGGCTCTGGCCTCAGAATTAGGTCATCAATCAAGTCTCCCCCGTAGTCATAGAGAACAGAATCTCTGGGGACAGCGATGGGCACCCGATCGTACTTCCTGCACCTTTAAAAAGCAACAGGAAAGCCAATAGAAACCAGATCTTGCTCTTTTTGGGGGGAATCCCAGAGATAGATGTTGGAATGGAATGCGCACTCTCTCCCTGGAAGGACGCATCTTGCTTACCTAACTCTGGAAAGTATTAGGTGCAGGTCGGCAAGAGCCAAGGCTTGGGGAACCCAGAGTGTGTGTTGGGGTAACTGCTTGAGTCTAACCAGCTAAAACCACACAGCTAGCCATTGATAGCAATGTCTGGCAAAGTTTCCTGCTTCTTGTACAGCTAGGACCACCTTACCCATTAAAGACCATTGCAGAGTTAACAGGAGCCGAGTGGGATGACTCCCACTCACGTAGGCACAAATGAGCAAAAACGTCTTTTCAGATGTAACCAGGAATTCCTCATCAATAACCAATATTTAACTAAATTTTACTCAGACCCCCTTCCCCACCAAAGATTATTTTCACCCAATGTCTAGGATCGATCCATTAGATTAAGGAGTCAACTCACCATCCGTACCAGTACCTCTCCACACACTGTTCTTCATAGACAAAGTCAAAGCATGGCACCCCCAACACGTTGAAGAAGGCTTGTCCAACCACTCTGGAGGCTGTATTATTCACATCTCTTAAGCATTGTTTTAATCTGCCGGGAGTGGGGGGTGGGGGGGAGTGGGGAGGGGGAGGGGAATCAATCCAAATGTTAGAATTTCCAAAATTCAATATTCCTCCCATTTCTCTTTCCTTCATATCCTGGCCTTTATAATGAATAATAATCCTGGCATTTGATATAACGCCTTATCACATCTTCAAGACGTCTCAAAGCGCTTCACACGATATACTGCAAAGTGTAGTGACTGTGTATTTGTGGCCGAAACGCGGCATCCAATTGCACCACAGCAGTGCCCCACAAACAGTAGTGGATTAAGTGACCGAATATAGTTATCGTGTACCTATAATTCCTGCGTGGTCAAACTCAAACCATTCATTGTATGTATAATTGAGTAAAATATAAATACAGCATCAGTTACAGATGGTAACGACACATTTATTCTCAGCAAGCAGAAGTGTGTGCGGACTCGCTGACTACGGACCTTTAATTTTTTTGCCCACTCGCAAAAAAAAATGTATTGCCTCATTAGGAAAACAGGAAGAGGAGGGAGATCATTCCACGTGAGCGGCGCTTTATCAATGCAAGTTGCAGTTGTTGCTCTCAACCACTATTCCCCGAAGCTTTGGAACTCTCATCCCCCAATCCCTCCTCCTTCCCTGGTTTTCCGACCAAAGATCTTCCTGTTTGACCGTGCGTACGGTCACCTCCTCTCTCCCCCGGGCTCGGCTTCAGCTCCGCCACTGTTAGGCACTCTGAGACGCTGCCCCACATGAAGGGCACTATATAAATGCAAGTTGTCGCTGCTGTTGCTGTTGACTTTCTTACACCTCAGAAAGGTGAGAGACAACAATAATAACCCTTGCATTTGACGTAGCGCCATATCGCGTCTTCGAGACGTCTCAAAGCGCTTCGCAGGACGTACCGTAAAGTGAATTGACTGCGTATTTTGTGGGCGAAACGCGGCAGCCAATTGCACAACGTGACTGCGGGCGCCAGTCTCAAACTGCGGACCGCATTCTAAATCATTTTCCGTGGCATCTACCCCGAGACTACCACCAACCCGGACGTGGTTACTTGGTCGTTTTTAATCACCTTTCGTTTGCTACATAAAGCAATAAGACTTACCGATTGTCGCAGTCACAGTGGCTCAGAGTGTGCCATCTGAAATTCCGGTGGCCATAGTTGGACATCAGGGATGGATGACATGAGCACAATGGTCATGTTCTCTACAGCACTTGTCCGTTTCTGAGAATTCTCCTTTTTTTTGTGGGGGGGAAGAAGCGGGTGGGAGAGGAAGCAACATTATACAGCAGTCACAACAGATTAACAAAATCCTTCCAGAGGGAAGGGGGAGAGAGAAAGAGACGGTGGGGTTGGATTTGGGGGGGGGGGGAAATGGGGAGGGAGAGGATGGGGAGAGAAGGAGAGGGGGAAGGAGACAAGGTGGGGGGGGGGGGGGGTGAGAAAAAGGGGAGAGGAGTAAGACTCTCTGAAAAATCAGTTCCAATCACCTTTCTCCTCCCCTCACCCAAGAATAATTTCCCCAATAACTCAAACTTGACAAAAGTTCAAAACTTTTTTTTACCCCCCCCCCACACCCCCAAACATTTTTTTAAATAGATTAAAAATAAACTGGGCTCCAAGTCTGATTAGGAATAAGCATTGTTGTTGTCTCTCAAACTGCTTAGGTCTGTCGATTTTTTTTTTGGTATAATATCATATATATTACATTATAATTTACACAGCAATTGAGACTTATTCATAATAAATTATGAAAAAGGTTCCACAGCAATTTGAGATGTTTTTTTAATCTTAATTATGATTTAAACATAAGTTAGACCTCAATTGAGATGTTTTCAAGTGATCATCAAACAATTCTCATGACAAGTTACCCGGCGATTCGAAATTTTTAATATAAATTGTGATTAAAAAAAAAAATTTCACACGACCTTTTTTTCTTTGGTACGATGATCACGAAAGAATTATCCCTAAAAGTTACCCAGTGATTTGAAATGTTTTAGTGGGAGGGAAATGGTCATAAAAGAATGATGGCAAAACGTTACGTGACGATTTGCGGATTTTTAAAAAAATATATATATAAATTATATAAATTATAATTTAAAACAGCAAATTTGGGACATTTTTTTTAATAAAGCATATTAATTGATGCAGGTTCTTACCCAGGTGCTGGTAAGTGTCAGCGTTGTTCCCCATTCCGCACCAGAGTGTTCCTGGATAAGTCAACCCCCTCTTAGCCCTGTGGGGAACAGGGCTTTCCGCAGAATCTTCTGCAGAATTTTCCGCAAAATTTTCTGCAGAATTTCCGCAAAACTTCTCGGTTGCGGGGGCCAGGTCCGGGTAGTGGCCAGAGCCGCTCTCTCATGCTGGAAGGACCTACAGCGCCCGATCTCCCCCTCCATCTCCATGTGTAGCCTCCAGCCCTGCTCCCCCAGGGCAGAGAGAACCCCCTCCCGCCCCCTTTCATCCTCCTTGGCCTTGCAGGACCTCGTGAAAGTCCCCACCGCCTCTGGGTGCCGGGTGAGCGAGCACCCAACCATCCTCCCAACCCCCACCCCCGCCACCGGGTCCAGCTCCATCGTGGACCTGACCATCTCCAGGCCGTCTGAGATCTCCACCAGGACCCGCCGGTGGCCGGAGAGAGTCAACTGGGCGCAGCGAGAGCCGTTGACCAGGACCCTGACCATGTGCGGGTTGTCCTCTCTGCCCCCCACTCTCGCTGTCTCTCTCCCTTGCCCTGAGCCTGGTAGGAGCGAGCACTGGCCAAATCCTCGCCCGTGGAAAGGCAGGAAGACCATTGCCACCCACACCCACATCTCCAGCTGGGTTCGCCACCAGTTTTCAGCACCACAACCCGAGGGACAGCGCCTACTATTTGCCTCCCTTTCCCTTCTCCCCCCCCCCCCCCCACCCCACCACCCCCCTGGAGCTCAGCTCCAAACACTCGCCTCGTTAAGAAGGTACCTCTCCCTCTCTTAACCCCCCACCCCTGACAATTACCCTCAACTCTGACCGCAAGTTACCCCTGGAGGAACTTCTTTCTTTTCTTTCTTTCTTTCTTTCTTTCTTTCTTTCTTTCTTTCTTTCTTTCTTTCTTTCTTTCTTTCTTTCTTTCTTTCTTTCTTTCTTTCTTTCTTTCTTTCTTTCTTTCTTTCTTTCTTTCTTTCTTTCTTTCTTTCTTTCTTTCTTTCTTTCTTTCTTTCTTTCTTTCTTTCTTTCTTTCTTTCTTTCTTTCTTTCTTTCTTTCTTTCTTTCTTTCTTTCTATCTATCTATCTATCCATCTATCTCTATCTCTCACTCTATCTCTCTCTCTCTCTCCCCCCACCACCTCCTCTTTCTTCCACCACTGTGAATCCAGCAGAGTGACAGGAGACTTGTGTGTGTGTGTGTGTGTGTTTTCTCTCTCGAAAAGGGGGAGGGAGGAGTGTTAATGAAGTGGTTTCCTTGGCGATCCCACATCGGATGATGTTTAAGGACCGATCAGCGTTAAGTTCTTGTTTCTTAGATTTATCCCAAACTTCTGAGGGCTGCATTGTGGTGTGGGTTTTCTGTCTGTCCTGTCCGTCTTTCTCTCTCTCCTCCTCCAATCCTCCCTCCCTCCCTCCCTCCCTCTCTCTGGGAATAAATGTAAGCGTGAGAACATTGAACATTCAGACAAACTGTACTTCAACGCTCCATGTGTTCATAAACAAAACCTGTTGAAATAGTTGAACGTGTTAAAACGTGTCCTCCATATAGTTTCCCACATGAAAGTGTGTGTGTGTGTGTGGGGGGGTGGGGGGTTCTGTCTGTGTGTGTGTATATATATATTCACATATATATATATATATCAAATCCTCAATTCAAAAAATGCTTCTGTTTGAGGAGAGCTCAGATAACTTTATTTGCTTTCATGCAATATTCTGAAAGGCTATGTTTAAAAAGTTTTTCAAACATAGCCAGGGCTCTCCTCGGAATTTTATTTGCTGGTTTATTTGCAGTTGCTAACCTTTGCATTTGTTTTACAGCGCCTTTGTTACAGTCCGGACCACCTTGTTGAGCTTTGCGATGCCCTATCGCCTCCGCCCCACCATGCTTTCAGCCGCTACGTCCCGAAACTCTGGAACGCTCTCCCTCAATGCGTACACCTTGCCCCCACTTTCCCCTTTTTCAGATAGCGCCTGAAGACCTTCCTTTTCAACCGTGCTTATGGTCACCTTATATTGCATGGATATTATATTGCATGCGACCACCAAGAAGGTGGAAGGCAAACTAGATAGACCTTGGTCTTTTTTCGTCCAGGATTTCGTATGTTCTTATATGTTCTTAAATGCACGGCCAGTCCACTCTACAGTACATTCTGTAAAGCCCTTTGAGACATCTCACCGACGTGATAAAGCGTTATATCAAATGCAAGGATTATTATTATTCATTATTATTTTTATTTTAGGAAAGAATTGTTCTCCCTCTTTCTCTCCCTCCGCAATTACAGGACACACACAAAGGGCACATACCTAACTTCAACCAATTAATCATTCGCACGTTTCCCCTTTCCTCCCTCCTCCCTCCTCCCTCCCTCCTTCCTCCTCTTCTCCGAAGACGTTCGCAAACAGAATTATCAAAGTGCTCGTAGCAAGTCTATCTGAGAGTCATTGTTCAAGATGGTTTAGCCATTCCCAGTGACTTTACCCCAGATCTCTTTGTCCTGCTCACAGCCTATAAAAACGTTAACTACATCAGTGGTGAATGGAGAAAGTCGACTGATGTAAAATCATCCGAGTTAACAGGCGATGTTCTACTCTTCCCCCCCCACCCCCAGGGGATGGGGAGGGGAAGAGAGGGGGGGAGGAGATTGCATCAATCAAATTGTTCTTGGCAAGTTCGACCTTCTAATCCCAGAGCTTTCTCTCCCATCACCTGATGGATGGATGGATGGATGTAAATTCAGCTCCACCAACTCTGCATGAAAAGTGGGGTTGGAATGCCCTCAAGGGAGAGAGAGAGAGAGAGAGGGGGAGGGAGGGAGTGTGTGAGAACAACTGTGAGAAAGAGAGTGAATGAAAGAGAGGGATATGTATGTGTGAGAGAGAGAGAGAAGGAAATAAAGGACTGTAAGAGAGTGTGTGTGAAAGAGAGGGATGAAAGAGAAAGAGAGAGCTTGTGAAAGATGGGGTGTGTGTAAGAGAGAGAGGGGGAAGGAAATAAAAGAATGAGAGAATAAGTTTGTGTGTGTGTGTGAGAGAGTGAGAGAGAGGGAGGGAGTGAGTGTGAAAAATAGGGAGTAAGAGAGAGAAAGAGAGAGGGAAGGAAATAAAGACTTAATCGATCCTTTTAACTCACTCCCAGAAACAAAAAAACAGAAGAGAGAGAGAGAGAGAGAGCAATGAGGCATTTAACACTTCTGTTTAAAGGAACAAAAACACACAAATGAACCTTTAGATCTTTCTAAACTTGTGATTAAAAAACACACACTTTATCCTGTTGTTTTGTCTGTGTCTGTGTGTGAGAGTCTTCATGGGTTAACCTAAAATTTCAATACTCAATGCTCAACTCACTCTAGGTTTAGAATTAAGTTAAATCTAAAATTAAAATTAGATGTAAAATGAAATTAAATCTAGATTAAAATGCATGCATTCGCCTTAAAATGCTCAATACTCAGCCCATTCTAGATTGCATTTCACGTTCGACAAGTGTTTCAGATTATTCATGCCCACATTTCTCCCTATCCCCCCACAATCCCCCCACAATCCCCCCACCTTGTAACAGCCACCAAAAAAAAAATCCCCTTTGATCGTGAAATCGACACTCCACAAACTTTCTTGCAGGAAGAAAGTTGGCGAAAACTTTTAACGTTTTCTAAAACTCCCTGTATGCCTGAAGCACATACACACAGCTATCTATACATACACGGTATAGATAGATATACATACACGTATATAAACATTATACATTACATAAACATATATGTGTTATAAAACATATATTACACATACACATAAATACACACAGAAACACACACACACAAACACACGCATACACGCTGTAAATAACAATAATAACCCTTATGTTTGATCCAGCGTCTTGTCACGTCTTCGAGACGTCTCAAAGCGCTTCGCAGAATGTACTGTAAAGCGAATTGAATGTATGTGTTGTGGGTGAAACGCGGCGGCCGATTGCGCACAGCGGTGAGTGTCCCACACACAGTCGTGGATTGAGTGACCGCATTATTATTATTATTATTATTATTTTTTTACATGCGTTTATTTTACGCGTGTGCATGTGTACATACACGCGTACAAATGCACGTAGATATGTATGTGTATGTGAATGTGAATGCAATCCCATCGGGAGAGGTTTGCTGGTGCTCTCTCTCCAGCCTTGCTCTGTGCTGTGGAATGCAGGGTAACTTGCGGTCACAGAGCTCCAGACTCCTTTCTCTACTGTTCACAAAGCAGGTCTCAGGCGGGAGAGAGGGGTTACTTGCGGTTAACGCCCTGCTAATAGCAGCTGTGACCATGATTCCAGCACCTCGCAGCTGTGCTCCTGGCGTCTGCAAGAGCCGAGGAGCATCTCACAGCAAGTGGGGCTCGTTCACGGCTGAACCAGCCAGCACTGAGCGAGTCGTTGCTGCTTCACTTGCATTGAATGTGGGAGGAAAGAGAGGGAGTCTGGCTGTATCAAACCCACTTTGCGTTGAGTGCTAAGGAGCGGTTTCATCGAGGGGGTGGGGGGGGGCGCGCGCTGCAGGAAGGGGAGAAATGTGGAGTCCTGTAGCGCAGTGGTTAGAGCCCTCACCTCGCAAGCGAGAGCACCCGGGTTTGATTCCAGGGCAGGGCGAAACCTCCGGCAAGTTTCCTTACTGCTCACGTCTCTGTTTTCCTAGCAGTAAGTAGGAACCCGGTTGTTAATCGATTGTGTCACTCAATCCACGACTGTTTGTGGTGACACTGCCAGGCGCAGTTGGCTGCCGCGTTTCACCCACAAAATACACAGTCACTCCACTTTACAGTGTATCCTGTGAAGCGCTTTGAGACGTCGCAACAACATGGTAAGGCGCTGTATCAAATGCAAGGAATAATTTTATTCGGGGGATTGTTGGCCAGGACATAGAGAGAGAGAAACTCCCTTCTCCTTTCGAACAGTGTAACGTTTAACGAACAGTGTCATCTTTAACGTCCACATGAACAGGCAGACGAGACCCCAGCACTGCACTGGAGCGTCAGCTTAGTCCTTAAGTGGGGCTTGAACCCACAACCATCTGACTCAGAGGAGAGAGTGCTGATACTCTGAAGGAGGGAGGGTCGGAGGGAGTGAAGGGCGCAAGGGATATAAAGAGAGCTTTTAGACATAGAACGCATTGTTCTGCCTCCAGAGTGCAGTGTCGGAGCTTTGATTTAATGCCATAACGATACGGGGAAGAGGTTCTTACATTTTAACCTGAGCTAAGTGGTCGAGGTTTGCGTTTAGGAGTCAATGCCCTGTGAATTCTGGGGGTGGGGAAAGAGGGGGTGGGTGGGGGGGGGAGAGGGGAGGGTGGGGGGAAGAGGGGAGGGTTGTAAGGCAGGTCCGATCAGCCAGTTAATTAGAAAAGAAAAAAAAACTCTTGCACACCTGAAGAAATGATCCTATTTATGAAGCGAGAGGAGGGGAAAGAAAAAATCCCCACGGATCCGTTACTTTAATCGCCGCTGTCTCTTAGCCTTTTCGGTGCAAAACCAAAGCGCTTCACAGAATTTACTGTAAAGTGAATTGACTCTATAGTTTGTGTTTCGCCCACAAGATACAGTCAAACCACCTTGACAGTGAATTCTGTGTGAAGCGCTTTGAGATGTCTCAATAAGATGTAATAAGGTGCTATATCAAATGCAAGGATGATTATTATTATTATTATTATTATAATAAAACCACACACCAGAGTGGTTGGTCAGTCGACTGGACTCCCTGTCCTCAGTTTTGTCCCTTGTTCCGTGTGAAGAAAACCTACAAAAGATAGATTTTGCGACTCTGAAATGGCACGAATTTGAGCACAATCCGTGAGGGGAGCGGAGAGGGTGTGTGATGTGTGCGTGTGGAGGTGGGGAGAGTAGTGGTGGGGGGGGGGGGGGGTGGAAGGAATGTTTTCGACCTTGTTAAACACCAGTTTATTATTTTCACCAAAAAAACCCTCTCGTGGGCCCCACTCTAACCCGTAGGCTTAATACTGTGTAGCACGCCTCCCTGCATTCATCGCACCACACAGGGTCTCCTGATCCTAACGGTGTCAGTGTGCAACAGTGTCGGAAGATTATCACACAAGCTTGACCCAGTCTTGGGGCCACTTCTTGGGTCCAAATGTCAGAGGATTCCCGTGGGTTCAAGTCTCACGGTTCGTTTCGGATGAGACGTTAAACCGAGTTCCCCGTCTGCCTGTTCAGGTGGGCGTTAAAAATCCCGCGGCGCTATTCGAAAAGAGTCTAACGGCGTTTCTACCACCCAGCGTCCTGGCCAACCACCCCCCCAAGTAAAATCGGTCACTCAATCCATGACTGTCCGTGACACACTGCTGTACACGACTGGCTGCCTCGTTTTGCCCCCAAAATACACGGAAAATCCACTTTGCGGTAAATCCTGGGAAGCTCTTTGAGACCTCTCAACGACATGATAAGGCGCTAAAACCAAACGGGGGCACGGGTTCAGGGTCCGAAGGGGGCAGTTTCAGGACAGGCACCAGGAAGCGATTACTCAGCAGAAGGCGAAACCTTGGGCAAGTTTCCTTACTCCACACGCCTAATAATAATCCCTCCAAAAAAAAAAAAAAAAAACAATAATTAAATTGGTCATTTTCAATCTATGACTGTTTGTGGGACATTGCTGTGCGCAATTGGCTGCCGCGTTCGCCCACAAAATATACAGTCAACTCACTTTACAGTATATTCTGTGAAGCGCTTTGGGACGTCCTCCCGACGTGAAAAAGCGCTATATCAAATGCAAGGATTATTATTATTATTATTATTACTCAGAGGGTAATTAACAACTGGAACCGGGAAAGGAGCCCTTCCTTCCTGATGCGTAACAGCGATAATACCCAATCACCGCCCCGTATCCTAGTTTAAGCTTGTCCGTCACAGTGGACAACAACAATAATAACAACTAAATTACATTTGTATAGCGCCTGTCCCAAGGCGCTGGGTCACAGTTTCTGACCCAAGCTGAGGGGTCGGGATCAGGAAATGTGAAGGGCAGGGTGGGGTGGGGGGGAAGCAGGATGATGGAAAGCACGGTCGAAGAGGAGGGTCTTGAGATGGGTCTTGAAGGAGGCAAGAGAGGGGGTGAGGCGGAGGGACTGCGGGATGGAGTTCCAGAGGGTGGGGGCAGAGTGGCAAAGGGACTTCTTCATCCAAACCTCTTTTGTGATCGTAACTTTGTCAACTGCTCCTGAAAGTCGTCGACTGCATCCTCTGGTTCACAGTCCGTGGCTCTGTGAAGCTGCTTTAATGCAGCACCATCTAGTGTTAGTGTTTCGTACGTCTCCCCCCACCTACCGCCCCCCCACCCCCTCTTCATCATCACAATCGACAATTTACATTGAAGGCGAAAAGAAATAAACGCCCCTTTTTTTAAACTCCCACAAAGCAACAACTTGCACTCACGTAGAGTAAGACATTGAACCGAGGTCCCATCTGCCTGTTCAGGTGGACGTTAAAGATCCTGTAATACTATTCGGAAAGAGAAGGGAGTTTCTCTCTCTCCTGGTGTCCTGGTCAACAATCCCCCAAATAAAATTGGTCACTCAATCCACGACGGTTTATGGGACGTTACTGTGTCCAATTGGCTGCCACATTTGGCCCACAAAATACACAGTCGCTCCACTTTACCGTATATCCAGTGAAGCGCTTTGATGTGTCTCGACGATGTGATAAGACGGTTTATCGAATGCGAGGATTATTATCATCATTATTGTAATTGTTATCACTTTAACGTCTCGTCTGAAGCACGTCTGAAGCTCCATCAATGGAGCGCTGCACGAGAGCATCAGCCTAAGGCTGAATGAGTCCAAGGTCCCAAAATGGGGGCTTGAACCCACAAAACCTCTTGACTCAGAAGTGAGAGTACTACCGACTGAGCTGGTACCTATATTCTGGAGGCAAAGGTTAATTGGTTTACCATTGTCGCTTGTGACAGTAGCTCACAGACTGATAATACAGCGGGGAGGGGGGGGTGGGGGGAAGGGGGATGGGGGAGGTAGCCTGGAGGGGGAGGGGGGAGAGGGGGCAAAGTCCACCCAATTCAGAAGCGAGAAGGGACAAAAAAGTTGCAATTCAAACATATTCATTCGGGAAAAAGTTCTTCGGAGTCTCAGAGAAGTGAGCGGAGCGGAGTGGCCGATCCACGACCAAAAAGAAGGTGATCGCACTGGAGTTTTAATGATTATTTTTATCCACCAGAGAATTGATCTCAAATAATAATAATCCTTGCATTTCACGTAGCGCCTGATCGCGCTGTTGAGATGCCTCAAAGCTCTTCACAGAACATATTGTAAAGTGGATTTACCGTGGATTTTGTGGGCCAAACGCGGCAGCCAAATGCGCACAGCCACGTCCCGCAAAACAGTCGTGGATTGAGCGGCCAAATTTTTTGCCCAAGGGATTATTACTTCCACCGATCGACTAACAATCGGGTTCCTACTTGCTGCTAGGAACACAGACGTGAGGATTGAGGAAATTTGCCTAAGGTTTCGCCCCGCCCGGGAATCGAGACCCGGGTCCACTTGTTTGCCAGGCGAGCGCGCCAACCACTACGCTACTGGAAACCAAAACGATGGGCTTGTCGGCTAAGAGCGGGTGGAATTTTGGGGCTTCTGTAAAACTCCCATCAGTGCAAGACTCCTTGCTGGGCTTTTAATAGCGCTTGACCAGAGAGCAGTCGTCTTCTCAGTTTTCGTGGGTGGAGCCAGACTATTTCTGTAGTTGACTCCAGATTAAGAAATAACTCTTGAGCCGGGTGTCGCTGGCGTTCTTAAGGCGCGGCAATGAAAAAGGTCTTTTAGATGGTCCTTGAACGAGGTGAGGTGAGGAGGGAGTGAGTCGGAGGGAGGGATCCCAGGATGGATTTCCAGAGAAACGTGTGTAGGAATTTCTGCTTTGTGTTGGATGGAACTTTTTTTCACAAACCCTCTTCTTCTTTCCTCTCCGCTCTCCTCTCTCCTTCTGGCCCCTCTAGCATGGATGTGACGTCGATCCCACAGACCCGTGGAGAGGGATGGTATTTGGCTCTCATGCCCCCCAATATAAAGGGCCCGATGTATGCCTGGCTTGACCCATCCCGACTGTACTGTAATCAACAGGTAACTAAAACCTTGCCGTTCGCCAGACAAGAGCTGACATTGTCAGCTAGTCGGACTTCCTGGTGTTTAACAAACATTTTTTTAATTTAATAAATAATAATAAAATAAATAATAATAACATTCCTTGCGTTTGATACAGCGCCTTATCATGTCTTCGAGAGACGTCTCAAAGCGCTTCACAGAATATACTGTAAATCGAATTGACTGTATCCTTTGTGTGTGATATAATAATAATTATTATAATAAATCGGTATTTATCGTACATTTTAATGCATTTAATAATAATAATAGTATTAATCCTTGCATTTGAGATAGCGCCCTATCACTTTTTTGAGACGTTTCCGCAAATTGAATTGCAGATCGTTTATTAAACCAAGAGTTCGGGTAGTAAACACCCACCTTTTGGTTGGCTGACAAAATAATGCTAGAAATAACAAAACAACACTGATTTATGCCGTAAATCAAGAAATACTCAATCAAGAAACATCTGTTTTGTTGGCCGACTGACTGGCCACCACCAGTCACTCCAGTACCGTGTTGGGGGGAACGCTCCGGATTAAGTTGGTTTGAAGAAGTTTTTTTCTTTTTTTTGAGGCTTTGAAGGATTGCATTGAGGACCTGGCGCAGCCTTTCCTGAACGACCCCGTTGACCTGGTGGCTGGCATTGACGCGATGGGCTTCATTCTGGGTAACAATCAGAACAAGACATTCCATAGGAACAAGAGTGGGCCATTCAGCCCCTCGAGCCTTTTCCGCCATTCCATTAGACCACGGCTGATCTGTACATCAACTCCAATTACACGTCTTTGCCCCATAGCCCTTCCTACCCTGACCTAACGCAAATCCATCCACCTCAGTCTCGAGAATTTGAATGGATCCAACTTCCACAGCCCTTTTGGAGGGAGGGAGGGAGGGAGGGAGGGCGAGAGAGAGAGTTCCAGATTTCCACTGCCCTTTGCATGAGAAAATGCTTCCTGGTTTCACTCCTAAAATGGCTTAGCTCTAATTTTAAGATGATGCCCGCTTGCACTGGATTTCCCCACCAGAGGAAAAAATTTCTCACAGCGCTTCACAAGGTGTGGAGGGGGGTGGGTGGGTGGTGGTGGTGGGGGGTGGAACTGCTGGTGATGTGCAAGCGTCTGTGTGTCTTTTTTAGGGCAATGCGGTCGTCAATTTGTGCACAGCGACATAATAATAATCCTTGCGTTTGATACAGCGCCTTATCACGTCTTCGAGCCGTCTCAAAGCGCTTCACGGGAGACACTGTGAAGTGAATTGACTGTATATTTTGTGGGCGAAATGCGGCAGCCGATTGCGCGCGGCCACAAAGTGAAGAGCTCATTTTATCAGATGGATAACAGGGAGACAACATCCGCTTGATTTCCAAATGCCTAATGTCCCACCAAGTGCTTTGCTGTGAAATGCGCTGTGGAAACGTAAGCTGCCGTTAACGCCTCTCACCTCACGTCCCCTCAACTCGTTCTTATTTCTTCGCCTTCCCCGCCTCCCCCTCTCCTGGATTTAAAGATCGCCTCCTTGCCTGCTCAGCAAATTTGTTGCGTCCGTTCAATATTAAAATTCTTTGAGGATTTACAACCTCAGGGGCTTATATGGATGCCTCCTCCCCCCGATCCACTATGTCTCGTTCCGAAAATCAAATTAAAACAAACGAGAGACTCTTACTTCTCTGCCTGCCGCCCTCGAAAGGTTTCTTTCGTTAATTAGTAATTTCATCGCAAACTGATTTTTGGGTTTGCGTGGCTCACTGAGGCCAGCCACGGCAGGGGGTTTGTTTAAGTCTATATTTGGATCCAAAGTCCACGTGCGATCGCGAAGCCTGGGCAAGAGATTTGTCTGGGAGGAATTTCCGTTCTGCCCGCAGTGAGATCAAGCGATGCACAATGCTTACCCTGTGTTGCTTTCCCTCTCTTCCCCTTTTGACCATCTTTCAGCCATTGCGCCTCGAAGTTTCGGAACTCTCTCCCCCACCAATCCCCCGCCTTGCACCCCCCCCCCCTCCTTTCCCTCTTTTAGATCCCGAATGAAGATCTTTCGTCTTTAACCTTGCTTACGGTCACCTCCTTCCCCCACCCCCCTCGTGCACGGCGCTATATAAATATAAATGCAAGTTGTTGTTGCTGTCCTAAGCGCGGAACGGCTGCGATTACGGGTTAACGTTCAAGTCATGAGTTTTTTTGTTAAAGGAATCCTTGCATTGGATACTGTGGCTTTCAGGCTGGGAGAACATTGCAAAGAACTTCATAAGATTTACCGTGCGATTGTAGGCAATATGCAGCAGCCAATTTGGGCACAACAGTCCTACACAGAAACCTACGCTTCCCAATGGATTCTGTGAAACACTTTGAGGCGTAATAAGGCTCTGTATCAAATGCAAAGATTCAAGCACTCCCTTGTCTCAGTTCCTCTGCCTCATCCCCTCTTTAGCCATCTTCAGATCCCACTTGAAGATATTCTTCTTTGACCTCCCCTCCCTCCCTCCCAGCTTGGGGGTCAAATCCCCCGTGTTGTTCAGTGCTCTGAGATGCTACCCCATGTGAGGGGCGCTGTATAAATGCGCATTGTTGCAAGCTGCCGTCGGTGTGAAATGGAAGGAACGCGATCGAATGCCGCCTGAAGGTCTCTCGTGTGACCTTCTTTGTCTCTGTGAGAATCAGCGACAAGAGCAGGGGATTTGTCAGTGGTGGGGAGGGAAGAGTCTCACCCTCTGCCCCTCTGTTCTGCAGGAGCCGGCATCGCCAACCGGCTCGCCAAGGGCTTTGTAACCGTCCGGAAGGAAGGTCACCTGTGCGTCCAATCCCAGAGCGCGGCTTACTCCGACTACACGGGCCGGCGGAAAGTTCTGGAAATGCGCACTGACGTGATTAAACCAGGTTGGTGTTTCCTGCGTAAAACAGTGTCGATTTTGGTGTCTGATCTTAGTGGGGATCCTCAATAAGGGAATCAGCTTGATGCCAACCCAGTGGGGATGTGGGGGTGGGGATGGGGGTGGGTGGGGTTGGGGGAAGAAGGGGTGGAAGATCCTCTCAGACGTCCGTCACGCCCACTGGGAAGAGGTGGTGGATGGGGGTGGGGTGGGGGAGGGTGCGGATTCCTTAATAAGAAATCCCGCAAATTACACCCAACGCAGCTCCACTGTGGGCACAAGTCGAGTTAACGCAGCAACCAATAACCCATGCGAGTGACAATGCTTGGGCTCGTTTACGGTATTTAAGTGTGGTTGGCGTGATTGGGGAGGATGGGGAGGGGCGAGGGGGCCGGGGTGTCTGGCCGGGATGAGGTCGGATGAGCCGGAGAGCTTCCTTCGCCCGGAACCTCGCCCCCATCTCGAGGCGACGCTGGGCAAGTAAAACTCTTGATCGGCTTCAGGTACGCGGGTGCTGATGGTGGATCAGTGGGTGGAGACCGGGGGCACGATGGAGGCTGCGATCGGCCTGGTGGAGCAACAAGGTGCAACCATTGCAGGTACACGTTTCCACGCACGCCACATGCTAGAAGCGCCCACGCAACACCCCCGAGCAATCTGCCGGGAACAATGCAATCTAGGACGTCCCAAAGGGGGTTCATTCACGTCGCGAATCCACAGTGAAGTCCCGTGGCGTAGCGGTTAGAGCGCTCGCCTCGCAAGCGAGAGGACCCGGGTTCGATTCCCGCCCAGGCAGGGCGAAACCTTAGGCAAGTTTCTGTACTCCACACACCTCCGTTGGCCCGGTAGTAAGTAGGAACCTGGTTGTCAAGTCGATTGGCGAATCGTTTCCCGGGGGTAATCCCTCCCCCCCAAAAAAATATGGTCACTGATTCCGTGACTGTTTGTGGGACGCTACTGGAGCAATTGGCTGCCGCGTTTCACCTACAAAATACCCAGTCAATCCACTTGACAATATAGTCTGTGAAGCGCTTCGAGACGTCTCAACGCCGTGATAAGGCGCTGCGTCAAATGTCAGCCAAGACACCGGGTGAGAGAAACTCCCTCCTCTTTCGAATAGCATCTCAGGCGATGGAGCTCAGTTTAACGTCCCATCTCCCTCCCTCTCCTGTGGCTTTTAGGCATCGCTACAATCTGCATTGAGGACACCGAAGGTGGGAAGCGGATCAAAGCGAAGTATAAGTGCTCGACCTGCGTCCCCGAACACCTCCAGCATCAGTTTAACAGCCATCACCTAGACTCCTTCACCACCTTCCACCAGCCAGCCAGCACCCTGAAGTAATGGAGCACAGCCATCGCACCTTTCTTCTCTCTCCCTCCCCCCCCCCCTTCTTCGCTCTTCCTCTCTCCCCTCCACTCTATCTGCCCATCAGTGGTGGGCGAACTTTTAGCTCTTGTGGCCCCCCCCTCCCCACGAAAAACCTGAATCCTTTGACCGTGCTTTCGGTCATCTTTCCTCCCCTCCTCCCACCTTCTTCAGGCTCCCCACCCCGCACCCACCCGCAGCCCCCTCACACAGCATGGCCCAGGAGGTGCTCAGACATCTGGGTGAAGCGCTTTCTTTATGAGACGTCCTCCCGCTTCGAAGTGAAAGGCGGAGCGCGAATGTAAACCGTATTGAAGCCATCTTTATTGATGAAACAAGTACCATTGGATTGACACGGAAAGCGGTTGTGGAGAGAACCACAAATTATATATATATATATAGAGACAGACAGAGCATTTACACCTGCTCCCCCCCACCCCCCCCTCCCAAATCAGTGGACAGGAATCTCAGGGGGAGGGAAAGGGTGGGTGGGTGGTGGGGGAGCGCCCTGAGTTTTATGCGTGGACATTTCACTCACAAAACACAGTCACTCCACTTCACAGTATGTACCGTGAAGCGCTTTGAGACGTCTCGATGACGTGATAAGGCGCTATATCAACTGCAAGGATTATTATTATTATTATGGACATGGCAGTAACTCAGATGGGTGTTGGTGGGGTGGGTGGCAGCAGGAGTGGGAGGAACGTATTGTCGTAAGGAGCACAAGGCGGGGAGAAGGCTAGAAAGAGGGACGTAACTCAACTAAAATATCCGTAAGAATTCCCACTCTGTATCGTCTTAACACTGCGTCGTGCCTTAGGCTGAGGGAATGGAGGCGAAGCAGTGGACTTACGATGGGTTTAGAGGCAGGTCAAACCAGGAAGGGCTGTAACACTGACCACAGAAAAGGCGAGTGGTTAATGAGGCGGTGTGTGTGTGTGGGAATGTACCGTGATAGGGAGCAGTGAAGAGTTACGTTTAAACAGACACTTGTGCTTTACGTTCGAAGCTCAAAAAAAGTCGTCATCCCCTCGTCTCGCTCATCTTTCCACCCAAGTCCAGAGTTGAATCATATTCTCAGCATCTCAGTGTGATTCCACCAGTCCCTCTCCACTTCACTCCCCCGACCTCTCCCCACAACCTCACGCCTTCTTTAAGATGATACCAGTGATCATTCCGCCGCTCAGGCTGTTTGTGTGTGTGTGTGTGTGGGTGGGTGTGTATGTGTGGGTGGGTGTGTATGTGTGTGTGGGTGGGTGTGTATGTGTGGGTGGGTGTGTATGTGTGGGTGGGTGGGTATGTGTGGGTGGGTGTGTATGTGTGGGTGGGTGTGTATGTGTGGGTGGGTGTGTATGTGTGGGTGGGTGTGTATGTGTGGGTGGGTGGGTATGTGTGGGTGGGTGTGTATGTGTGGGTGGGTGGGTATGTGTGGGTGGGTGTGTATGTGTGGGTGGGTGGGTATGTGTGGGTGGGTGTGTGTGTGGGTGGGTGGTATGTGTGGGTGGGTGGGTATGTGTGGGTTGGGTGTGTATGTGTGGGTGTGGTATGTGTGGTGGGTGTGTATGTGGGGGGTGTATGTGTGGGTGGGTTGGGTATGTGTGGGTGGGGTGTGTATGTGTGGGTGGGTGGGTATGTGTGGGTGGGTGGTATGTGTGGGTGGGTGTATGTGTGGGTGGGTGGGTATGTGTGGTGGGTGTGTATGTGTGGGTGGTGGTATGTGTGGGTGGTGTGTATGTGTGGGGTATGTGGGTGGGTGGGAATGTGTGGGTGGGTGTGTATGTGTGGGTGGGTGGGTATGTGCGGTGTAGGATTAAACACAGCATCAGTCACAGCTGAGATTCCAACGTTCCACCTTAAGGTGACTCAAGCAGGAGCTTGGGCAGGATTTCGAGTTGGTGGTTGTGCGTGTGTGTGTGTGTGTGGGGGGGGGGGGGGGGGGGTTGGGGTGGGGAGGGGGAGAGGAGAAAGCCCCCCCACCCACCACTGGAGGCTTGTGTGGAGGACTGAGTAGTCTGGCTTATTATCCCGTACCATGTGGAGCTGGTCACAATCACAGCAGATGCTGCTTTTCCTGCCGTGAGCTCTTTCTTTGGTTCCGAACTGAACACATGTGCAAAACGCAGCTGAAACACTCGTTCATCATTGACAACAGTCGGACCTGGATTTCTTCCTTCTCTGGTAGGGATTCTTGTCGTTGTTGTTGATGCCTTGAACCGGCGGGAGAGAGAAAGGTAACTGAATAAAGGGCTGACCTCAGCAAAGTCATCCTTTACTTAAATAAATGAGCGCTTGGAACGTCCTCCCGGTGTGAAAGGCGCCGTACAAATGTAATCTTCTGTTGTATTGTATACACTTCGTCCCCCTCTCTGCACTTCACGGGCTTGAGGTGTCTCCTGGTTTCACGACAGTACATTTTGACGCAGAGCCTCATCACGTTGCCCGGACACCTCAACGTGCTTTGTGGGGTTTACCGTAAAGTGCGGTGAATGTGTACTCTTAGACGAACCCGGCAGCCAATTTAGCGCACAGCGACGTCCGGGGAAACAGCCGTGAAGCGAACAACCGATTTTTTATCAGGGCCGGTACACGGGGAGAGAGGAAACTCCCTCGTCTTCTCCAACAGCGCCGTGGAGTAATTTACGTCCGCCTAAACAGGGCACGGACGAGGATTTGGGTTAACTAACGTCTGGGCAAAGCACGGCGTCTCCCTTGATGTAACGCGCCCCCCAGCATTGTGATCTGATCCGGGTGGGGGTGAGGGGGGGGCTGTGGTTTCTGCGCTGTGTTTATACTTACGGACCACATCGCCGATCTTCCTGGGGCTGGTCTTTTCCAGCTCGGACAGTACGTTGGCTTCGAAGGTGAGGGAAGCCACCCTGAAGAAAAACTCCTTGACGTTCTCACCTGGGGAGGGGGTGGGGTGGGGTGGGGGGGGTGTGAGAGGTCACGGAGAGGAGGGTGTTAACTCAGTCTCATGGCACAGGTGCAGTTGTGTCCGTGTTGACGGACCATCAGGGTTGAACGCATCAAACCTCCTCAGGTGGTCTCTCAACACACACACACACACAATCACACACACGCACAACTGTGCACGCGTGACTATACACACGGACAATCGCACACATCCAACCACACACACACGCGCACACACACACACACGTGAACAGCTACACACACATGCAATCACGGGGGGGGTAATAAACCCTTCGAAAAATAAATAATAACTAATCATAATAATTTGGCCACTCAACCCACGACTGTTTGTGGGACACTGCTCTGCGCAATTGTCTGCCGCTGCTCGCCCTCGCAAAATACACAGTCACTTCACTTCACAGTATAATTCCGTGAAGCGCTTTGAGACGTCTCGAAGGTGTTCCGAGTCAAGAGATTTCCGCTAGATTGATGTCGCATTTCAGACGACGGCGTGATAAGGCGCTACATCAAATGCGAGGGTTATTATTACTGTATTATTACCATCACACACACACAAATACACACACGCTTTGTTGGTGAAGTATGAGTTAATAATCCTTGCATTTGATATAGCGCTTTTCACGTCAGGAGGACGTCCCAAAGCGCTTCACAGAACACACTGTAAAGTGAATTGACTGTATATTTGTGGGCGAAACGCGGCAGCCAATTGCGTACAGCAATGTCCCACAAACAGTTGTATGACCAATTTATTATTGTTTTTGGTTTTGGAGGGATTATTATTAGGCTCTGTGTGGAGTAAGGAAACTTGCCCAAGGTTTCGCCCTCTGCCTGGAATTGAACTCAGGTCTCTCTCTTGCAAAGCGAGTGCTCTAACCACTGAGCTACAGGACTCCACACAAAAAGTTATGGATTTATGGATTTATATAGTGGATCAGCTACCCGACTCCCTTGGCATGAGAGGGCCGTCAATCAGTGGGTTACTAGTCCATATCCCTCAAACTGCAGCCGTCAATCAAACTCCACTCCCTTTACAGCGCAGCATTAAGTAAGCTGCCTGCGGGGTTTTTTCGTGGTTGGGGGGGGGGGAGATGAGGCCACTGGAGGGAGCACTTGTGTACGGTACACTGGTGTACCATCTAGTGGAGAAACAAGAGAGTGATACCAGTCAGGAGACATCCCACCGGGATCCGGAATCAACTCCAGTGCTTTCGCCTCTCAGCGCGATCCCTAAACGCCGGCCTCGATTTTGAAGCCCATTCGCGGGCTCGGCCCTCGGCCACTCACTCACCTGTCAGAGAAGACAGCGCCCAATACTCAGCTCTCATCTCCTTCGCGATCTGGATGGCGTCTTTCTCGATCAGGGAGTACTGGCTGGCTGACTGAAAGGCAGAAGGAGAACCGGGGTGAACACGGAGCAAAAAAAGAAAAGAAAAGAAAAGAAAAGCAGAAAGGAACGTCAGCCGCGAAGCTGCTTATTCCTAATCTCGCAACAGCTCCGTGTTTTGTCCGAACGTTTAAGGTGACTTTGCGGAATCAACAATCCTTGCATTTTCTTTTTAATAATCCTCGCGTCCGACACGGCGCCTTATATCCCGTCTTCGAGACGTCCGCAAAACGCTTCACGGGATAGACCGTCGAGTGAATTGACTTTGTGGGCCAAACGAGGCAGCCAATTGCGCAGAGCGGTGTCCCACAAACAGTCGTGGATTGAATATAAGAGAGTTCCTAACAGTTGCACTCACGCTGATGTCTTTCTTTGTCCCAACTAAGAATAGCAGTACGGAGGTTGGGTCATTTTCTTTCAGGGCATCTTTTAGCCATTGTCTGAGGAAAGAACATCCAAATAATAATAATAGTAATAATAGTAATAATCCTTGCATTTGATAGAGAGTAGATCTGGGGGCGATGAGCGCTGGTTAGTCACTGCATGCGACTGCCTTTATGTCAAACGCGACTCCCCTCGGAAGCGAAGGCGCGGATGGAACGATCCCCGACGTAACCCAAGAATCCTGTGTCCGACCACTTACTTCACGTGATCAAGAGACTCGATATCGTTCACATCGAACACGATTATAATGGCTGGAAGCAAGAACATAACAGGCAAAACATTCAGCAAACCTGTCTACAGGAAACCAAAGCTCTTCAGCGTAAAGGGCGCTACACAAACACAAGTTGCTGTTGTTTGGGAAACACAGACAAGCAAATTACAACGGCTTGCATTTGATGATGATAAAAATAATAATTCTTGCATTTGATACAGCGCCTTCTCAAGTCATTGAGGTGTCTCAAAGCGCTTCCCAGGATATACTGCAAAGTGCAGTGACTGTGTATTTTATGGGCGAAAAGCGACAGCCGGTTTGCGCACAGCAATGTCCCACAAACAGCCATGAGGTGAGTGACCATTTTTATTTGTGGTAACGTTGACCAGGACACTCCCTTCTCTTTTCCAATAGAGCCATGGGATCTTTAACATCCACCTGAACAGGCAGACGGGACCTCGGGTTAATGTCTCATCTAAAGGACGGCACCTCCGACAATGCAACACACCCCCAATGTCAGTTTAGTCTGTGTGATTCCAAGTCCTGATGTGAGGCTCGAACCCACGACCTTCTGACTCAAGAGGCGAGTGAGAGTTACCACTGAACCAGGCTGACAACGAGCCCGGCTGAATTCACATAGTGTTCTTCGCTCAGAACAGCTCCGAATTTTGGAGCCCTAAAGGCTGATCATAACAATATGTTTGTAAAATTAATAGACCTTGTGCTCCTCTGTAGTAGGTTGATGCGATACACTTAAACCTCTCTTGCCCGGCTGTGTCCCACCTAATGGGGAAAAAGAAGAAAAATAACATTGAAATGATTCACCTGCTCTCTGGTCTCCTGCCCTTAGGTTACATTCACTCAGAAGATTCACACTTGCATCACGCGGGGGAAAAAAAATGAGGTGCCAACCATCTCTCGGCCAGACGGAATATTTATAATAATCCTTGCATTTGATACAGCGCCTTATCACATCGTTGAGGCGTCTCAAAGCGCTTCACAGAATATACTGTAAAGTGGAGTGACTGTGTATTTTATGTGGGGGGTGAAACGCAGCAGCCAGTTTGCTGTAATGTTTCACAAACAGCCACGGATTGAGTGACCAAATTTATTTGAGGTCGTCGGGGAAGAGAAACTCCTTGATCTTTTCGAATCATGACCGTGGGAATCTTTAACGTCCACCTGGACAGGCAGACGGGAACCCGGTTCAACATCTGATGGCTCAGACAAGGGGCGGAATGGATAAGGTGTCTCATTAACCGCATGTTGTGAGCGTGGCCACTACGTACAGCTGTAGACTGAAGGGGACGCCCAACACTTCGAAACGTTCCATCTCGAAGTCAACCCCGATGGTAGCCTTGTAATTCTTGTCAAAGGTGTTCTTACAGAACCTGAGGTGGGGTGGGGGGGGAACACAAGAGTCAGAACAATAAATAACAACCCTGGCAAATCAGCCTACAACTCTAGGGAACTCCATCCACTGAATCCCCCCCACCCACCCACCCACCCACCCACCCGCCCCGACTCGCTCGTCCCCTCCATCACGTGGAAACGCGCTATGTAAATGTAGATTTGTGTTGTATTGTCTCAAAGCGCTTCACAGGAAAACACAGTGTGATGGACGCTGTATAAATGCATGTTGTTGTTGTTGTTGCTGCTACTGCTGCTGCTGTACTTACCGATTAATTAAACATGTTTTCCCTACAGACAGGTCTCCGACCACAATAATTTTGGAAATCTTCAACCTGAAAGGAAAAATAATATTTGCTTATACAAACAGTTGGTGTGCGTGTGTATGTGTGTGTGGGGGGGGGGCTGAGGGAGAGGAAAAAACCTTTGAGATAAAATTCCGTTCGAGTCAAGCGATTTCCTTTAGATTGACGTCGCTGCTCAGGATTTCTCAAATCCGCTCTGAACATTCGAACTGGTTTTCTGTTCATTCTTACAAGAAATTTGCAGGAAAAATAGCTGAGGCTCTGTTTAAGAAAAGAGGGGATCTTTAACGTCTGCCTGGACGGACAGCCGGGATCTCGGTTTAACGTCTCATCCAAAGGATGGCGCCTCCGACAATTCAAAGCACCCCCAGCACTCCACCGGAGCGTCAGCTTAGATGACGTGATTCAAAATCCTGATGTGGGGGCTTGAACCCACAACCTTCTGACTCAGAGGCGAGAGAGTGCTACTACTGAGAGGCTGACACACAGAGAGGTGAAGGCTGACACTTCAGGTCCTGACCTTAAAGTACTTTTCCTATTGTAATTTAAGAGAACAAAAGGTCTGACAAAGTGAAACGGAAATGTACAAAGAACAAAAATGATTCATCAAGAAGCAGACTTTCTAATCTGTTAGTTCCGGGGAAAATGTGTGTGTGTGTGTAGTGTGTGCATGTGTGTGTATTATAAGCTGTGTCCAGTCTCCCAGCCATTAACTGGTTACAAGTCCCTGACGTTCGATGATTGCTTCAATGCTCGGTTGCTAAGTTAGCTCTGTGTACCCTCTGCCATTAGTGGCACGTAGCCATCAGCTGGTGTTTCTCATCGCTAGGTAACGGGGCTGCATTGTAATTATAATTATAATCCGCGGAGCGCGAAGGTTATACGGTGCCACATCCCCCCCACAGACCGAAGTAGGTTTTATACTCTTAGCCTCTGCCTTGTCCCTGTACGTCCCGCTAAGCGTGCGAGAGTTGTGCTCTTTAAGCCCTCCGAGACACTACCCCACGTGAAGGGTGCTGCATAAATGCAAGTTGTCTGTTGTTATTCTGTCTCCCTGACGATCGAGTGAGACCCTCTGCTTCTTCAGACTTGCCCTGTGGTGTTCAGCGCATTAGGAAACATAGCAAATTACACCGTGTAATTGGTATTTTCTATGGCAACGAAGGCCAACAGTCGTGGATAGAGTGACCGCAATTTTTTTTGGTGAGGGGGTGGGATTAAATCCCTCGGAGAGCGATCAATCAATTGACTAACAGCCAGCGCCCTACTTACTGCTCAGTAAACAGGTGAAGCGCTTTGGGATGTCCTCCCAACGTGACAGGCTGTATAGCAAATGTAAGGGTTATTATTTTCCATACCTTCCAGCCACCTCTCCCCTCCCCCCCCCCACCCACCCATCTCACCAAGCCTTGTCACAGCGCACGTCCAATTAATATGTCTAGGAGATACTTAGCTGAGATTAATCTACTTTGAAGTCCCCCAGAGGGGAGCTTACCCAACGGTTCCCGTTCTGTCATCTTGACAAGCCTTCTTCACCTTGGGGTGGAATATGTCTTTGGTGTGCAGAGCAGATTCTCTTGTGAAACACTGTAAAACCAGAGGTCATGGACGTCAGACTGACTTATAATAATAATAATTAACCTTGCTTTTGATGCAGCGCCTTATCACGTCGTTGAGACGTCTCAAAGCATTTTTAACAGAACACATTGTCAGGTGGATCGATTCAGTGTATTTTGTGGGCGAAATGTGGCAGCCAATGGCGCACAGTAGTGTCCCCCTTAAATGGTCGTGGATTGAGCGACCAAATATATATACTTTTTTGGGGGTTTGGGGTGGCGGGGGGGGGGAAATTATTACCCCCAGAAAGCGAACCGGTTACGGGACGTGAGACGCCAACCCTGCGTGAAGGGCGCGGTGTAAAATGCAAGTTGTCGTCGTCGTTGCTGGTGGGAAGGGGGAAAAAAATCATGTTGAGTTGAAATGCTAAAAGAACAGCGTAATCCTACACACTGTATAAACATATTCAATGTACGTTCATGTACTTTGAGGCATTTCGGATATGATTGAGCTGGTCTGGCCCCCGGGGTTTAGGGATTGCAAGGTGAGACCACACAGTAAGAGGTAATCTTGGCTGAGGCCACAGACAGCTTGAGCTGTGCATTCCGGTGGGTTGTCTAACGAGTGCTCAGTTGCCAGGCGTGTCCGGACAGGAGCCACCTATTTCACGGCGTTTTTTGATAACAGCCTTCGCGACAAAGACTGAGACAACCCGGGGGCTGTTCTGGCACAGCTCGGCAGTGAATAATCTGTACACAGCGAAAGAGGGTTTAGTTCGAAACCGGAGGCGTCGTTCAATCAAACCAGTGATTCCCATTCAATCCAAAATCATATAGGGGGAAGCGGGGAACAGAATACAGTTCTCTCCCAACCCCCCCCTCCCACACACACACACACGTTAAGGTTTAAGTTCTTACAGGTACAATCCTGCCACCCACTGCGCTCAGATTTCACAAGCAGCGCTTTCTTTCATTTTCCCCAGTACTTTCTCACCCCCCCCCCCCCACCCACCCACCACCACCCAAGACAAAAATCTGCGCCGCTTAATAACAAAAGTGGCCTCACACAAATCACGATAAACATCACCGGTAAACACCCCATTGTTGGGATTGTGTGATGTAGCTTATAATAATAATAATATTAATTGGGACGTGCTCCCAACGTGAAAGGCTCTATATAAGAATATAGGAAATGCTGGATGAAGAACGATCAAGGTCCATCCAATTTGCCTTCTACCTTCCTGGCAGTTGCGTGCACGTGTCATGTCCTGAATTACTCATTCGTTGCTGTTGTTGTTATACAATGCCTGTGTTAGATACCACGCCTTATCACATCTTTGTGATGTCTAAACTGTTTTGCAGGGTATATACAGTTAGGTGGTGTGACTGTGTGTTACTTTGCGGGCGAACAAAACACGGCAGCCAGACTTGAGGGTGGAATAGTGAGAATTTGCCTATTTGAGACGCTCTCTCTCCGCTCCTCTCCCCCCAACCCCTAGGAAAGGCGCTGTCTAAACACAAACTGTTGTTGTTTATAAGAGATTCTGGAAAGAGTGGCAGCGAGGTTTCAAACCAGAGAGAAGTCTCTACTTTACCGGTGGCAACTCGGTGACGATTCGATCTCTTCTGACCGGAGGAAGTACGCTCATCTTCACAGCTGCTGGTAGCGAAGGAGATCGTCAGAGACTTCGAACGTGACAGCAGACTGTGTGTCGTGACTCAGCTCAGTACAGCCCAATCCTAACCCTCATCAGGTGTCCACAAGCACACGCAAGTCTGTCCGCAGGGTCTAGACAACAATAATAAGATTAATAAGAATAAACCTTGCATTTGATTTAGGGCCTTATCACATCGTCGAGACGTCTTAAAGCGCTTCACAGGATATACTGTGAAATGGAGTGACGAACGCAGCAGCACAATCACGTACATCAGTGTCCCACAAACAGCCATGAAACAATTGACCAATTTTGTATTGGGGGGGGGATTATCGTCCAGGACCCCGGGAGAGAGAAACTCTCTTCTCTTTCTGAACAGCGCCGTGGGATCCTTAACCCCCACGTGAACAGGCAGACGGGACCTCGGTTTAACGTCTCATCCGAAGGACGGCACCTCCGACAATGCAACACTCCCTCGGAGCTGCACTGGAGTGTCAGCTTAGACTGTGCGATTCCAAATCCTGACGTGGGGGATTGAACCCACAACCTTCTGACTCAGAGGCGAGAGCGCTAACGACTGAGACACTAGATCCGTTGACCAGCCTGCTGACAGATGGTACTGATCTCACTGGGAAGCAAGATTGGGTGGGGGGAGGGGGTGGGGGGGGGAGGAGGAGAGAGCGTGCTCAAGAGATAGGAGCTTTGAGACTCAAAATCCCACCTAACCTTGCCTTGTCTTGTTATCGGAGACCCTTTTGTCTTCAGATTATTGAAGAGGGCAGAACTGTTGGAAGAAAAATCTTAAATCCAGCTCTGATTTGGAAGCCAGTCCCCCTTGTTTTCTTCGAAGGGCTTTGGGGAGAAAAGCGGTTGGCCAAATTGAGATTGAATTTAGGAATGCCCCACAAAAATCTTAGAATTCGAAAGCTATTTATTTCTCAGGGGCCTTAGTCGGGGGGGAGATGAAATCTGTTCTGATTTGCGCTGTTTCTCTACACTTCTAGAAAGTTAGCCTCTTCTCGCCCCCCCCCCCCCCCTCCTCCCCCACCCGCCCCTACTCAAACTAAAACTAAAACTTGGCACCCTTTTTCGGCTTAGTCTCTTGAGAGCGAACGAGCGAGTGGGACTGAGTACGCTTGAGTGGAAAAGGGAGAACTTTGGTCATTCGTTCACAACAGTGGTTTAAAATGGTCATTAATTCTCTCTCTCTCTCTCTCTCTCTCTTTTTCTCTCCGTCTCTTCCGGAAACTTAACCAGACTTGATTTCCTCGGGGTTTGGAAGGATGCCACTGTAAATGTTAAGAGTGAGCCATCAGAATGTTTGTCCACTCCAAGTTACTGTGTCATTGTTTTGCTCTGTGTCTGCTTGCATTATTCATCTGACTCTATGGTAACAAATATCCCACCACTGTAAAAGAAAGTCACTCTCTCTGCCAATATTATCCCCCCTTTCCTCAATTAACAAACACACACACACACACACACAGTTAACAATCCACCAAAAAAGAGCAAAATATACAACCTTTTGAGATCACAGACAGAGACACAGTGCAAAATCTTAACACATCCCCTCTCTCTTTCTCTCTCCTTTCCTTTGGGTCTCTCTGAAAGTTTTGGCAACTGTCTTAAAAGTTTTGATGAGTTAGATCACTGCAGTGAACTGGATGGAAACTGTGATATATCTTTTTTTTTTGGAGGGGAGGAGGGGGACTGGTGTGTTTTTTTTAAAAAAAGAAAAACTTACATCGTTGGTATCAGAAGGGATAAAAATAAGTTTAAACCCCCCCACTCCACCCCACCCCACCCTCCCCCAAGAACATTTTTATATCAAGTCCCAGTGTTAATCCTTTAACCCAACTCTTTGCTTTGCAAACTTTTTGCAACAGTGAACTAACTCAAGAGGCAAAAAAAAAAAGGCTTCAGATAACGTTAAAATCCATCGAGCGATCAGCGGAGTGGGTTTTTAACAGCACTGTAGGAGAGAGAGGAATGTGGGTCAAGATTTGTGTTCCTTTCCACCCTCTTTTCTCTCTTTCTCTCTATCCCTCTCTCTCTCTTTCTCTCTTACCTTGTGGGTTCTGCAGAATCAATCTTGAGTCAATGCACTGGAAGTCTGTTGTTTTTTTCTTAGTTCTTCTTATTTGAGAAAAAGGTGGATCCCTTTGGTTTGGGAAATAGAATAGAGTTTGCATTTAAAATAAAGCAAGTTATCCCTCTCTCTCTCTCTCTGTGTCCTTTATTTTGCTGTTGCACTGTTGCAAGCCTTTACTCCTGGTGTCTCTCCCTTCCTTTCTCCTTCATCCCCCCCTCCTCCTCCCAATCCCTCTTTAAAACTATTCACAACGTGGCTGTTCGCAGGACCTCGAATTCCTAAATCCCCACAAGTCTCAGACCACAGATGTCTCCCATTCCTTAGCCCACAGCTCCCTGCTGTTTCCCCAATAAAGTCTCAAATAAAGAGAGGAAAGGGAAAAAGAGAGGCAGTGAGAGATCACAGCTTTTCCTTACTCCTTAAATGTAGCTTCACATCACTCAGTTACTTATTTCAACCCTGCAACCAATCAACTTTTTTTTGGGGTGATGGGGGGGGGGGTTGGAAAGAAAATTAAAAAGTCTGCTGGTATTGGAATACACCAGTTGTGCTGGCAATGCATTCACAACTAATGCATTCAGTTTCTCAATGAAATGCAAGAATCAATGTTTAGCCTCTGGGTCAGAAACTGGCTGATTGGGGGGGGTGGGGGGTTGAATTATTTTTCCTCCACCTCCCCACCCACGCGGGGAATAACTGAAATTGTTACGCGTGAGCGATGTTTTCGTGATCATAGGAATTATATTGAATAACAATCATTCGTAATAATAATCTTTGCATTTGATATAACACCCTTCACGTCAGGAGGAAAAAGAGTCTATTCGAAAAGAGAAGAGAGTTTCTGTCTCCCGGTGTCCAGGCCAACACTCCCCCAAATAAAATTGGTCACTCACGCCATGGCTGGGTGTGGGACGTTGCTGTGTCCAACTGGCTGCCGTGTTTCGCCCACAAAATGCACAGTCACTGCACATTACAGTATATCCTGTGAAGCATTTTGAGATGCCTCAACGTTATATCAAATGCAAGGATTATTATTATCGTCAGTATAATTATAACTTCTCGAACTTTCTGCCTCAATCACTCTGCCTCGCTCTCTATTTATCTTTAAATCCTACCTTAAGCCTACGGTCAGTGGAGAGTAAGTTCTCCTCCCCCTTTTCTCTTGCTCGGTGTCTTGAAGCATTTACTGGCACTACATAAAAGTTGTTGTTGTTGTCTTAAGGCAGGCTTTGAAAGTGGGGAGGATTTTGCAGTAATTATCTGGTTTTATTTCAGATTCTCGCCATTTCATTTTCTATTCATCTGTAGTTGTTGTTTCCTTTTTTGCTTTATTCATTTGCGGCGCAGAGTGAGCATCAACAGCCTGTATGGCAGCTAATCGCTTCCTTTCAGAAAGACAACAAGGCTGCAGTGACATATGCGTGTGTGGTGTCTGTGTGTGTGTGTGTGTGGGGGGGTGGGGGGTGGAGGGGAGGGTTTTACTACTTACTGCATTTGAGAGGCTTAGTGTTACCACCGCATAAATGAAGCGATCACTGCTATGTCCAAGATGAGATTTGAGGGCAACGTGACATATCAGCAAAGACAGAACAGTGGGACTTTGCCTCTGAGTCAGAAGGTACTGCCGTGGTTCAAGCCCCACAGCGGGACTTGGAATCACACAATCTTAAGTTGTCGCTCCAATGCAATGCTGGGGGCGAACGGCATTGACGTTACCTCCAACACCTCCTTCGGATGAGACGCTAAACGGAAGTCCCATCTGGATGTTCAGATTGGACTTTAAGGATCCCGTGGCGCTATTCGAAAAGAGAAGGGAGTTTCTCTCTCCTGGTGTCCTGGCCGACAATGCACCCCCACCCCACCACCCAAATCAAATTGGTTACTCACCCCTCGGCTGCTTGTGGGACATTGTTGTGGGCAAATTGGCTGCCCGTTTGGCCACAGAATACACAGTCACTCCACTTCACTGTATATCCTGTGAAGCGCTTTCAGACGTCTCGTCGGTGGGATAAGGCGCTGCATTAAACAAAGGATTATTATTATAACTTGACAGCGATGGCTTGTGGCAATAATAACAATAATAATGATAATAATAATCCCTTGAAAATAAACAAAAGGTCATTTGGTCGCTTCGATCCACGGCGGTGCGCGGGGGAGCGTTGCGGTGCGTCATCGGCTGCCGCGTTTGCCTCCCCCCCCCCCCCCCCCCCCCACCACCTCCAATTAATTTTACAGTGTATCCTGTGAAGCGCTTTGAGACGCCCAGGAGACCCTGGAGCAGTCACTTGTGGAGTCCTGTAGCTCAGTGGTTAGAGCACTCGCTTTGCAAGCGAGAGACCTGAGTTCAATCCCAGGCAGAGGGCGAAACCTTGGGCAAGTTTCCTTACTCCACACAGAGCCTAATAATAATCCCTCCAAAACCAAAAACAATAATAAATTGGTCATTTTCAATCCATATGACTGTTTGTGGGACATTACTGTGCGCAATTGGCTGCCGCGTTCGCCCACAGATATACAGTCAATTCACTTTACAGTGTGTTCTGTGAAGCGCTTTGGGACGTCCTCCCGACGTGAAAAGCTCTATATCAAATGCAAGGATTATTATTATTATTATTATTATTTTTATTGTATCAAATGCAAGGATTATTATTATTATTGTTATTATTATTGTATCAAATGCAAGGATTATTATTATTATTGTTATTATTATTGTATCAAATGCAAGGATTATTATTATTGTTGTTATTATTATTGTATCAAATGCAAGGATTATTATTATTATTGTATCAAATGCAAGGATTATTATTATTGTATGAAATGCAAGGATGAGCAACTCCCTGGGAGACTACAACTCCCAGTATGCCTTGCGCGACACTCGCCCCTCCCCCCCGCCGCCGCCGCCGCCCCCTCCGCCGCCGCACACTCGGAGTCTCGCGAGACCAGGCGCCCACACCGTCCCTGCATTTCAGGCCGGGCGACCCCGCGCCCGCTCTCTTTCCCTCAAGATGGCGCCGAAGGCAAAGAAAGAAGGTGAGAGCGCTGCCGGGCCCTGGTCTCCACTCTCCCACACACAGAGCCCGGGCCGCGGCTTCTCGTCGGCCAGCGCCCGACTCGTGAGAGAAGGGCGTTGAAGCGGCCTTTTGTTTTGTTTTCTCTCTTTCTCCCTCTCTCTCTCGCTCTCTCACTCTCTCTCTCGCTCACACATCCCGGGAGATGAGGCCCCGATTCCCAGGCCCCAAACCGAAAGGAGACTCGGAGTGGCCGAGCCGCCCACGAAACGGTTCCCCGCGACACGTGTGTCAGTCTTCGCCCCGAGAAGCAGCCGCTGGTGACTCTCTTCCCCCCACTCCACTCCCCCCCCCCCCCCCCCCACCACCTCGTGTGTCCTCCATTCCCATCTCACTCATTTTTCCCTTTTATTTTGCTCTTAGTTTACTAGTCTTCCCATTCACCCCCTCCCACCGTCACCCCCACTCCACTCCCCTCCCCACCCACCCCCACTCCCCTCACCACTACCACCACCTTGTGCTGGGGAGTGGGGAGAGGTCTTGGGGTGGGGAGAGAAGGGGTTGATGTCGTTTCCCTACGAAACCCCCCAACACGAGTCACTGACCTACGCTGCAAGAAAAAAAAATACCCCGAAAGTACTTGGAAAGATGTTTCTGTGTTTTTTTAAAAAAAATGTTAATCAAAAAGCTTGGGCTTATTTTTTTTTCGTTCGCTGTGAGTGGAGAGGTAGGTGATGGCTGCACATCACATTGGGGCCTGAACCTTCACTAACGTGGCTTGTGCTGCTCCCACACCTTCAATCGTTTTGATCTTTTTATTGATTATGTTTTGGCGTTGGTCAATCCCTCAGCCTTGCCTACTCCTTCCCCCTTTTTCACATCAAGTCTTTATCGCATTAAAACCCGTCTGAAGATGAACGGAAGGACACCAAAGAAGGCAGGAAGGGTTAATGCACGATGAACAGAAGACGTTGGAGTCCTGTAGCTCAGTGGTTAGAGCACTCGTTTTGCAAGCGAGACACCTGGGTTCAATTCCAGGCTGAGGGTGAAACCTTGGGCAAGTTTCCTTACTCCACACAGAGCCTAATAATAATTCCTCCCAAAACAATAATAAATTGGGCATTTTCAATCCACGACTGTTTGTGGGACACTGCTATGTGCAATTGGCTGCCGGGTTTCGCCCACAAATATACAGTCAGTTCACCTTACAATATACTCTGAAGCGCTTTGAGATGTCTGGAAGACGTGAAAAGCACTATATCAAATACAAGTATTATTATGCCTGTAGACCTTCCACTTCAACCGTGCCTGATGCCAAGCCCCCCCGATCACTTAACAGTGGGGGAGCCCCCCGGCTTGGCATCAGGCTCCCCCACTGTTAAGTGATCGGATGATTGAAGGGTGTTGTATAAATGCAATTTGTTGTTGTTGGTAATGCAGTGCTTCAGTTGAGATGCCATGTGCATTCCTCCTGGAAGGTATAATTCAATTCAGTCTCTTCTCCCACCAGTCGCCGCCCCTGCCAAGACTGAGGCGAAGGCCAAGGCCTTGAAGGCCAAGAAAGCCGTCTTGAAGGGAGTTCATAGTCACAAGCAGAAGAAATTCCGAACGTCGCCTACCTTCAGGAGACCAAAGACGCTGAGGCTTAGAAGGCAGCCTAAGTATCCAAAAAAGAGTGCTCCAAGGAGGAACAAGTATGTGTTCAAACTGCTTACTGATCTTCTAGAAACATAGGCACATGAAGTTGTATTAATCTACCGACAGACCCTCGTTCAACAAACTACATAGCTTTCTCCTCTACTCTTGATGTTTAACGCTTGCAGTCCTTTTACTATGCCAAGTGGCCATTATTCATGTATGTGTTAAAAGAATGTTGGTAGGTGGGTTTGGGTATAGATAGCGATCAGTAAATGGTGTGAACATTTTCTGCAATTTGTCCTTTCTGTGCACTTTCCAGTTTAGGTTAAGTCAAGCTACTTTTGTTTCCAGTGTTATCTTGACGTGTGTTAATGTGGCACAGATCAGCTTAGAACCTTTCTCACTAGATCAAGTTTTATATTTGTTTTATTGCTCGGTTAAATATCTCACCATAATGAATTTGAGAAAATATACCTTTGGTGCAAATGATGCTTTATAGCGATCAAATCATGAATATCTGTGATTATCAAAACTTTATACTGATGCACTATATGTTTTTTTGATATCAGGGAGTGTTTACAGTAGTTTGTATAAGTGAATAATTGCTTTTAGCTTAGACTGCAAACTTGACTTTACTTTTTTGCATGCCTAACACAGATTGGACCATTATGCCATCATTAAGTTCCCTTTGACCACCGAGTCTGCCATGAAGAAAATTGAGGACAACAATACCTTGGTATTCATTGTTGACATTAAAGCCAATAAGCACCAAATCAAACAGGCAGTCAAGAAACTGTATGATATTGATGTAGCTAAAGTCAACACTCTGATCAGGTGAGCTGTGAAATTTTATCTTTAATGTGAAGAAATTGTGAAATGTGGATGTAAATTATAGAGAATTTGCTCTTGCCTTTGAGTTGAAAATGATTTGAAAGTCATTGTTGAAGAAAGAAGCCATGATGTAAATCTCGAGTAAGAAATGGGTGTATTGTATATCTTCATCGAAGAAAACAAGTCGCAAGCACTTTTTGTTGCTTGTTATCCAACCAGTAGAAATGGTGGTCCATTTGTAGAAGCATCCAGCTTCAGCACTGAAATGAGCATCAGCATGATTGACTTGACTTAGCTCGCATCATTTTTTGGGTGCAAATGATGTTTTTTAGCGATCAAATCATGAAAATTTGTGATTATTGAAACTTCATACTGATGCACCTTATACTTGAGATGATGTGTTTTTTGCCATCAGCGAGTGTTTACAGTAGCTCAGTTTAGTTTAGGATCCCAAGTTTATTGCAACCAATTAGAAATATTCAATGAGATTTTTTTTCCTGATTGGATTGATGTTTAATTGTTCAACTGGAGCACTGTGCTGTTTAATTGAGAGCTGTGTAAAGCATTTGATTGTGTATACATAAAAAAACAATGGAAAAACATTTTCTTCACCACTTCCAAAACATTTAAGAGAAAGTTCAGAAGGCTCCCTCCTACTGCATGCAACAAGACTTGCAACATTCTGTGACTAAGATGATTGAAAAGACATTTTTGCTAAGTTTAGATGTAGAATGTGCCTGGATTCATATAGATTTTTAATTTCTCAAGCAAAACTGGAAACCAGTATTCTTTCTTATACATTGAAACAGGACACATGTTATCTACTTTTCCTAATATTAATCTTGCCTGAAATTATATACCTTATACAACCATGTGATTTGTTGGCCAAAATAGCAAAGTGCAATGTAACTTTGTTTAAAAGTGAGCTTGTGATTTAATTTCTAGCATTTGAACCATTCGATCTGTTTCAAGGATGACAATTATTCCAATAGAATTACGCTATGCAATTAGTATTAATAGAATTAATACCATTGGTCATTGTGCAAAATGATGCAAGTTGTTTCACCTGATTTTTAAAACTGAAATGATTCAAATGAACGTCTGATGCAGTGTTTAGCTTATTTTGGTTTGTGGTTTTGGTCTTAATGCCTTAATTTGTGCCTCTTTCCAGGCCTGACGGTGAGAAGAAGGCATATGTACGTCTGGCCCCAGATTATGATGCGTTGGATGTTGCCAATAAGGTGGTGGCAAAATACCTTTTATTTATAACAAATCTTTGCAGTTGCTTTAGATTAAATTGCTGGCTTTGGTTGAATAATAATAATCCTTGCTTTTGAAATAATACTTGCATTTGATATAGTGCCTTATGCCTTCAAAGTGCTTCACAGAATGTACTGTAAAGTGAATTGAATGTAAATTTTGTGGGTGAAATGCTGATTTATTTATTAATTGATTTTCTTTCTCTTGCAGATTGGCATCATCTAAACTGCTTTCCTGACGATCTGTGCAAATATGGGAATAAAATTTTACAATACAAATGTGTTTTTGTTTTTTTTAAACTACCTAGGGAAATACAATCTTATTGAAGCCTTTTAATGAATGGTGAAATCATTAAATTGTCATGTGACAGCATCAGTGCATTACAGAAAATGAGCTACATTTTCTAAATGGAAGAATTGTGTCCATGTAACCTTCATTAATATTTGAGTCATTTTATAATATTGTGGAGGCATTCTCTGTGATGTTCTCTGTCTAAGTGAAGATGTGCTTTCCAAAACTTTCAATTGTCTAAACCAGAAATAACAGGCCTCAGTAATGGGAGATTTTGACCTAACTACTGGAGTAAGAAATTCCCATTTTGACTTCTTGCTAAGGTGGGAGATCTCTGTATAAATTGGAATAGTGCATATCATAGGCTTTGGACAAATTTAACATAACCTTAAGTATACAATATGCCTGCAGCCCAAGCTGTGAATTTTTTTTACTTGCAATCCTCAGCTTTCCTTCGGATTGCTATTTTTGTTGTTCCCTGAGTGTTCGAGGGGACTTACCGCATTGTACACCACATGCAATAATTTTGGGACGGTGAGGTGACTTGGGTATGAGAAAGCGGCACCAGTGGAGAATGTATCCGTCTCCTGACTACAGGAGAATGCATCAGTCATTCCGAGTTAGTTTGGTTGGGATTTACGGAGTGGCCGACAACATTAAAAGTACACGGGGAGCTCAGCTCAAATGACTGTTGTGTGACAGCCACTTCCAAGTGTTGCCAGCTGGACCATACCAGAGGCAGTTGAGCAAAATAAAATAAGCCCCTCCACCACCCCCAGTGTTGCGGTATTTTTTTTTGTGATTGAATCCAATCACCTGAATTAACCTCAGTAGTGGTGGGAGTTCTACCCATCAGAGCCTTTTGACCATGTGGTGCAGCAACACGTGGAGTAGAGGAGGTGTGGGGGGGGGGAAAGGCCAATTGAACCCGTCTCAGTGGCAGGAAGTTTACCTGCTCTGGCGCTCTGGCTGCAATGATTGAGGACTGTGGGCTTTTGAGGCGAATCATTTAAAAAAATATATATTTGGGGGCACAGAAGGTGGTGGGAGGCACGAAAAGGGAGTAGGAACCGAAAGTAAGAGGAACTCCCGCGCGCGCGTGTGTGTGTGTGTGTGTGGGGGAGTAGATGGGGGGCGGGGACGGGGGAACGGGACGGACCGGAAGTTGCGTCATGCGCGGGTCCCCGAGGCGGCGCCGGTTGGAGTGCGAACTGCAGGCGGGAAAATACGCCCTCGGTCACCGGCCCTGAGGCTCACGGAACCCGGGGCCTGAGTCGGTGCGGAGCCGCCGCTGGGGACCACGCGGAGCTCTGTGGCCGCTTGGCTGCACCCTCTCGCCCTGGTAATCATCATCATCATCACCCCCCCCCCCACACCCTCCTCCTCCTCCCTGGGGTTTGGGCCCCGCCTGTGCCCGTCACACACCCCGAACCGACGGCGCTTCTGAGTGCTCGCCCGAGTTTGACCCGCCTTACCGTTGCCCGGTGCCGCGGGAGGGAGGGAGGGAGGGAGGGCGCCTGGAGGCGCTTCGCCGGGTTGTCCGTCGAGTGTCGTGACTGGGGGGGTGGCGCGAGCGGACGCCGTGGCCACTCCCCTCTCCCCCCCCACCCACCCCACCCACCCCCAGCAACAACAACAACAACAACATGCACTTGTATAGCGACCTCCCCGCAGGGTGGCGTCTCGGAGCGCTTAGCGGGTCTTTAATGACCGCCTGAACAGGGCACAGAAAAAAAGGGGGAAGCTCGGTTTAATGCCCCAATGCGGCAGTGAGACATTCTTCCGACCCCCCCCCCCCTCCCAACCCCCCCCCCCCCCCCCCCAGCAATGCACAGGAACGTCAGCCCAGACCGTGAGCTTAAAAAGTCCCCAACCCGGGGGATCATCGGACACGCAACCCGATCCGGGGGCGAGAGCGCTCCCCGCGGTCACACGGGTCGCGTTGGGAATAAGAATAGGTTCGCGTTAGCTCCGCTCCCCCTCCGCCCCCCCCCCCCCTCTTCTCCTCCCCCGACCAAAGCGACGGCGATTCACTGACACTTCCAGCGCGGAAGCAATTCGTTCAGTCAACCTGATGCGGGGACAAGCTCTCGCTTTAATTCTCTTCATGACGGAATCACTTCAATGCAGGGAGTGTAAGGGACTCGGAACGGTGTGTTGGTGGAAATGTTTTGTTTTGACTGACAGTCGGATTTTTTCCTTCCCCCCCCCCGCCCCTCCCTCCCCTCCCAAAGGGTGAGAGAAAGTCAAAATGTCATCCGTTACCCTGAACGGAGCAGCCCGGTGTCTCGGAGGCTGTGCGGGCCTGTCCTCGAGGCTGCAGTTTGCTCTTCGTCCTCATCGCTGCAGAACGGGAATGTCAACCTGGCAGAAACGGACGGCAGGGTCCGAGAGTCCCTCGAAATCAAACCACAGCCGTGAGGAGGACCTGGCCAAATCAGTACTGGAGGCTGAGGGCAACGGGAGGAGATTAAATGCGGTTACCGCGAGCGCCGAAGAGACCGTGTCGCCTGGGCCACAGATAACGTTCCCTCCGAGTGCACGGTGGAAGCCAGATGCGGTTCACCGCCGTTCGAAAGTCTCCAAAGTCGGCACAGCGCCGCGGTTGGACACCAAACCCGGTCATGTCGGCAACCCGGAGCTGCGAGGCCTCCGATACGACGATTTTGCCAAGAGGAGAAGCCGGGACGTGTCCGTAAGTGCGGAGAGGCGGGAAGGCTCAGAGATCCTGTTCGGGGTGGCGCCCTGCAGCTTGGCTTTCACACAGCTCCGCAGGCGGCCTTCCAGCTTTTCGTCAACATAAAGCGGAGTCACCGGGTGGAGGTGCAGGCTATCTGCCAGCGAGCTCGAGAGGTCGGAGTGCCAATGAGGCAGGTGCCCAGGAAAGTCCTGGACAGGCTGTGTGAGGGCCGGGTACATCAAGGGGTCTGCCTTGAGGTGACGCCCCTGGACTATGTGGACTATGATCGATACTCTTTAGCAGACACCGAGGATTCGCAACCCAGAGACAGACCTGCTCTGTGGCTGGCGCTGGAAGACATCCTGGATCCCATGAACATGGGGGCCCTGCTGCGGTCAGCGTATTTCCTCGGAGCTGATCGCGTGCTAACAAGCCAGCAGAAAAGGTAAACAACGACGATGACAACTGGTGCCCCTCACGTGGGGTAACGTCCCATAGTACTTGACAGTGACGGAGCATGATGCTGAACCGGGTCGGTGGGAGAGGTGACCATAGGCACAGTTGAAGAGGAAGGTCTTCAAGCGCGACCTGAAAATGGGGAAGGAGGGGGGCAAGGCGGAGGGATCGAGGAAGAGTGTTCCAGAGTTTCGGGGAACGCGTCATGGGTCGGTCTCCTTTGAAGCGGGCTGTTTGCAATTCTAGCAGTGATTAGGGATGGAAATTGTTTTATACATTGGAATAGTCATTAAGCTTCACATCATGGAGGCTATGTCAGTAAGCATCTTGTTAATCTGCGACACCCACGTGGATTGCAGGACACGAGAGCTGTTCTGGGCTGATGTTCTCCGGATTGTCCAGCGGATGGCAGTCCAACTCCGTTGATTGGAGCCAGAAAAGCCTCTCCTTCTCTTCCAGTCAATGTCAGCCAGAGCCAAAAGTTGTGTGTTATCGCTGGCAAAGCTGAAAGCCGGCACAGGTTTCAGCACTCAGACACCCTACAGCAATGCAGTTTGAGCCAAACTCAGTCGCCCTGAGAATGCGCGAGCAAACTGGAGAAGCAAAACGGTTGCTCTTTCATGGAGCGTTAAGGCACGGAAACAGGCCATTCAGTCCATCATGCCCGGTGCTGCTTATCTCCACTCGCGGCAACCCAATCCTACTCTCCTCGCTCTCCATTCCCTCTTAATATTCCTCGTCTTGAAGAATCTATCCAATTCCCTTTTAAAAGAATCTACGGACTCTGCCTCCGTTACTAAGGTTCGTGGTGGTGAATTCTACCCGAGTAAAGGAATTTTCCTTATCATCTGAGTAATGCTGTATAACAGCCGACGCTGTTAAGAATGAAAGGGAACTTTTAGATCAGCGACATCGCTCTGCAACGATCGACCCTATCGTCAGAGCGAGACAGTGTGCGGAGTAGAAGCTCAGTTCCATTCACATACCTTCCCCTGACAGCGCTGTGATTGACAGTGGGTCTGTCATTACAGAATCCTATCTGGCAGGGTTATTTTGCCCAGAGAGTGTCAGGCGTCTGTCTGCTTTCTGCTTTGACATGTGATATTTTGCAATGCAGTACAAAAGGACAAGAGCTCTATTTGTGCGAATCATATGCATCTACACACACTTACACATACACACACACACACTTACACACACGCACAATTAAACTCAAATCATTTAGCGCCTCTACAGCCTGCGTGTGACAGCATACTGTGTAAATCGGGTGACCAGAGGGAAAATCTGCATGTGTTTGTTACTTATCTATTCGTTTTTGCCTTTGCAGTTGCTCTCTGACGCCAACAGTGAGCAAAGCAAGTGCCGGGACTTTAGAAGTCATGTCCGTGTATCGCACGTCTAACTTGCCACACGCGCTGAAGGTAACCGATCTGGGGAAGCACTAGGTATTTCTTCCGAGACTTTCTGAACGAACTGATCAATGTGGCTTGAGTTAAACGCATTGTCGTCTGCTTCCAATCTCGCAACAGATGAAAGCAGCTCAAGGTTGGCGAATAGCAGGAACCGTTGGGGTATCAACGGAGGCTGTCCAAACCCCCGTCCTTCCGTGCTCGGAGTTTGAGTGGAATGCAAACACCATCCTGGTCCTAGGTACAGTAAATGGGCTTGGGCCTTGGGCAAAGGTGTGGAGAAAGAAGGTAGTGGAAATCTGGAACTCTCTCCCCCAAAAGGCTGTGGATCCATTCAAATTTTCAAGACTGAGGATAGATTTTTGTTAGGTCGGGGTATCAGGGAATATGGGGCAAAGGCGGGTAATTGGAGTTGATGTACAGATCAGCCATGATCTAATAGAATGGCGGAAGAGGCTCGAGGGGCTGAATGGCCCATTCCTGTTCCTACGGTACTAATAGTACGGATTGAAAAGCGGAGCGACTGTGTATTTTGTGGGTGAAAGTATCAATTTCTTAACCTTTCGTTTGCCACCAAGTAACAGTCTTTTTGCTTTATGTCTCTGCGCGCAAATTGGCTGCGCACTCACCTGCAAAATACACAGGCACCATCCCGTGAAGCTCCTAACAAAATACACAGGCAATGTGTCCTCTCGACGTGAAAGGCGCTAAATCAATGTGAAGATTATTTTGTTTTGAGTCTCAACACTGGGTATGTCTCAGTTTATTAAATGCACGCTCTGACATTTTCTCTCCTGACCCCAGGTAATGAAGGCTTTGGCCTTTCAGATGACGTGACCAGCCTTTGCCATGTGATGCTTACCGTCCCAGCTGGCAGACACTTGCATCCTGGCATTGAATCCTTGAATGTGTCTGTCGCTGCAGGTAATACTGTGTGCGCGCGTGAGTGTGCGCGCACGTGTGTGTGTGTCCGAAAACATCACCCCTTCCAATTTAATAATAATCCTTGCGTTTGACACAGTCGCTTTTAAATGTAAAATCTTGTAGGACATTGCTGTGCGGCAGTAGGCTGCTGCATTTGCCTACAAATACACAGTAACTACTCTTTATAAGTAATTCCCGTGAAGCGCTTTGAGATGTCCTTCGGGACGCTGCATCAAAGAGACACTGTATCAAACCCGAGGATTATTATTATGGAAATTTATTTTTGTTCAGGCAGAAATGGCCCATTGTGCAAATTTTTGAAACAAAGCGTCGTGAAGAATTATCTAGTTCGCCTGTGGGTATGTGCTTCATACTGAATAATCCTAAAAGGGCTCTGTGGGTGTTAAATAAATTCCCTGAAAAGGGTAGATCGTCCTCTTATTCAGAATTAATACAAGAAGCTCTCGCTTCTGATGTGTTTCTTATACCAGAGGCACCACATTACTTTATCTAATTTCTTGACTAACTGTATGGCTGGCAGGCTAAGCTATTTTACGTGCATTATTCGTTAGCTTTTTGCGCACAGAGTCATAAAGCAAAAAGACTCGGTGGAAAACAAAAGGTTAACAAATTATTTTCACCCATAAAATACACGGTCACTCCACATTACAGGATATTCCGTGAAGGGCTTTGTTAGCATTTGTGTTTCTCTCATGGAATGTACAGTCAAATTCACCTTAGGATATATTCTGTGAAGCGCTTTGAGACGTGATAAGGCGTGAGATCAAATGCAGGGATTATTATTGTTATTAAGTATGTCACACTTTTAGAGCTCACTTTACTGACTTTTTCCCTTCCACCTTGCTCAACGGGCTCCTAGTTGACTCTGAATTGTTTTGAGATGTCGCCTGGACGATAACAGCAACAACAAATCGCATTTGTATAACCGTTCACCTCGGGTGGACATTCCAAGGCCGTTGACATGAAAAGCACTGTATAAATGTAGTAATATTAATAATAATAATTGATACAGCACCTTATCAGACAGCCTCAAAGCTCATCCCAGTAAAGTGAAGTGACTGGGTGCAAAATCTACAGTCGTCCTAGAATTATCCTTAGCAGCCCTGAACCCATACCCTCTCGGTCTTTGGCAGCTCAAGTGAGTTTGCAGACGGCCACGGGATTGAAGTGGTGTTCCAATTCTGTGCACGGCTAAACTCCCATTTCGAAACTAATGGATTATTATTTGCGCCTTTGCCTGGGCGCACACACACCATTCCCCAGTCAAGAGGTAGCAGCAGGTAGCGTCCTCCCATACCATTAATGCTCTCGAATCCACCAGGAATATTGCCTGAGAATAGCCTGGGGTTACTTATCCTATCAACCTTTCCTCCCTCCCAGGTGGGAAATAGTTGACCTGCGCTCAGCGCATTGCCCCCTTTCGGTAAGTTGGTGTACCTGCAGCCCAGGTGTGTCGCTGTTTGCTGAGGCACCAGTATATATTGATTGGTTGGAGCCCTCGCCTCCCAACTGAGAGGACGCCGGTTCGATTCACAGGCGGAGTGAAACCTTAGGCCCTCGCTCCTTAAGTTTCCTTACTCCACACTCCTCTGTTTACCTAGCAGGAAATCGGAACCCGGTTGTTAGTCGATTGGCGGAATACTTTCCGGGAGTAAGATTCCCGTTAAAAAAAAAAGAATAATAATAATAATAATTTGGTCATTCAATCGGCGACTGTTTGTGGGACACTGTTCTAACCCTTTCACGTCGGGCGGACATTTCAAAGCACCTCACAGGATTTACTGTGAAGTGCAGTGACTGTGTGTCTTGTAGACAAACTCAGCGGCCACACCTCGGTGCTGCTTGTTGTAAAACATAAAGAAAATGAGTAGATTCTTCGGGGTTGTTGTTCTGATCCTCAAGTGTGTCTTCATCCTGTGCAATAATCTTTTTCCCTTTCACAGGAATTCTCCTGCATTGTATAAGCAACAAGAGAACGAAAGGCTGACCGGGTCCTTATCGTACCCCACCGTTCTGCCCTCACTTGACATCTCAACACCAGCAGAGGACCGATGACTCCCAAACCCTCCCTCTCCGCACCCACCCCTCCCCCCACCACAGTTCCAAGGGATTTGAGGCCATATTGTCGTGCCCCACCTGAGGTCAGCCAGCACAGGATTGAAGATCAAACCGAGAGATCTCCCTGCTCTTGTATCAGAAAAACAAATCCCTCGACGCGTTGACTGACAGAGATTCAGAGACACACATCGCTGAGTGTATGTAATAACTGCATTTGTGCAATAAACCACTTTGCTGGCTTTGTTCACGTCTCCCGGGTAAAGTGTTTTGTGAGCAGACCTTAACTGATGCGTGTTGCAGCAGTGATAGTGGCTGAAAGCGCGACCTCCAATGGTGGGGCGGAGGGTGCGAGGGTCGAGCAGGAGGCCGGTGCCCATCGAGCAGAGGCGCCGGGTGGTGGACTGGGGAGTGAGGAGGTCGGAGAAATAGGGAGGTGCCAGTGAGTGAAGAGTTTTGAACATGAGAGTGAGGATTTTGAAGTCGATCTGTCTGTTTGGTGATGGGGAGCCAGTGGAGCCTGGGCCAGAACTGGTGAGATGGGGGTATGGAGTTTGGTCCGGGTCAGTATGCGGGCGGCAGAGTTCTGAATGAGCTGGGTGTTTTGAATAGTGGAGCAGGGGAGACTGGCGAGGAGTGCATTAGAATAATCCAAGCGGGAGATGACAAACACATGCACAAGAGTAAGGTACGATCGGAGGTGGGCAATGTGGTGGAGGTGGAAGAAGGTGGTCCTGGTCAGGGTCCGGAGGCGGGGGAGGAAGGACAGTTGATCGAACCGGACGCCTAAGTTGCGCACTGGTTCAGTGAGTCTGAAGGGGAGCCCAGGGAAGTTGAGGAGTTTGGATCCGCAGAAAACATTGATGGGAGCAATGAGTATGGCTTCTGTCTTGTCCACATTCAGCTGCAGGAAGTTTACACTCATCCAGGCCCTGATGCACAGACACGCTGATAGAACATCGGCGGAGCTGGAGTTAGTACTGGCGGAGGCAAAGTGGATTTGTGTGTTATCCCCATACATGTGGATGTTTACCCCATGTCTGCAGATGACATTGCCCAGAGGGAGCATATAGATAAGGAAAAGAAGAGGATCAAGGATGGAGCCCTGGGGTACTCTGCAGGTGACCGGGCGGGGGCGGGAGGAGAAACCATTTGCTGAGATGAAATGGAGGCGGTTGGTTAAGCAGGACTCGAATCATGCGAGCGCGGTCCCACTAAGTTAGACGAGGGGGGAGCGACGATGGAGGAGGATGGCGTGGTCCACTGTGTCGAACGCAGCAGTGAAATCCAGGAGGACGAGGAGGCAGAGGGAGCCCTGGTCACAGATAGAGAGAATGTTGTTTGTGAACTTGACAAGTGCTTTGCGTCCCTGGTATTTATGTATACGCAGGCAGGGGTGCTGCAAAGTTGACGGTGGCGGAGTACAAGGCCAAGCCAGGGGGAGGGGTGGGGGAGATGACTGTGGGCACGGTCGATCGGTAAAACAGGTCATTCGGCCCAACTAGTCCGTACAGATGTTTATATCCCACACAAGTCGGCAGAATGTCATAAATTCGAAAGTTACGCAAAAATATCTGTTCAAAGTATACGAGTATGTCCTGAGTATGCAATTCGCTCGCAGAATTCAATGATAAGTGTGTTCTTTTTCTTTCTGTTTGCTCGCAGTTTGTCTGCCGTGAGGGGATTCGAATGATTTGAATTGGGAGGCGATAGATCTGAACGTAATAATAACAATAACCTTTCACGTCAGCGAGGCATTTTGGAGCGCACCTCGGGATTGGAATGTCAGCCTGGACTACAATAATTCAAAGTAGGTTTGAACCCACAACCTTCTGACTCAGAGGCGAGAGTGCTACCACTGAGCTGGGCTCACGCTTTGGATCAGTCTCTTTGTGTGATTTTTTTTTACACACACGACAAAGTACTTACATGAAAGGGAAAAAGTGACTTATGTAAATATGTTTAGCTTCCTTACGGAGAGCTGAAACCAGCTGTGAAACAACTATGTTTGACTGGAGTACCGTTCGCCTACAAAATACACCATCACTACACACTTTGCATCAAATCCTGTGACGCGCTTTGAGGCGTCCTCCCGAAGTGAAAGGATTACAAGGATTAATGCTCGGTTTGTCTACATGCCTGTGATACAACTGATAACATCCTGTATTTATTGGGGGGGGAGGGGGTTGGTTATCTTACCACACGCAGACTAGTCTTTTCAATGCAGATTTACACCGGCTTGTCTTTCTGCAGCGCTGAGGGAAAGGGAGGAGAGAGACAGAGAAACGAGAAGATGTGGGCACAGTTCTAATGCCTGTGGTGAATAAGGAAAGTGATGAAATCATAGAGCTGTTTTTTTTTCACACTCCATCTCAAATACAATACGAATGAGTTGCAAAGGAGGTCAGGAGAAGAAGACTGGTAATCAGACTGAAGCAGGCGGGGGATGAATATCATGCAGGAGAGTTTTGATATTCTAGGTCCCAAGGTTGTGGAGGAAATGAAGGCGTTTGATGGCTATGATTATTTCTGTCATCTCCATCTTGGGGAATAGAGCGAGTGTTAGTTGAATCCCTTCAATGCTCAGCAAGCCCTATGCTGGGGAGTTTGAACTCACAAGTCTAGGCTGATGCTTCATTGCAGGGATGGGGGGGTTGCTGTAGGTGTAGCTCCTTCCTCATTTTTAGATCACGCCTGAAGACCTTCCTCTTCGACTGTGCTTATGGTCACCTCCCCACTGCCACCCCCCACACACCCCCACCCGGCTCCGCTACTACCAAGCGCTCTGAGACGCTGTGCCTCTTGAAAAGCAAATTGTTTTTGTGTTAGCTGAGCGTAGGTGGCAGCAGAGGAATGGGGCACAAGGAGATATCATTTGGGGGGAAAAAAGCCAACGAGAAAATCTATTAAGTGTTTTTTTTTTTGCTTACGTTTTCTCTTATAAGGAGCACCGGAGGTTAAAGCAATCTAGGGATGGAAGCGTTGAGGCTGCGAGTTTAACAACTCAAGAGTTTAACAACGGATGGCTCCAGTGTTTGCTCTGCCGGACAGCAGTCATTAAGGTGACATATCGCTGCGTCGGGGAGAGGGGAAGGTGGTTTTCTGGAGCTAGTTTGTCACGGTGCCTGCGTTAACTTCACTTAACGAGAGGATGGAGAAAATCAATGCAATGGCTAACCGGGTACAAAATCCTGGAGCCAGTCAGACTGGCTGTGGTTAATTTGCTGGCTAACAATGAAAATCATATTTTCAATTCACCATTGGGTGAGCAGCTCATTGATTTCCAATACAATCACACTTCTTCCTCACTCGAGAGTCTCTCCTGCACGACCGTCTACACACACACACACACACACACACACACGGAAGGACTTTCTCGCCCGTCTCCCCTTCAGATTTATCTTCACGCCGGGACAAAAACAAAAGTTTCAAATGTATTTTTTTGGTGTGAGGTGGCTGTGGATGAGGAAAGTCAAGGCACCTTCATGTAGGAGGTATCTCAGTCTTGAATCTTGTGTGAAGGAGATTTTGTTGCTTTTGTTGTTGTTGTTGTTCCCAAAGACACGGACCACTTTATATAAAGGGCCACAGTACGTATCGGTCAATAGATAACCAGATAGATTTTCCGCGCACGCGATAGGAAAAATAAAAAAAAATTAAACAAACTGAGCAATGTGAACTTTCCCTGCCTCAATTCCTCCACCTCGCCCCCTCTTTGTCCCAAATCTCTGACTGTCCAGCCCCATGAGACGACCTCCTGGCGTGAAAGGCGCTATACGAATGGAATTTGTTGCTCTTGTTTGCCTCCCTTTAAATCCCACCTTAAGACATACCTCTTCTCCCGTCACTGTGCAGAGTTCCCAGAATTTATCCGGAGTGAAGGCAAGATCCCCAGGGATTGAGGCAAGAGTTCTGCCCTTTTGTTGAACAGAGGAAGCTTTACCCAGATAACGTGGGTTTCCCTGAGATGGAGGTGCGTAAGATTTAGGTGTCAGCCTGGCTCAGTCCCTCCGTTGAGTCAAGGGACTGGACACACATTGGCACAGTCCAGCCTGACACTCCAGTGCAATGCTGTGGGTGAGCGACAGTGTCAGAGGTGCCGTCCTTTGGATGAGAAGTGACACCGAGGCCCAGTCTGCCTGTTCGGGTGGACCTTCAAGACTAAAGAGACGGGATTTTTTTCCCGGTGTCCCGGAAAAACAATTCCTCCCCCCCGACTCAAAATCCGTCATTCATTTTGTGGCTGTTTGAGGGACGTCGCTGTGTGCAAATCAGCTTCCGCTTTAACCTACAAAATACACAGTAAATGCTGCGAAGCGCTTTGAGATATCCTCACACCAGAAAAGTCGCTGCGTCAAAAGCAAGGACCATTTTAATACTCTTATTTGGGGACAATGTGATCAAATGGCCCAGAGAAACATCTTCATCCAAATCACCGTCGGGATATTATTATGCGGAGGTCACTGTTTTGGAGAGACGGTCTCTCATTTCCGCGCTTCCCCATCTCCCCCCTCCCCCCCCCCCCACCACTAAGACACCCCCCCACCCCTCAAAAAATGGCGGAGAATACACATCTTGTTTGCCTTGAGATAGCTGAGTTACGCGCTATCTAAAAGAGGATCTAAAGGCTGCAGAAATGTACAGTCACAGCAAATTAAATTGCTCATGCAGATAATTCTTATCCTTTGATTCTTTTTTTTTTCCGCACATTTTCTCTCCCACAGTGAAAAGACTTCATCCCGGGCAGATTTACAAGTGTAATAAAAACAAAAACCATTCCACAACAAGATTACGCTTATACACTTAATTATAGTCAACCCATAACAAATCATATTTTCATTGCCTCGGTCCATTATTGCAGCCCACTACCCTCGGAAACATATTTCTATCGCATTGTCGCTCAATCTACTGATTGAAAATGGTTGATTAGGATGCCAGGGCTATTTAATATGCCGAACCCGAAACCCGAGGAAGGTTTCAAAGCCCCTGATATACATACACACATAATTTGGGAGTTTCACCCGTAATCCCCCAAATAGAGATGATCATTCACTTCATGGCTGTTTGTGGGACACTGCTGTGTGCGAAATTGGCTGCCAATGTTTCACCCACAAAATACACAATGAATTCACTGTACAATATGTTCTGTGAAGCGCTTTGAGACGTCTCGGCGACGTGATAAGGGGCTGTATCAAGTGCAAGGATTATTATTATTATTAATATATATGTTGATGTGCGTAAATTGG